TATTGTTTCCAAGATGCGATCCAGGAGATGTCGTTGTGAGTAGAGTGTGTTACCGAAAGACGACATCACTCCAGGACGCGAGGCAAGGCAGTTGTGACGACCCGTATTGCCTCGACATCCGCACCTGTCGTCGCCCCCCACTTGGTGTCCAGGAGTGCAGCCTCCAGCTCTTCCCATACTTGCATTTTGCTCTTGCCTTCACTCTCGTCCTCCCCTTCTTCCGCGTCATCGAAACTGCAGCTCGACGACAAAACTGCGTACAGCTGTTCCGCCATCTTTACTCTCACCGTCGGGAAAGGATGACCCAAAAACACCTCTGACGCCTTTCTGAGGATCTCCACCAAATCGTCCTTATCGCTTTCACAGCTTTTGATGGCAAGAACAGCATTCGCAGCAAGCGTAGCGCTCACCACCACCCTCTGAACCGCCTTGATCTTCGCCACGTTGGTCATGGTCATCTTCAGCCATCGAATGAGAGCGTCTCGTTCCAACCCGCCCTGCGAGGCTCCATTTTCGAGTAGCAGGTTGACGGTGGTGGTGCAGGGGATAAAGATGCGGTTGTTGCCAAAGTTGGACTTTGCGAGCTGGAAGAGATCGTTGAGGAGTGCGGTCAGAGGGAGGGTGGTAGAGGCAGAGGTGGTGAGGGAAGTCAGAGCGGGACCGATGATACGTTCGCCGAGATCGGATTTGGAACCGACGCTGACGATCAAGCCTTCCAATATGGGTGTCCGGTAACGTTCGATAACTAGCAGATGGCAGATTCGAGGGAAGGCCTGTCGTGGATCTTTCAGTCTCATCCCGACCACACCGTCTTCTCCCGTTGTCAGAGCTTCGCTGCCAAATGCGTCGGCAACAACATCGTAGCCGAGCGGTTTACATCCCTGTTCTGCATCCCCGTATGCATGATAGACTTCGAGCACACTCAAGCCCGCAGCATGACGAACATGATCAATCCTCTCAGCCGCCTGTTTCCACATGCCTCCCACTGCATCCTGAAACAGCTCTTGCAGCAAAGGTTGTCTCCTTTGCCGACATAAGATCAGGATCTGCTTCAAACCCGAAAGAGAGCTGAGTCGTACCCACGAGCCTACGTCGCCTCGCTGGTCCGTCGAATAATCTTGGAGTCCCGTGAGCAGTGCCCGTATGACGCTTTCGATGAGATTCGGGTTGAACGTGGAGCGAGAGGAGATCAGAGCACGTGCGATGCTGTCACTGGCGTTTCGACGGACTTCGATGTTCGGCGAGTACAACTCGTTTCGGATTGTCTTGGTGCTTGGTGTACCCAGAGCGATCAGATGTTCGACCACGGGGACGAAGAGGTCGTCGTGCAAGGAAAAGTCGAGCGCACCAAGAAGAAGCGCATTGCTCTGCTGTTGTGGAATGGTCAAGCTGGACCAGTTGTCGAGGGTGGAGCGGATCTTGGTGGAGAGGTTGACGACGGTGCTGAGCTGCGAGATAGCTTCGGCTGCAGCGATGTGGACCGGCTCTTCTTGACGTGCAAGTGCGAGGTTGATGACCTTTTCCCACGTCTGGGACTCGTTCGGCGAGGCAGTCGTCGTGTGAGAGAAGGAGCTGCCGATCAGCTGGCAAGCTGCTTGCAGGATAGATGCTGCGCCGAGCGAGCGAAACACGGTGGGTCGCACTGCATCGAGCAGATCAAAGCAGGAAGCTCTGACTTTGCTCGCTGCCACCCCGTCTGTGCTTGTTCGGGAGATCCGACACACTTCCGCCAGGGTCAACAGCGTCCCATGAAGCACTGCATTATCGGAGGTACCGATACGCTTACCTAGGCGCACTGTGATTTCTGGCAACAGCGACTCTGCATCATGCATAGCGATACGCGCCACAGCCTGCGCACCCAGCCCACGCATCGCAGGATCCCAGTGCACCGTCACGATCTCTATCAGATGATCCAACAGATATTCTCTGTACTCTTCGAATGCAGCGACCTTGATCGCGCATTCGAGGAATGCATTCCTCCGCACACTTACGGCGTAGAAATCCGTCATCCGTATCACATCGATTCCGTGTGGGAATAGAGCCAGCCTGCCGACTGACTCTTGAAACGCTGCACTGGCAGCCCGTCGGATCGATACGTCCCTGTCGAGTGTCGCAACTGCGACTAACCGCTTTGCTAGGTCGAGGGCGTGCGGTCGAATTGATTCGGTGTCGTTCGACCTAGCCAACGCCCAAACAACATAGCAGGCTGCGTCACGGACATTGGCGCCTACTGAATGTGCTCCTCTTCGAACATCAAACAGCAGCGCTTTGAGGATCCATGGTAAGGCTTCCGACAGCGTTTGAGCAAACAGTAGGCCGCGCCGTGAGAGTTCGGCTAGGGCCATACATGCGCCTTGCCAGGTGTGTTCGGAGACAGAGCTGAGATCCCTTGCACCGCTGTAAAGGTCTGGAATGTTGATGTGGAACAGCGAGACCATGGCGTCAACGACTTGATCGAGGAAAGACGTGGGAAGACGATCGCAGATTCGGGCAAGTCCTTTCGCCGCGCTGTATCGAACCACCGTGTCTTTATTCTGGAGCGCTTCGATGAGGTAAGAAATCATTGACTCAACCTCTTCCGGGGTGTCGGATTCGTCTTCGTCATCATCATCCAGTATTGCTGGGGTCGAGGGAGTGAGATGACTGACGCTGGCGCCGAGAACGTGATACTTGTTCGCATACCGTCGGTTTCGGGGTCGGAGCAACTTGAGCGCCAATCTGCTGTTGAGCTTGGTCTGGTACTTGGTGATCAAGCCGTTGCTGGCAAGGGCAGAGTGAGTGGGAGCATCATATGCGTCGAGGAGTTCTTGGATCGAGCTCAGATGCTTGAGCACAAAGGCAGACTCGCTCGTCTTGAGTACTTCGCATAGCGCTTGAAGGATGCCGGTCGCGCGAAAGGGACTGAGTCGTTCGCTCTGCAGCGCTTGCAGGCTCGATGCCAAAAAGTCACCAAAGTGGTCTTTGAGTTGAACGTCGCTTCGCTGGAAAAGGCGTCCGAGGACGACTGCAGCGGCATCACGCTCCTTTCCAGGACTTGCGATAAAGTACGCTGCTACTGCAGCGATCCTAGACGCAGTCGTCTTGATGCCATCGACAGATCGATCGAATTTGGCCAAGTCGAACGGGATCATGCAGATCAGCGATAGCCACAGTAGACAAACGTATCGTAGCTCCCAGCACACTGCAGCCGTACTGTCCGGTTCATCCTCGCACAGTCGCTGAAGCTTCTCGAGGAACGACAGCGTTGCTGGAAGATCGGCAACTTCGTGTGGAAAGTAGTGGACGATGGTCTTGTAGCCTCGTACTTTGGTGTAGGCGTAGACGAGCTTGCTCTGACGAGTCACAGCCTCCGGCGTCAGCCGATGCTGCGCCTCACCGCCGTTGAAGCTGACATTAGAACGCACGTGTCGCTGCAGAGATTCGACTGGCGGCAGGACGATACGTTCAAGGTAGGGATCCAGTAAGTTGGACTGGTCTTGGTATTCGTCAAGGATGGCGATCAGTTTCGCGAGAACGTCATCCTGGGTGACCGACGGGGTCGAGGGAGTTGGTGGCGTCGGGTGGCGCGTGCTCGTGCCAGGTGCAGAAGGTACAAGGATCGAGAGGAGTGAGAGGTACTCCTGTGCCTTGTCGAAGCGGATGAGCTCCTTCTCCTCGATTACTGCCGAAGGATCCTCGACATGTGGCTCTGATGAAGTCATGAGCAAGGGTGCCCGCCAGGCTTTCCGGATCAGCTGCCGATGCTTATGCGCTGAAATACGAAACAAGGGTCTCCGGCGGCCGAGCGGCCTTGATCGAGTCAGGAAACGGTCGATATAAGTTGAGGTGTTGGAACAAATCGTGACAAAGTGTTGGTCTTCCGCGCAGCAATCTTCTCGTGCCCTGCCGCGGAGCAACGCGAAAAAAAGGCCCCGAACTGCTTATAGCCGACGCCGGGTCGGATTTCATGGACCCTGAAGTTCATTCGCTGCTCCTTTGCTTCCGTTGGGAGCTGTAGCAGCTCAAGTATATACCGCAGAGCTCACTGCCCGTACAGCCTACCTCTCCTTCCTCCACCACAGCGAGAAACACATCCACAAAGTGGCTCAGAGCCTCTCGAGCAACCCTAGCCAAGATGTCCGACGCTCGAAACAGCCAGCTGATCACCGACGCCAACAAGGCTTTCTATGAGCTCACTGCCGCCGAATACGACAACATGGGCCGGGGCATGGTAGTCGAGGTTGCCAAGACCAATGCCGCCAACATCCTTGCCCGCGTCCCCAACATCGGCTCCTCAATAACAGAGCTGATGGACTTTGCCACTGGTACCGGCCTGCTCGCCATGCTCCTCGCCCCACGTTGCAAGTCAGTCACGGCCGTTGATCAGTCGGAAGCCATGATACAACAGCTACAGAAGAAGCTCGAAGCCCAGTCGGACGCAGGAGAGAGGATCGACAATATCGTCCCCATCGTCAGGAACATTCTCGACGATTCTGTTCCGAGCGCGTTGCAGAAGTTTGACGTCATAACTTGCACCAACTCGTATCACCACATTCCTGAGCCGGAGAAGGTGACTCAGGTGCTGGCTAGCTACCTCAAGCCAGGCGGATACCTCGCCGTTGTCGATCTGATCAAGACGGAAGAATCAGCCGAGTTTCACAACGCTCCCAGGACTTTCGAGCGAGAGGATGGGTCCCATAAGCAGGTCGAAGAGTTCGGTGCAAAGCCGGCGGATGAGCACCAAAGGGACACAGCAGCACATGGACACGAGAGTCACCACGGTCATCAACACCATGAACAATCTCGCCATCATGGATCCTCTAGCGGCCACAAGACGCACAAGCACGAGCACGTAATAGCACATAGAGGCGGTTTCACTGACGCAGAGATGGAGGGCTTCTTCTCTGCAGCTGGTCTCAAGTTGGTCAACATGGGCAAGTCGGCACAGTTTGTGAAAGACGGCAAAACCTACGACAACTTCCTCGCCATCGCTCAGAAAGCTTTGTAGCGGATAAGTCGAAGAATTCCGAGCAGCGTGCTGTACAACGACCCTTGTGAAAAACGCAAGACATCATGGATATGAATCTAGTACCTCGTCCTTGCTCTCAAACCACGGCTGTGATCCCTTCTCCAGTGCAGCTTTTACATCGGGCCTGTCCTTGATCTCGCTCCACTTTGGACGTTCGAGCTCGTAGCCGACGCTCGTACGAGCGTACTGCAGCCCACCAATTCGAGTGACGGGAAGAGTCTTACTGGCGTCTACAGCTCCTGTCTCCGGATTGATGGTATCCTTTCGAATGTGCAGCACCTTTACTCGGCCCAGCACTAACGTGGTAGTGTGCTTGCTGTCGGTGTTGTGGATGTCGCGCGTGTATTCAAGCTCACACTCCATCGACATGGGTGCTTCTTTCACCCTCGGCGTCTGGATGGCTTTGCTCTTGACTGGCGTCAGTCCAGATAGCGCGTATTCGCTGGTACCGGTGGGACAGTCGACGGAGGCAAAGTTGAGCGCCTCTGCGTACGGCTCGGATGAAGAAGAGATGGAGAATTCTTTGAGACGCTTGATGTTGTTCTCGCTGTCCTTTCTCCTGTTCTCTCCGCCTCCGAACGAGATCATGACCATGGCGGGATCGTGTGAGACCATTTGGTACCAGCTGATGGGTGCCAAGTTGGGCGAGCCGTCTTCATTGAGAGTCGTGACCAGTGCAACGGGACGAGGTGCGATGGACGAAATCATCAGCTTGTACATGGTGCCAGAAGAGACTTTGGTCTTGCCCACTTGAATCACGTGGAACTTGGCATCGTCAGCTCCAAATCTTGCTGAGGCGGGGTGCGAGTTGAGCCCTTGCCCAGCTTTGAAATTCACATCCGGAGCCTTGGTGAGGGTGTAGGACAGAGAGGGGTCAAATTCGGGTCGTTTGGCTTCTTCCTCTTTGAAGGGTTTGTACTTGGATCCGCCTCCAGCGCCTGCGCCGGGCACTCCGTATGTATCGCTGCTGCCGGCTTGAGATGACATTCTTTGATTCGTGGTGAAAGTCAGGACGGAAGAGAAGCGTGCCCCTCGACTTGACGAGTTGTACAAAAGAAGTTGCCGCTCAATCTCCGCTACTTCCGACATGTGGAGGAAATTGCGGCATCCATGGGCTTCGAGATTCTTGCACTAGTCGAGGCTAGCACGTCGCTCCCTCATGATTAGTGTTGGACCCTCAAAACTGAGGTGTTGGGGGGTAAGGGCTCCTCAAGGTCCCCAAAGTGAGCCTCAGCTAATACTTCATAGCCATGACTTCTTACAATGTTGCGAATGAGGGAAGCTCGACAAGGTAGAAGAACGCACGGGCCCTGCCTGTCGGCTTCGGATTTCGGAGACGGGGAACGCGGCTGGGGCTGAGTACGAGTGGAATTTTTTGGTCTTTGACAAACCCGGTTACTGCACACATCAAACGGACGGATCTTCGTCCTCGTCAACACCACCATACATCCTCTTTGGCTTCGTCGCTGCAGGAAAAAGGACAGGTCAATAGAGAGGTGGTCGTCGGCTTGCCATGTCGGTCCTTCACTGGGTGGTGTTGGCTATCGTCGCATACTTGGCCAACGCTCAGTACCAGCGCATACAGTTTTCACGCAAGAAGGCTGAATTCGTTCGCGATCGCAGACGTGCTGCTGGTATCCCAGATGACGACGTTCGGCCCTTTGCTGTAGCTCGAGCGGATGCCCTCTCGCGTAGATCCCAACAGAGGCGGGACGAAGCTCTATCAACGCCCGTCAAGAAACGCAAGAACAGCATGGGCTCGTCTAAGTCCCAGGCCAGCATCGACCACGAAGCCGCAACTCGGCTGTCAGGTATACCTGGCACATTACCGGGCTATCTCAAGGACAGCCTGCAATCTCAACCAAAACGAACCCATGAATACGGGGCTTCGCGCACGGCGACAGCGACTTCCGTACGCAGTCCGTCTTCGGCCAAAGTCTCAGGCTTGAAGACAGACTCGCCTCAAAGAGCAATGAAACGGCACCATTCCCAAACGCAATCTGAAAGTGCATCAGCATTCTCGAATCTTTCGAAACACGACCGCGAAGGCAGTCCGACCGCCCAGCGTGACCGACAGCGTCGCCGCAAAGCATCACCAAAAAAGCTGCTACCGAATTCGGACCAGGGCAAAGCACATGACGTCTCCATTCCGGGCGACTTTGGCCCCCACGAGAGCACCACAGACGAGGACATGTCTGATGCATCATCGGTGTTCTCGGCTAGTCACGGCAGCTCGGCAGCCATGGATGAGGACGAAGACGATGGCGGCCAAGCATCACCCTCTGAAGCTGAAAGCAAACATAGGATCAGTCAACGCCGTGCGGCACCTCTCCGAAAGCTTCAAACAGCAGCACGCGCTACCGCCAAGAAGCGCGAAGCGGATGAGCTCGATACTTCGGACACCGAAGCGAGTCTCGATTCCACCTACGACGACGAGTACGCTCATTCGCAACCTCACAGCTCCAAGCGATCAAGAACCGTGAATAAGGACACAGATCCGAGCTCATCTCTCGACTTCGATATCGCGCTTCCCGAGGAAGCCATGGTCGATTTCGATCCCGCTCACTACGATGCCACCTCAACCAAGAGTAGTGGCTCTGGGTCGCAAAACAAGCGTCAAGCCGACACGTCGGACGACCGCCAACCAGGCGAGGAGTGGACCGACTTTGAAGGTCTTCGTTGGCGCATCCACCCAGAAACGCACGAATTGCAGCGATACAGCGACGTGCTCGAGTGGCGATCCAAGTATCGCATGCCGCGCGATTCAATCCACCCCATGGCGAGGGAATCGCACCAAGTGGTGGTGCACAAGTGGCTGACAAAAGCAGAGTGGGAAGACGCAAAGGCGAAGAAACTACTGTCATTCCAAGAGCCTGAGCGATTGGCAGAGAAAGAGAGACTGGACAAAGAGGAGGCTGAAAAGATGCGACGAAGGCTAGAAGTGCTGGCGAAGATCCGGCAAACATCGTCACCGAACAAGCGTATCCAGTCGTACCTGGCGCAGCGACAGCTGCAGCACAAGCTGTCGCAAGGCGATATGAGTGGTGACGTCTCGATGAACACCTACACAACCAACGACACGAATGGCGATGCGGCGAGCATGTCCATCGACTCGGCGTCGGTCGTTGGCGCGGACGGAGCAACACCAAGCAAACCGAGGTCGAGGCGAATCTCGCTGCAGACCAGAATGACGCCGATGAGGGGTGCCGAAGTAGGAACTGGACGCGAATCGGGTTCGACATCGGGAGTGTCGTCTCCTACGGAAAGTCCGAATCGACGGAGGGGAAGTCCACTGGCATCACCGTATCGTTCCATCGCCTATCCAAAATCGAAGAAGGGATCGTCGGGCACCTCTTCGCCGTTAGTTACTTCCACATTTCCTTCCACACAGCCTCCTCTGTGAATGATGTCTGTTCCTGCATTTGCAATTGACACATGTCGAAACACCTTGGCGCAACCCTTGCTTGACTTCCAAAATCATTATGCCTCACTTGGCGTGTGGTATGCCGAACCCAGATAGGGTCGGGGGTGAGCAATATCGGAGGAGGCGAGATTCTGGGTTTGGCGCTTGGCAAGGATTCTGATGGCGTGATTCCGAAGGCTGCATTATCTGCCTTGTGGGGTTGGTCAATCACATTCGTTTGACGCATCAGCAGGTCGTGATTGGGACGATTGCAATGATAGGCGAAGCATGGTAAAAGGGGGAGAGAAGAGTAAGGTCGGGAGAGTGGACGGAAGACCGGATCGGACATAGCGGCGAGGACCGCAAAAGCCGTGCCAAGTGTTAATGCGATGCATCTAGCCCGGATCTGTCCGTGGATGAGTTCTTAGCGGTCGCAACCAAACATGGTTGGAGTCAATTCGACAAACTGTGCATGTTACAGTGCTACCGTTCAGTGAATGTGTGAGGACTGGACTTTTGAGAAACATGTCGGCCATGTCAAAAATGGCAAGTTGTCTTGCATCGACGACGATTGCGACACTAGTCGGTGGCGGTGGGTCGCGCCTACGTCGAGCCTTCTAGTGCCGCGTTGCTTTCGACTGGGTGTCGGTTGCCAAGCTTTTTTACACGCTTCGGAGGAGGCTGTTCCATCGGTAGGTTGCCCCCGTCCCTCTTCTTGGCATACACAAGGTCATCGTATTCGATTTGGCCTCGACGTCCACATCACGAGCTCGTCGGAAAGCCAAGCGGCGGCAACAGAAGGCTGGTTCCGACCACCGGCAATCCCACGGGAACTATCAACTCTTTTGGCGCCGCTTGTTGGTTCCCCCACCTTTGAGAAGAAGTTGCATCCAGTTGTACTTCCTCATCAGGTCTCTTGCACTCTCACCTGACCGCGCAGGTCGTCCTGTCAGCTCACCACAGGCACCGTTCCACGGACCTCAATGCGAGTGGCACACGCAAATGTGCTCGAAGTAGGTCGACATCGCGTTGTGGGGCTTGACACGATCCTAGTCGACCAGCCGTCCTCATTGCCGGACTGATACCCGGAGGTATACGTCTCAACCGCCCTCTCCCCGCGATGAAGCACTCCGTCTGCGACCAGATGCCTTTGCTCTCTCTTAGAGCTCCCGGTCTCGTGCAGCTTTCTCGATGCCAGAGCTGACTTTTCCCCTTGCTGTGATACATCGGATTGCGGCCGTTGTGGCGTTGATCCGAGCGCCCGCCTCAGGCTTGCCGAGCTGGTCGGACAAAGTAGGACTGCGATACCCCACACCTCGAGCGGCACCTCGTCTTGGCCGGGACAAGCTGAAGACATCACACACAGCAAATAAGCGAGGTCGGTTATGAGATCCATATGCGAGGATGTGGATATCGCGAAGCACATGACGAGCTCATGTTTGTCGTACCGGTGACTGCGTCGTGGCAGAGAATTGGATCTTGACGTTCGAACGCGACACAAGGGGAGGCAAACTCCGCAGCTTGCACTGGCGATCCCACATCTTCCAGCTTCTGCAGCAGCAACAACGAGACCGCCGCGAAATGGGGAAGCGAAGTTCGCAAATCAACGACGCAGATTAGGCTCGAGACGAGTGACCCGGGCTCCGCCTTGGATTGCCTTCTTCTGGCACGATTCGAAACCCCGCTTCGGGAATTTCTTTTGCCCTTCATACTGCCAATCGCAACGCAACGACGGGGGCCAACGCCAATTGATAATGTCGCAGCGAGGCTCACGATAGGAGAACCAATGAGGTCAGTTGGACGTCATAGTCAGTATATCCGACATCGTCGACTCGCGAAGAAAACTCGCGCAGTCAATTGTGTGGAATCGTTATCTATCGAAGGTGAGACTACCGCAGGACGATGGTTCACGTCGGTGCCCTTCCGAGATTGAAACACCGTCATTAGGCCAGGAACCAATAGGGCTTTGATTTTCTGGTTCCGGCGTGAGGGTGTCACGCGCGCGCTGCAGGCTGTGGGGCAGATGAAGGTGGGACAGGTCCAATCAGAGAGCGTTCTGGACAGAGCATTTCAAATTGGGGGTCGCGAAGAGTTCGAAATCGCAGCGGAGCACGGCTGGGCCCTTGGTCCAATTTCGTCTTGGCAGAAATGCCACGGCCCAACCATTGAGGAGCTGCGCTTTATCGTGTTCCACACACTTGCGTCTGCTTAGAGTTGGCGCCTATCTGCATGAAACTTGGGATCGGCCTTCTCCACCGGATCCTGTCTCACGTCTCACCCTCTCTCACTCTTTTTCGATGCAGTTGGCCGCAACTACGGCCCCAACGCCAGTGTGTCATACCTCCCCGCCCTCGTCTGCAAGACACCTTCGGCTGCTCGCCGACAGCCACCAATGAGGTGAGGCGAATTTTCGGTCAATGGCCGTCCAGCGCAGAATGCACGCGAGCACGACTCACAAACTACTGATTCACAGAGCGCAGGCTGATCGAACCGGCTCGTGCTTGGACCGAAGGCTTCCGTCACGCCCGGTCCTTCGATCGTCCAACCTTGGTTGTCGTCCACGCTCATTTGGACGAGGGCTGCCCACCACAGACATCGAGCCTCGAGGCCATGTACAAGTACCGCCATCTGATCGCTTTGCCTTTCTTCTTGACGCTCGACCCAGATTTGTCAACCATTGAGCGCCCGTAACCCTCCCCACCCTCGTTATGCTCTCACTTACGAAGTCATCTCGGCTTCCCCCACGAGACTCTCGCCGCTATGTGACATGCATCAGTACAGTACAGCACTGTTCCTCGCGCTCTGGCAGATGAAGAGCAGAGCCTGGTCAAGACATAATTATACGGACGGGTGCGAACGGGTGCGTTGTTCGGAACATCGCCGACTCACAGTCGTTGCTATCTTGAACGGATGCTGATAAAAACAAAAAATAAAGTAAATCAAATTAAATTAAACCAAAAAGTTAATTTTTCTTGAAGTAGAGGCGAAATGCTTGAGCCATTCCTCTTTTCCTTATCAACGCATCCGCTGATTCGCTTGTCACTCTGACCACTTCGGATCCATTCAAAATGCAAACACAGGCGGAGTCTGGACAATGGGTCTTCTACGCCGTGCTTTTCTGCATGTGCCTGACCGACAGTCCTCCTTCCCCTTGTGGCCGCGCAGTAGCCCCACAGCGCAAGTCTCGCTGCCCAATCGCACTCTGCCCGGAATATTCGAAACTGCCTCGAGTGAGTAGCTGGATGTGTCTGACCGTCTTCCTCTGGGAAAATGTTGCAGACCCAGTGCCTTGCCTGCACCTCCGCCGTGCGTGGTTGTCGGGTTGCTAAATTCTTCCGAATTTTGGCTATCTCTGGTTGGCTGAATGGTGGTGGATGAAATCAGATGCGTGCCGCCACGTTACGCTGTGCATCCCCCTCATCTGCGCAAGAGTCGCCGCCCGACATGATTGTGCAGCAACGCCTGTGCCTGTGGTAAACGTCGCGGATTCTGTGATTGATAACTGTCCAATTTGGCTACCCGCCCTCAAGCCTGTCCGCATATAAACTCCTCGTCCTCGTCCTGGTATTCTCCTCCCCTCGACAGGATCCCCTCCATCCACGCCTCAAGACGCATCCTCACTTTGCGCTTCTCGCCCCTCTTCGTACACCTTTTGGGCTCTTGATCGCGTCGTCACACCCCTTCGAATTTCGTCCCTCCTATCTCCCTGAACAGCGTGCTCCACAGCCAACATGGGTGCCTGGAACAACTTTGTCGATGGCTTCAAGCCTGATGTCACCGACGAGAGCGCCTCGGACTCAGCTCCTGCCTACGCCGAGAAGGACTCCAAGGACTACGAGTCCAACGCTGTTGCCGGTTTCAAGGACCCCAACACGGAGGGCGGCCTGAAGCGCCGCCTGACCGGTCGTCATGTTCAGTTCATCGCTCTCGGTGGTTCAATCGGTACTGGTCTCTTCATCGGTTCTGGTGGAGCTCTCGCCACAGGTGGTCCCGGTTTCTTGATGATCGATTTCATCCTTATCGGTGTCATGCTTCTCATGGTCGTCATGGCCCTCGGCGAGATGGGTGCCATCTTCCCCGTCGCCGGTTCCTTCGCTGCTTACTCCACTCGCTTCATCGACCCTGCCGTTGGTTTCGCCATGGCTTACAACTACTGGCTCCAGTGGCTCATCGTTCTTCCTCTCGAACTCGTCGCCGCCTCGATCGTCATCACGTACTGGGATCCCAGCGAGGTCGTACCCAGAGGTGTTTGGGTCGCTCTCTTCCTTATCATCATCACCATCATCAACTTATTCGGTGTCCGTGGCTACGGTGAATTCGAGTTCTTCGGCTCGCTCATCAAGGTGCTCGCCGTCATCGGATTCATCATTGCGGGTGTCGTCATCAACGTCGGCGGTGGTCCCGACGGCAAGTACTACGGTACCGAGACGTGGCGCGACCCTGGTGCATTCAACAACGGATTCAAGGGCTTCTCTTCCGTGTTTGTTACCGCCGCTTTCGCTTTCGCAGGAACCGAGCTCATCGGACTCGCCGCTGCCGAGACGGCCAATGCGCGCAAGGAAATCCCCAAGGCCGCCAAGCAAATCTTCATGCGCGTCACCATCTTCTACGTCGTCTCGCTTCTCATCGTCTCTTTCCTCGTCCGCAGCGACAACGACCGTCTTGGAAGCGGTGCCTACGATGCCAGGGCTTCGCCTTTTGTGATTGCTTTCAACCAGGCAGGCGTCAAGGTGCTTCCAAGCATCATGAACGCCGTTATTTTGGTCTCGGTGCTGTCGGTAGGAAACTCTGCCGTCTACGCCGCTTCGCGAACGCTCCAGGCAATGGCTTCCATCGGACAGGCTCCCGGCTTCTTCACCTACATTGACAGGCAGGGTCGACCTCTTCCTGCAGTCGGGCTCTCGCTCATTTTCGGTCTGCTCGGTTTCCTCATCTACGCTGGTGAGAACGCTCGCAACTTGACTTTCAACTGGCTTCTTGCCATCTCGGGTCTCTCGACCATCATCAGCTGGCTCTGCATCTGCATCTCCCACGCCCGCTTCCGCCAGGCATGGGCGCGTGCCGGCCACACGCTCGAGGAGCTGCCTTGGAAGTCGCCCTTCGGCATCTGGGGTTCGCTCTACGGTGCCGGCTTCAACGTGCTGGTCATCATCTTTACCTTCTACGTTTCCGCCTTCCCGATCGGTGAAGGTGGGATGTCTGCCACAGACCGCGTCAACGCCTTCTTCCAGGGTTTCATCTCGGTCCCCATCGTCGTCCTTGTCTTCTACCTGCCTTACAAGTTCATCAAGCGCTCCAAGTATGTCAACATTGAAGACATTGACATCAGCACTGGTCGCCGTGACCCTGTCCCCGTCGAGGTCCTCCGCCGCGAGCGCGAGGAGGCCGCTGCCCAGCCTATCTACAAGAAGGTTTGGAACTTCTTTTTCTAAAACAAGCTCACGATTTGATGCTGCATCTTGTAAATTTGGAACCTGTCTGGTTCTTCCTCAGCAACATTCTTCTCGGCGCTCGATACCTGGCCCTATCTTCTTGTACAACTTATGATAATCACACGGGATTTTCATTTTTCATTCTCACACTTGGCGACGCTGTCTAAACCGAATGAGTTCTTGCGTGATGAGCGCTGCCGTGAATGTGCCTGAAGAGCCTCATTGGTGGATAGCACAGATGCGGACGCTGTCACGAGCAAGTACAGGCCTGCCGCAGCCGTCATCATTCGAGATTAGATTTGGGATTGAAAGCCAGATACGAACGAGTGGGAACGGAGCCGTGTACAACACCATTGCAGCTTCCTAAGACGATACATTACTGCGCCGCTTCGTTCATCCGATAACCCCGCACGCGTCCACCCCGTCCGCTCAGAATCGTGGCAACTTGCCCAAGCTCTGATCCTGCAGATAATCACCGATCGCCGCCAAATCGTTCCCCTTTGCCCTCTTCAGATACCACCTCAACGTCGTCTCGTCCGCATCGGGCAGTATATCGCCCAACTTGACCAATGCTTCCCTGAACCCTGCATCCTCCTCCACGTCCGTCGATGAGCCTCTTCGTATCCTATCCCGAACACTTGTGTACGAAAGACTCGATCTCAGACCTGCGTTACCGGAGAGCCTCGGTGAAGTGGAGGAGGTGGGATGCGAGGAATCGTGATTTGAGCTCGTGGTTGGAGAGGCAGCAGAGACGTCGCTTGCTCGTCGATTTGGGGCGCTCAGCAGGTCGGGGGAGGGGTAGTCCGGGATAGGAGATCGTGGTCCGGTGGCGTGTTGGGTGGAATGAGAGCCGCTGCTGAAACTGCCGCCTCCCAGGCGTGAGACGAAGGTGGGGCCGGAACCGAAACCTCCCGTGAGAGGTGTGATGGGCGTGATGGGTGTGATGGGGGTGGGGGGTGCTGCGATGGGTGTGACGCTCTGAGCGGACCCGGTTCGAGCCATCGCGTTCGGCGCGCGTGGTCCCATCGGTGCTCGATGGGTTGTGGTCGTTGGCGCGGCTAACGGCGACGAGGCTGATTTGGCGTCTCGAAGCGGCGCAGCCAACGAACTCTCCGCACCTGTTGCACCCGCACCTGCACCCGCAGCCAGCCCTAGCCCCACCGCACTCGTCGCTGGGCTCTCCTGACTCTGAGTCGAGTGACTCGTCTCAAACGTATCCGTACTAGGCCTTGCTCCCGGCATGCTCCCCACTACACCACCCGGTGAAACCCCACGGTTGCGACTGTTTGCCAAATACGCCCTCGACCCACCGGCCGCAGCAGCAGCCGACGTAAGCGATGCTGGCACCGCTGCCGGCGGCTGCGTCTTCTTACTTCCCCTCCTCCCCAATCCTCCAAAGAGGCGATTGCCTCCCATTCCGGCGCTCCTCGACGCGGTCAACGTCTCAGCCGTCGCGGAGGCGGGGATGGATGCAAACGAAACGATCGAGTTCGACCTCGGCTGCTGCTGCTGTCCCTGATTCTGCACGACCCCTGGATACGGCAGAGCAACGACCTCCTTCACCGGACTCTCCGCCATCGTCGGCATGACGCTGACGATCTCCTTCGCCTTAGCCCCATCCCCTCGCATCGGGAAAGTCATGTCCGAACGTATCGAGTCCGCATACGATCCCTCGTTCCTCACATGCATCGACCTCGGCAGCGTACCCTGGGCCATCCACTCGTCCCCTTGCTTGATCGGACGACTGGTCTGCTGATGCTGTGCAGGACGTTGCACCACCTGCATCCACAGGCTCAGCCGGGTCTCCAGGTGCAGCAGCTCGTTTGTGAACTGCGCGTAAGTTCGAGCGCGATCCCAGGAAGACTGTCGCCTCTTGTCGCTGTTGATGCTGCTGCTGTTGAAGGATTTTGGCATGGGTATCGTTTTACCGTACACTTCGATCCGGCTGGGTGGCGCGGTGGCAGAACGCTGCGGCGTGTACCCTGATTGCGCAGAACGTGGGTGAACAGGAGACCCAAGAGGGGGTGTCGCGAGCGACTGATTCGAATGGATTGCGGGCAAGAAATGCCCCTTCGTCGGTGTCTGCGGTGCGTATCTCGCCGGCGACGGCAAAGGACTCGACCTGACAGCCTCCGGACCGGCACCTGTAATGCTAGCCAAGCTCTTTGCCGAAGGCAGTGATGTCGGCAACTGCGGTCGTGCTTCTTCCTGCGCTTTGGCAGGCGGCATAGGGGTTGCAAATTCGTCATCCGCCGATAGCGTCTCATCTCCAAAGCTGAGATCGTTCATAGCGTCGTCCACGGCGTCCGTGAGATCCTCTATACTCGTAGCTGGTTGATCCGCATTCGCAGCAGGTGCAGCCAGGTGTTGATGAGATGATGACGCCGCTGGTTCGTCGTAAGTAAAAGCACCCTCCAGCCCGGAATCGTGTGAATAGTCGGAAGGTGCCGATCGCTCCGAAAGAGACGCACGATCGCTAGGTAGCACCGCTTCACGCTGCGACATACGTCGCGGATTGCGCATCGGACGATCTCTCGAATCGACACTGGTACGAGCACCGCTTTCTTCGGCAGCCACAGCCGTTGCCGAGGAAGCAACGTCTCGCATGTGCAGAGAAGCACCCTTTCTCGGACTGCTCGTTGCACTTGCAGGCTGCTGAATGGTGGCAGAAGCTGATGGAGGCGACGCCGCCTCGCCTTGCTGCTTGCGCAGCCTCGCGCGCTCTCTGGCTTCCTTGAGTGTGCGCGGACGAGACTCATCCGCCTCGGCGAGCAGCTCTTGCTCTATCCGCTTCTGTTCATCGAGACTTGGTTCGTGCGAACGTCTTCCAGCACTTTCCCTGTCCGTCGATGCGATCTCGTCTACAGCTTGAAGTGCGGCGCCTTTGATAGGAGCTGTCTGAGATGTCGAGTCACTCAAATCAAGACGACCAGGCGCATCTTCTCGTGAGACGCGCGATGATGTAGCGGCAGAACCGGTGCGAGCGTGGTCCCCTCCAAAGTCGGCGCTGCTATGTCGTTGCGGGATCTGGTCCGAGACAGGTTGACCCAAGCTCGACCGGGAGGCTGCATGTCTCGACCTTGCTGTGGCGATGCTTTCTGACAGTGAAGGGCTGGGAGAGATGGTGGAGCCATCCTGGATGACGCTGCTCGTACGCCTTGGAACAGGTGGAGAGGGCAGGGCGTTGGAAAACACCTCTTCTTCGTCAGGTTCGTCAGCTCCTGCAGCTGCACCAGTACCACTGTTTTGCAAAACGGGAGCCTCGATGGTCCTGTCGGCTGACCGGTCGTAAGCGCTGTGCGAAAAGGCACCAGGCATCTCATCCTCGTCGTAGTGAGAGCCATCGCTATCGTAGCTGGGTGCCTGCACTCCGATGCGAGGTGGCTGCTGCAGAGAAGGAATAGTGTGCTTCGAAGACGCGGCCTCGTGTGCGGGTTGAACGCTACGCATAGCATCGATGTCGAAACCGATCATGGAAGCGCGTTTGCTTTGCGGGCCAGACCCTGATTCAGAGGCAGAAGCTGTGGTCCAGATGGAAGCGTTACTATCGCTAGGAGGCATCGAGAAGCCTATTGTTGGGGCTGATGCGTCTCGACTTGGCGTATCAAAGCCGCGCGTGGTAGCGAGGGCAGATGCTCCGGCATCGGAATGAGCGGATGTCGTTGGTTGCATTGGTGTCGAGGAAGTTGTTTCCTTAAAGGGTGTATCGAGGGAACCCGGAATCGAGTTCGGTGAACGCGCATAGAGATCGAGCAGGCTTCCGTTCGAGACGACCGAGCTTCCGTCCGTTGAGAAGTACGAAGCGCCATAAGGAGCTGCAGATAGACTGGCACCCGTGTTGGCTCGACTCCTCGCAAGGACGTCCTTGGCTGCCGCCAACGATGCCGATGCATCGGCAGGGTTCGCCATTTTGTAGCCTGAGATACCTGCGCTTTGCTCTTCGGAATAAAAGGATTCTGTGTTAATGCCTGTTTTCGCTGAAAAGACTACAGCCTAGCTAGCTGGAGCGATAGGCATGGTCGTCTGCGGAGATCGTTTGAGATCGTGCTTTGGTGGTATGGAAGGGAAGCAAAGCAGAGTATTGGTGCGACGTCTACGCTGAGCCGTGCGTTGCGTGTGAATTATCCGCTTGTGCGATTAACTATTTGCCGAGGCATGAACCAATGGACCCTTTAATATATGTCTAAATGAGGCATCAAAAGTCAAGCTTCTCCTTGACATCCGGTATACCTTCCAGCACCTCATCTGCATCGTCTGGATCGCATTATATCAGCACGAGTCGGCAGCATGATCGAAGGCACTGACATCAACGACAAGACGGCGGCGCAAGCATGGCAATCCAGGAAGTCTTCCTATCCGAATCTAGACGGTGAGCCTGCCCTTGTCCAAATTTCAGCTTCAATGAATGCATCATGACTGACACTTGTATCTCCCTGAGACACGCCTTCCTCTCGCCCATAACGACAGTGCTCATCCAGCCAGACGAGTACATGCTCGCTCGTCTACCACCGACTTCCTCAATACCACAGCCGATACTCGAGCTTCTGTCAGCACCCACCGGCTCTTCCAAAAAATCGTTTTTCTGCACAGTCTCACGAACTCAAAACGAGCTCAGCATCCTCGTCTCGACAGCAGCAGAGCGAAGCTGGTCGGTTCTCAAAGCGGAGCTTGCGCCTGGCGATGGAAAAGGAGAGGATGATGGCTACGGAGTGGATGGACCGTGGAGAGCATTCCGAATCAGGGGCCCGATGCAGTTTCATCTGGTAGGCGTACTTCTTGAGTTCAGCAAGTGCCTGGCGCAGCGCGACATCTCTATCTTTGCCGTTTCGACGTGGAACACGGACTACATCTGCGTCAAACAGAATGACTTTGAGAATGCATGTAAGGCCCTCACGGAGGACGGATGGAACGTTGTCGGCCAAGATGAGTAGATGCAGACATGCAAACACAATCACAAGGCCAAAAGTTAAAAGAGAGAGTGTCATATGTGAACCCTCGGTATTAAATACTGCTAGCTGAGCAAAAGCTTACTTCTTGCGATCGTGTATCGTATAGTTTCCATACTCCTTCTTCGGATCGTACACCTCCCATCGGCTGTACGGCCAAACATGCTTGTTGCGATTGTAAAACGACCTCTCCACCACCTTTCCCGCATGTGACTCGTCCTTCTCCACGCTCGCATCCGCCACCAGACGAATGTCATCGTGCACGTCAAAATTGAACAGCGGACCTGATTTGCCCCTCGCCTTGTTGACGATGAAATCGTAAAAGCTGTAGTGGTGCGGAATGATGAGATCCTCCTTGATGTACATCATGCTGTCCACGGATATGCCGCGTAGTTCGGAGACTTGCTGTCGACATTTCTCGAGAAAGTGCGCGATGGTGTCACCCTTCTTGCACAGGACCGTTTTGCGGTGTCCTGTGCCGTCCCAGTAGGAATAGGTGATTTCGACGTCCTCCTTTTTCATCTCTTCCTGTTTCTGAAGCCATTCTTGCCGCAATTCTTCGCGCATGCGTCGCTCTGCTTCTTCTCTGTCTCTGTCTGGAAGGAAGGATGTGTCGACATTTGGGTTCTTGAGACTCGTCTTCTTCGTGATAGGCACTAGGTCCTCTTCAAGATCATCCAGACCGTTGCCATTGACCGCGTTGTCGTCCGACCGTCTTTTCCGCTTGCCGTTTTGATCGGCCTTCGGTATTGACGGACCAGCACCGCCATCACCTTCCTCTTCATCGTCATACGCAAAAGACAACTTCGCACGTTCCTTCTTGGCCTTCTTGTTCTTCTTCGCCGCCTTCTCGTCCGCCTTGATCTCGTTCGTCCGTGCAGCCTCGCGCCTCTTCTCCTCTTCAAGTTCGGACCGAAGCTTTTGGAAATCCTCCAAGTGCACAAGACCAATCGTTGATTTCTTCAGAGCATCCTCCATCGAGTCGTTCTTGCCTACAAAGCGATCCGAGCCGGTACGGTTGCGTTCCGATTCCTTGACCAGGTCGGCTTTTTGTCGGTCAAAGTCCTCCATCATCTTGGCGCGGGCCTTCTCGTGCTTGCCTTGCCGGCGAAGCTCCGAGTGTGATTGTGACATGATGACTCTTTGCTTCAGCAGCCTCGCAGTAGGGTTCCGATAGTCGATGATGATGATGGTGATGAATGCCACGATGGAAGTTTCAAGGTTCGTCAACAGGGTTCACAAAAGTGTGGAGAAAGCTTCGGCACAAACACGGAAATCGGAACAACTTTCGAGCGGCAGAATTGAAATGGATTGAAATGTTAGGTTTGAATTGCTTCTCCCTCATCGCTGGCGAGCTGAATCGTTTCAAAGCTTGCGACGACACAACCATACGGACGGCTGCTTGACGACGATGATTGGTGAGGCAAGTCGTATCAGGGCGCCAAGCAAAGTCTCTTTGTCAGTGTCCGTTGAACTCAAGCTTGACGCAATCTCGCGTGGCAGCTTCAAGAGATCGCTCTTGATCTGCGAAATCGCTTTGCGTCGCAACCCTGCGAAAGACGAGATTGGAAAGGCGATCGGCTCAAAGAGCTGCCCTGTCTCGGCTAAAAGCTCCCCTTTCTGATCCTGAAGAGTACGACATTCTGGTGCTTCTGTGATGAGGTGTGTGAACGTCGACCACGCTTGTACCGCCTCGGGGCCTGAGACGGGCAGATCTTCGGTTTTGTCGTACACCCAGCACTCGTCCGAAGCGCACGAGGCAGGGAGCACCCCGCTGAATCGGTCCAAACGTGTCGACTGAAACAACGTCACTCCGGTCATAGCTGGCAGCACATCGATGTGGACCTTGATTGGTCTGCTTCCGTCTCCCTCCTGATCCAGCTGTTGATGCAAGAGCCTAAGAGCCTCGCCACCAGGGTAGTTGATGGAGCTGAGATAGCCCGTGAACCAGCTTAAGCCGAGCTGGAGCAGGAGGAGCGCTGAGAGCACGATAGTGCCTTGCCTGGAGCGCGTGAGCCTTCCAGCGCCGATTGCAGCTACGACGTTGAGGGCCGGCAAGGTGTAGAAGGCGAATCGCCACTCTTTGTGACCGAGCATGCTCAGTATAGCGACGTGTGTGGCTGCTGAGAGCAGCAGGAATCTTGCTCTCGCTTTGACGACCCCGCTCCGGTCTCGTAAGAGCTCGACCGCTCCAATGACCACGAGTGGACCAGTGAAGGCCAGAAGCTTGGGTATCAAGGACGTGGCGTAGGCATGCCAAGGGGAGACACCCCATTCGCTGCTCTTGCCATCGACCACATTGAACAGCAGAGCGTGCAGCTCGGGCCACAATGGCTTTGATTGATCGCCGGACGTGAGGTTGCGCAGCGACGAAGCAAGGATCCCGAAAATGCCTTTAGCCTGCGAGTTCGAGAGATCTTGCCAAAAGTACGTGTCTATCGCCATTGTCAGCCCGATGCTGAAAAAGGAAGAGACTATGCCCGTCTTGAGTGCAGCCCAAACACTGATCATGCGAGTCGCCAGAAGATAGAGTCCCACGGGTATGAGTGTGGCTGCAATCTCGAGGCGCAATACCACCGCGCTGAAAGTCAGGAACCAGATTGCCGTTCTCGCATCGCTCGAGACACGGTGCTTGTCCTTGTTGTTGGTGCCAATGCTGCGGCAGACCATAGCGAGAGCCACCGTCACGAGTGGCAAAGCGAGTGAATTGGGTATCGTACGACTCGCCCAAAATGCAAAGTGGAATTGCGCTGCCGTGACGATGAGGAAGAGGACGGCCTGCCGTCGCTCATTTTCTGACGTCGAAAGCCCATTTCCCTTCGCTGGTGACGATGCCGAAGCGAAGGTCTCTTGACAGAAGTATGCGATGGAGGTCACATTGACAGCTGCGAGACAGAGCCGTACAACCACTTGAACATCAGCGGAAGTCTTTACAACTCCGGCTATCCGCCAGAAGAGCAGGAACGGATAGGATAGAATGGCCAGCAAGAGTGGTCCGACGAACGAGCGCGGTACTGCTCCCGGAAAGACTTGGTGATCGTAGCGTGTCAAAGCAGAAGGCGCTATTCCGTAGCTGAGGATGTCGTGAACTGCCTGCATCGTGAAGCTCTCCTCGACTTTTGTGTATGGGCAAGACACCGTCCGCCACGTCACGAGTGCGAGCAGACAAGGCAGTCCGAGCAGCCAGACAAGGCTAACGTGACGATCCATCCTTGTCGCACGTTCCGTTTTACCATTCAGCGCCGCATAGCTGCCTGAGCTGTATGACTGATTGGGTTGATGGTTCTGATTGTAAGTTGCACGGGGTAGGGTGAAACAAGGTTAACGAACGCAAGCGAGCAGTTCTTCCTGACAGGCTGAATTTGAGCGCGGGCCATGCACGAGAAATTGGTTGTTGGAAAATGACGCTCGCTCGACTCCACATCACCTCCTACTTCACCACCAACTTCATCACCGCAAAGCAGCACAGCTCGCTCAGGCCTGCACTCGCGGTCAAGACCGAAAGCAAACACAACAGCATACATGGCGACTTTGCGAAAGGCTCGCGTGCCGCCAGCGACCGACTTGACCGCCGATTTCCACAGCCTCATCGCGCAACGACGGCAAGAGTATCCACCATCCTCCTCATCAGCACAGCCTTCTCGTGCGCTCAGACGCAAAGATCCACCAGAAAATGTGGTGAAAGCACACAAGCAGTGGCTCAGGCAGGCTTACATTATCCGCAAACACATCATTTCGCTACTCGGCTTCCTCTACTCGATACGTAGGAAGTACCTCGCCCTCGGCAAGGCTCGCACGCACCAGCTTCGCGCAGATCAGGATGGTACAGATACACCGGAAAATCAAGGTGATGAGGCAGGCTCTGCATTTGCAAAGTGGAAGGCTTTCACAGGGCCACTGAGCGATATGCAGAGGGACGAGATCGACTTTCAGGTCAAAGTGGTCATCAAACGATGCTTGGAGAGCATCAAGGAATTAGAAGCCGCAGAAGAAGCTCGTAAAAAGCATGCGCCCACAACACCAACAGCACTCTCGCCGCTCAACAGCCTACTCGCTCTATCTACAGCACGAGACTCTTCGACATCGATTTTGGCGTCTTCGCTCATCTCGGCACACCGCGCTTCGATCACGCAGTACCTGTCGACGCTCTTGTCAAAAGCGTCTGCGCTGCAGAGCGATATGCAAGAGGCGCGTCTCAGGGTGCAGCGCGAAAAGACAAAGTCGCTTGCCAACTCGAGGCCGCAACTGCAGCAGTCGGCCAACTCGGCTTCGGCATCCACAAGCGCAGCAGCTGCTCCAGCAGTGATTCGAGGCAGCGTGGGCGGCTCGTTCAACCCGGAACTCGACTCAGAGTCCAGCTTGGTCGGCAAAGACATCAGCGCCCAACTCTCGGCTTCGCAGATTGAAATGTTCGAAACGGAATCCTCCGAACTGATCAAATCGCTCGAGTCGGACCTAGCAGCCATCAGGAAGGCAGAGTCGAGGCTGTACGAGATCAGCGAGCTTCAGACGCAGGTGGTGCAGCAGCTGGAACAGCAGGGCGAGATCACGGATCAGCTGCTGGACGAAGCGATCGGCGTGGGTACTGAGGTGGGACGTGGAAACGAGGAGTTGCGCAAGGCGAGACAGAGGAGTCGAGAAGCAGACAAGTTTCTGTCCATCTTCTTGGTGGGAAGCGGTCTTGCTCTGCTGTTCCTGCATTGGATGGATTGAGTGGCGATGCTTGGTATCGGATCAATCTCAGAGCAGCTCGCAACAGCAGACTGAGACGTTTGGGCTGGTGCGCAATTCTGTCGAATGTGGTCGATTGAGAAGGTGACATTAAAGGCCGAGTTGTTCTTTTACAGAATCGCGGATGATCTTCTCGTACCCTTCGCGGTCGTCCCTGAACATTTTCTGTTGACGTGGAAGGGTCGGATGTATCAAAGTTGAGTCAATAGCCAATCACTTGCATCGCAACATCATCACCATCACTTCCAAAGCAAACTTACACAAGCATCAATGTTGGCACCGCTCTCGACATTGGGTTCGGCGAGCATGCTCAGTACGGAAAGCAAGATCTTCTCGATCGACTGGACCGGCGACCATCGTTCCGAGGAGGATTCGTACATATTTGGGTCGTCACCAGGTGCGTGAAGGATCGAGATGCAAACGAGACCGTCGGCGTAAACGTTTGGATGAAAGATGGGAGGCTCGAAGCGCATAGTTGGTGGTTCGAGCGGGTACGAGGCGGGGAAGGTGAGGCGGGCGGAGAAGACACCGCCTTCGAAAGGTGTGCCGTCAGGTCCAGGCACGAGCGCCTCCCATTCGAGGTAGTTGTCTTCGGAGATGGGACCTACGGCTGGGAAGAGTGTGTTTGGGTCGGTGGAGAGCTGCTTGTATTCGATGGTGAGGCGCTTGATCGCGGCGCTCGACGACGCTCGGCTGTTAAACATGTTGCGAAAGGATGCTGCTGATGGTTAGACCCTGACGATACTGACAATGCAAAGGTGATAATGAGGCGCGAAAGGGGAAAGCGTTGTGGTTGTTGAGAAACGTGTGTTGGTCCCGACTAAGTTATCGAGAGTCGGTATCACAAAGTGTTGGTGCGCGGCAAAAATAAGTTAAGCTGAACGCAACGATTGATGCGCCTCGAGCACGCTTTGTGTTGATCTCTTGCCAGGAATACTCAGGGCAACGTCACGTGGATGCGTCCCTTTTCCCAGATGTATTGGCTGAGAAAAAGGTGGTCTAACAACCAATATTGACACTTTTCGACGGCCGTTTAGACTGTGACCTTGTGCACGTTTTTGGTTCGGCAGCGGCAAGATGTCATGAGGTCACCCTTCTGCACGACTGATGCGTAACAATGACCTCTTCCTCGTGACCTCGTCCTCGATGAATGCCCCAAGTACTTTACAGGAACAGTGTCCATCGGTACTCCCGAAAGCGTCCTAACTTTCACACACCATCTCGTGTGCCAACAAGGTGTGTGATGATCTCACCTGGCCCCCTGACTGCATCTCGACTCTCTGAATGCCATCCATCGGCAGACATCAGCGGGAACAGCTCGAAGCAAATCTTAATTCGTGCTGCATTGTCCACGGGTCTTGCATCGTCTTCCGCGCGATCGGTCAACCTGAACGAAAAGTACGGCATCGCAGCTGGAGACAATGGGCGGAAGGCATACAAGCCACGAGGTCGCTCAACCGCCTTTACCGCACACTCTCTCGCATAGGCACTGTGAATGCAGCCGATGCAGCGACCATGTGTTGATGTCGAAGGCAGCGAACGCCTTTTGTGCACAGCTGGAAATTTTAATTTCAAATTAATTATTTCGGGTGTGTGTTTGTGCGTGTCTGTTTGTTTTTTAAACGCCAGCCAACAGCGGATTTGGGAACCCTTTCAGTGGCACAGAGACACTCTTTGATGGCTGACCCGACGCCCAAAAAGCTGCCGCTCGCCCGGACCTCTCTCATTCACGACATTCAGCAAAGAGAGCTTTGGCCGTAGTCCTGCCAAACCGACTTGGCTTCTTCGCAACCTTTCCCTAGATTCGACCACCACCATAGCTTTGTCCGCTCGACATCCGGCAGCGACAGGCTATCTCTACCGTCGCACATTGACGGTCAGAGGCTCACTGGTGCTCTGAGCTACGGCGCAAGCTCATCGCGACCTCGCCCTCCTTGTCCCAGCCGCCGGCATCCGTGGTTTACGTTCTTGCTCGACGAGAGCACGGCTCATCCCGTCTCTCGGTCAATTCGTCTCTGGGAATCGACGACCCGAAGCGTAGCAATCGAGGATTGGTACGGACTATCTCTCAGATCGCTAGCACATCTTGGTCGTTAGAACGAGGCTGTCGCAGGAATTCGACAGCACCAGCAATGCTAAGGTGGCATGACACTTCCGCTCGTCTGTAGTTGCTTGCTCTGACCGGTCAAGCTGTACCAACGATCCGTCTCCTCCCGCCCCATGTTCCGTAGTCCAGCACGTCACACGTCGACTTCGAAATGACCTAGCACACCAGCAGCCTTGGCTTTGGTCATCCCCAACCTTCCTTCGGCTTCTTTGTCGACCATCTGTCCCCTTACGGCGCTCTGTTGCAGTCCACACACGTGGCCGCTTCAGCGTGCTGAGGGCGTACGTACCTATTACCTTTACACCCTATCGATACACTTTCTCCAAGACAGCATGCCTACTCATCTCACAAGCAGCGATGCGCCCAGCTGGAGGCGGCCTGCCCAGCCCAATGCCACTTCTCAGCCAGTGCCCCTTCACACACAGAGGGACCACCAACCTAACCGTAGAGATAGAGACATGGCACATGACAACTGGAGGGCTCATGCGCACCCTGTCGCAGGTCCGTCGAATCCGCCCTACCCCCCGCCTTTGCAAGCTCAGCCGCTTGCGATCTCCGCCCCTCACGGCAAGATCGCAAATAAATCTTTGAGCAAGAACGCCGTCGAAGAAAATCCATCGCTGCTCTCGACCAGCCTCAAGCGGGAAAAGATGGGGATGCTCGATGCCGATTGGGTTCCAGGACATCATCCTCATCCTGATCCCAAAGCGTCGCACGCCATCAAGCCAAGTGGGATAGGCAACGGCGTCATTGGCAGAGCGCCCGAGTTCGGTACCTCGCCAACCAAGCCCAAAGGAGTCAATCTGCCCTCGGCTCGCCACCACTGGCCTCTCTCCTCGTCGCTCGAGAAGAATCCGAGCGCTGGACCGGCAACGCAACTGCCTCCCCTGCGCATCGAGTCGAACGATCGCTCTCGCTTCTTTCCTTCCACATCGACGCCATTCAAGCCAAGTCAGAAGGGTCGGTCTGGCCCACCAAGTCAGCAGAGCCTGCAGGCCAAGGATCGTGACGATGACTGGATGCTGACCCCTACCAGCTCTCTTCCCAGCATACCCAGCACGCCCAATCGATTGCGCGAATCCAGCACCGAACGTGTTCTCGCCGGAATGCCTCAACCCGGCGCTCAACATGCCATCGACAGCCGTCCACCACCATCAATCCGCGGTCCTGTCGAACAATTCCAAGCAACACTCCAGTCAGCGCCTCGAACTCCAAGCCCCGGCCATGGTTTTGCTCGCTCGGAAGCCGGTCATACCGGTGCCTCTTTGTTCAACCGAGGCCCCAGCGTCAACATCCTATCCTCGCCGAAGCGTTCCCCTCTTGTGATTTCGGCCTATCCGCATCGCCAGCAAGCAGGAACCTCCGCGGCAAACCCCGTCATGCTCAGCCCTACATCCTCGCCCAAGCTCGCCCACCGTACGCTGTCACCCGTCACAAGATATCCCCCCGTCATTCCTGAATCGCCCGCTCACTCGAGTGCAGACAGAGTGGTCAACAGCATCGCTTCCATGCTCAGTGGCGCGTCGCCCCAGCCGCGTCCTGGCTCTGTCTCTCGTCGCGAGTCTTTCAACTCTGTCGCTTCTGCAGGTCCAGGTCACTTGATGTCCCACTCAAGAAGGAGCTCTGCCGTCTTCTCTCCCAATTCGCCGACCGTTGCTACTCGCGTCGGCGTGTATCGTCCACCGCATCTGCGAAACCGCGGTAGCGTGTCGGGACTCAGACCGAGCGTGGCCCACTACGACCGTGTGCGCACGCCAAGCCTTCGTGGCCTTTCTCGCTCGCGAGAATCTTCCATGTCTCTGAGCCGACCCACTAGTCGACCGCCGTCGACTGTGCCGTTCTACCACGCCGAGAGTATACCCGAGGATGCTCAAGCAGACGACGCAGCACCCATCCCTCTCCGTGGACGACAAACCACAGCATCGATCCATCTGCCCGGCTTGATCGCCGAGGAACAGCAACGAAATGCCGCCGCCGCTGTTGCAGCCTCCGGCTCCGAGAGCGGTCCAGTCGGCACGTTTGTGCCAAATACCACACATCTGCTGGAGCAACCTCTCGACAGCGCTTCATTGCTTGCGAAGCTCAGGGCACAACTCGTCCGACGCGAGGCGGCGGCCTCCGATGTGGCCGCCTCCGACGTGGATCGAGACTCGGTGGTTACCGACGACAACGACCAAGAGTTCTTCGACCTCTCCGACATGATGGAGTATGGTGCATCCGAAGGGCACCCCCTCAGCCGTTACGGCAGCACATACGCCATCGAGGGTCGGCCGCTGGGCGACGTCTTTGAGATCGGGGATCTCCTCGGCCCTGGCCTTGAGCACGACGGCCACACCATCAAGATTGCTGAGACCACTCCGGGCTTTGTGGATCAGAATGAAGATCTCACGGGCAGTAAGTTGGAGGTGGTGCGGAAACTCGGCGAGGGCAGCTACGCGATAGTCTATCTGGTCAAGGAAGTCAGCGCAGACGAAGCTGCCTCGTACGCCTTGCAGAAAAGCATGGCCATTCCAGCGTCTTCGTCTCGCAACCTAGCTTCGGAGACGTTAACACGAAACCCTGACGACGATGCCGATCTGACCATGGTCGCCTCATCGGAGGACCTACTCAGTAGCACTCTCAAAGCGAACGGCAAGGGGAAGGACGGTGGATTCCACAACTCGCCTGCTCTCGAGGAGAGGAGGCGCAAGGACCTTAAGATCGACACTCGCCTGCGGCCCGGGAAGGAGTTTGCTCTCAAGTGTCTGTGCAAGCGCGACTTGCCCGAGGACATGCTCGAGGTTCAACGACTCGAGGCCACCATCCATCAGTCCATACCTGCCCATCCAAACATCGTCACGCTGTACCGCACCTACGAGACGCCCGACTGGCTGTTTTTAGTTCTGGAGTACTGCCCTGGCCAGGATCTTTACTTCTGGCTGGAACAGGCCCAAGACGATGGACAGCGCCCAGCGCTTGATCGAGAAGATGGTGCCGATACACGCGTCGACTACGACGATGATGCCGATTCCAAGTCACACGGAGGCTCGGATGCCTCGAACGACGACAACTATCGCCTGCTGGGCTCCTCGTTGGATGCAACGCCGCCTTCGCCATCACTTCTTGCCTCGACATCAGGCCATGGCTTGCTTTCCAAGCGTCGCATCCGCCTCATCGCTAGGATGTTCCGCCAGATCTGCGACGCCGTCCAGTTCTGCCATGACCGAGGCGTCAGTCATCGCGATATCAAGCCCGAAAACTTCATCGTAGAGGATCGCCGTACCGTCGAAGAGATGCAGTCCGCCTGTCCTGATACGAGCGTTAGCACTCTCGTAGATGGCTCTCATGATGGCGACGAAGCGCAGGTGATTGTCAAGATGACCGATTTCGGTCTCGCGACAGCGGAAGATCGCTGCGACGATTTTGATTGCGGCAGCAAGCCGTACATGGCATTCGAATGCCACAACAACATTTCGTCGTCGTACGATCCAAAGCAAGCCGACATCTGGTCGCTGGGTGTGGTGCTGCTGAATCTCCTCTTCCACCGCAGCCCTTTCACAGAGCCGTCGACGAGCTGTCCTTCCTTTGCAGCGTACTGTCAAGACCCAATCCGCTTCCTGATGGAGTCCTTCGACGGTCTCACTGAGACTGTCGCGCGCTTCCTCGCCGAAAACGTGTTCTGCTCCATCACCGACGACGAGGATGTGACTCAGCGGCGCATCTCTGCTGGCGAGTTTTCGCGCTGGGCTTGCGGTCTTGTGGACCATATGGGCCTGTCCGGATCCGGTCCAAGACGCATTTCTCGAGGCGCGTCGATCTATTCGACGATGCCACTCGTTCACTCGCGTACAGCATCCATGTCGACGCTTCCGTCCCTCCTCAGCTCGCCTCGACCCCGAGCTCGATCGCTGGCGCGCGACACGGATCACATTGCTGACCTCGACGTGACCGCCGACGCCACTTTTCGAGCTGCTTTCGCTGCTGCCTCCGCCAGGCAGGGCAGTCTGTCGCCGTACTCGGCCCTCTTTACGCCCGACGTTCTTCCTTCGCCTACGTTCACACCTTCGCCACAGCCGCCCGATCGCAATCCCTTCGATTCGCAGTACGGTGCTGCGGGAGAGGCTGCACGCCGTGCCGAGGGCATTGCTTCGCAAGAAAAGCACGAAATCCCAGGCCACTTGCACCACGACATGTCTCGGTCATCGAGCAGTCTCGCCGAGACGAAGCCTCGTGAGCTTGAACCGAGCGGTTCAGGGTCAAAGCAGGCAGGCCCTTCGACCTCTGTCAGCGACGACAATGAAGTGCACAAGGATGTTCGCAAAGGCTCGGACTCGCCCGACGATGCAAGCAATCTCCCAGATGAGACGCTGCTCGAAGATCAGAAGGCCCCCAAGGATCGAACGCAGGACGATGCGAGTCGTCCTGTCGACCGAGAAGGCATCAATCGCGACCCAGTCGAGCTCGACGATGCTGCCGATGGTGCTAGAGAAGCTGCGGGCGATGGCATGGACGAGGATAAAGCGGATAGCGTTGCTACTTCAAATCATTCGAAACGGCGCAAGCGTGGCGCGCGTAAGGGCCGCACCCTCGCCAAGCAGCTCAAACGATCGCAGTCTGTCGAGGCAATGGCGGATGGCCAAGCCGACGATCCGGCTGCCAAGGCTCGGGAACGTGAACGGACGATACGCGAGCTTGCTCTAGCATCTGAGAACCTGGCAAGACAGATGAGCAAGATGGCCAAGCCGAGCGAGGCTGTCGACGGTGTGGCTTCGCCGCAGGTCACATTGTCCAAGCCTACGGCCGAAGCTGCTTCTCGTTTCAACTTGCAGGGTTTGACGGACGCTGAGACCGAATCTGCCATCGCCCGGGTCGCCAAGCCTGCCGACGATGCGCCGGCAGCCAATTGGTCATCTGCAGCTGTGCGACGCGAGAGGATGGGCGAGCAACGCAAGACAGGAGTGGCGCCAATCCCAGATCCTGGGAGGAGCAAGGTCATGTCGTGGCGCGAGCGAAATCAGTCGGCTGCTACTCTGTCGTCGCTCGCCTCTTCGGCTACCAGCACATCGAGTCACAGCTCGCTGACGTCGGCAACATCGAGCATCTATTCAACCGCATCCGCCCCCGCTGCTCTCACGCGCAAGGATTTCTCGTCTCGCAATCGGACCCGAGGAAGTGGATTCGGTCTGGACACGATCTCGGAGCGCGAAAAGACGGCGCCTACAAAGAAGGAGGTGGACGCCAAGTATCTGGCCGGTATCTTTGGTGGTGGCCATGGTGGAACGCAGGACAAGAAGCGAAAGGAAGAAGCGTCGAGAGTCGGTACAAGCGTGGATGGCGATGCTCCGACCCCTGCATCGCCCGTGCAAGTGGCTACACCAGCCATCGAGAAGGGCGACAACAAGAACAGCAAGCTCTTTGGCCTGCTTTCGGATGGCACTAGTGCCGGCATGAGCAGCAGGGCGAATGGTGGGATACGCTCGGCAAGTGCAAGCGCTGTCAAGCCAGAGGATCCTCCGCCGCGTCCGGCCGCTATCGAGGCGGGCAGCAATGGGGCCGCTCAGCGCAGCGTCAGCGTCGGCAGCACGACATCTCACTCTAGCAATTCAGGCGTGGCGGCATCCTTTGTCTCGCGCTTCCGTCGTCCTACGTCGTCGTCGTCCAAGGCCACGTTTGGTTCCGAGGTGGACAACGCTGATCATGGTGGACATGCACAGACGCTTGGACCCTACGGCCAAGCTGGTGCCAACCCGGCTATGCGACGAGACGCTTCTACGAGCACGAGCAGTCTGCATCGGGTCACGCACAACGGTTCCGCTTCGGCGGCACCGGACGTTGCACCTACCAAAAGCAACGGAAGCACCAGCAGTATCAACATCAAGTCGAACGATGCTACCGGTACGGATGCGAGCGGGGCAGGGGCGGGGGCAGCGGCACCCGCAGCGTCTGCGGCAAAGAAACGCACCATGGGCAAGTTCCTGCTGGGTGTTCGCGATAGTATCAAGAACTTCTAGGCCTTCGCACTAGACGGCGTCGGCTGACCTCGCTACTCAGCACGAGATTCGCTATCGATATTATTCGTATATCCTTGTCGTTGTGTTCGTATTATTTTGCTCAGAATTGCACATCACAGTCTTTTTCTTCGGCGTCACTGCGATGCGTGCTAAAGTGACAGGGAAGAGCGAGGTTCGGAGAGAGTGGGATTGCAGAGGTGTGGGTTGGATCTTTTGGTCGTGATGGTGGGATTTGATCTTAGCGCCGTGGAGAGGTGGGGGGTTGAGGCCCTGCCTGTGTGTCACTGATAGCGCTTAGCGCTTGGTGGTCCGTCTGTTGGCCATTGGGTGGAGGTCTGGAATTCAGGGCGGCAGACAACGGAGAGTGGAAACTGTCGGACGAATTTTCCGAACGGCTTGTTTGGTCGAGCGGCCGATGGTGTCCGATCCGAGCCAGAGGTGAGATCGGGATTTTGTCTGTGACTTGTCAGCCGTCTCGCACTTCAGCTTCTGCGTAGCTTGTCTGGACCGCGGATCACTTTCGAGTCCACGTTGGTAGGAGGTGCCTGACCCACAACGGCAGTGGTGCAACGTGGACGATGTATCCCGTGACTCGGCGTTCTGGCGAAGATGATGGGATGTTGATGCCGGTGTCACTCGTTGAAGCCTATAGTGGAGCAACGGATGGATGACCGCGGAGTGGAGTAGTCGCAAGTCGACTGCGTTGCGGCAAAGCACCCTCGGAAAATTTTCTCCACTCACAAACAGGGACGGAACCACTTATCCGCGAGACGCACAATGGAAGATGACTTTTTTGCAACTCCGTCCAGCCGACTTGGACGACCCTTGATTCCACGAAATGACAACGGCGCCGTGATCCTTGCTCAGCTTCTTGCACGGCTTGTCTCGGCATTGCACAAGACTCTTGGGACATAGCAACGATGTCGTGGTGATCACATTGAACATAGCAACGGTGCCGCGGTGATCAGAACAGGAAGATTGCGACGATCTTTGCGAGAGGGTGATGCACGTCATGCAAAGCGGCTAGGCACTGAAAAAAATTTGCCGAGCCAGATCAGCCTAAAAGAAGAAGCCGGACGTAAGCAAAAGACCGCGAGGCAATTTGGAGATTATTCACGCATGATGTTTCGGCAGTCGACTTCCGCGGGGATGCCGCGTCCTTGCCTTGGCCTGCTGGTGAGCACCTCTTCGCGTGATCAGCTGCATCCGCTGCCGAGAAGGCTAATCCGATTTGAGCCTAAGCCTCTTGTCGACGCCTAGCTTTTGACGAGTCACGCTAGTGTCGTGGCAATGGGCTTGGCTGCGGTGAGGACTCGTCTGACGCGATCACAGCGCAAATCGCTCGCGGCATGGCTGACGAAAGTTGGTGGATGGCTATGCGAGATTCTGCATGGAGCCTGCGGCATGCTCAAAACTTGGCTTCTTTTGCCACGAGTCTTGGAAGCGTAAGCCAAGCCGATCGTATTCTTCATTTCTGTCCTGCCCCGCAGGCTGCCAAGTCGTCCGTGTGTTTGGTCTATGATACGGTATGAACTAGGCTGTCTTGCCAAGAAAGCGCCAGAATGGTTTCGTGCTTGGGGCTCGTTAGCTCGGTCGGGCGAACGCGCAGTCGAAGAAAATGAGAGGAATCAGGCGGAGTTAGCTTTCCGGAAAGGCGGGCCTAAGGAGCGCGTGCGTGATCTTGTATGTCAGCTCGTCTTTGTGCGACCGCGCTGCGTGCCGGTGTCCGTGTCAGAATTGGTGACGTTGAATTGCGCCTTGTTTCTGCGCTTGGCACTTTCTTAGCTCCACGGGAAATCCGACTCTGCTCTTCCGCCTGCCAAATTTTGATCTGCCGGGAGAGAAAACGGAAAAGAGAAAGCAGCGCTGACATTCTGCCGTACTCCGTGGACTAAGTTCAGCTGCTTCTCCACTTGAAGTGAAAAAAAACGGCTCCTGCCAAGCCGCTGTCGCCGCCTCGAGCAGGCGAGAAGAAGCTTCTTGTGTCCCCGGCAGGCTGAGCTTTGTTTGACATTACGGTGCTACGGTAACATGATGCCGCTCGGCAAATGTCATCCTTTGCATAGATGCATAGGATTGAGCCGTTTGCCGTCGATGACAGGTCCAACGGGTATATAGTCAGGCGCCCCTGTTCACCATCGACGATCCGAGCCCGGCCCCCGTTCATCAGAAGATAACACCTTACACAATCTCCTACTCCCTTCACCAGACGCTCTCGATCAACGACTGCCCAACACGCGATAAGCAAAGCACCACTTGCCCGGTCTACACCACAACCCACCAGACCCTCAACTCTTGCTCACATACATACATATCGCAAGATGTATACACCACAAGACAACCACCACGTAGTGCACATCGGTGGAGCGTCCTTCGTTCCACCCATGATGACGCACTTTGCCCACGTCCCCAACCTCGCCTCGAGCCTATCCTCCCCCATCTCCGAGTCCTCGTCCTGCTCCTCTCCTGTCCACTCTCGCTTCTCTTCCAGCTCCACATCCGCAGCATCGGAGGCTGAGTCGCTCGAAGAATGGGATGCAGTTCAAGCGCATCTGGCGTACGCACGACGCATGGCCGACCACACGGCGAGCATGTGGCAGAAGGAAAGGCTCGCTATCGAAAAGGCCAAGCTCGAAGGAACGTACACGGGCAACATGACGAGTCGACAGAATGGAAACGCAAGGCCAACGAAGGAGGATGAGGTCAAGACGGCCGGGTCGTCGACAGGGAGCGAGAAGAAGAAGGCGAGAGGGTTCGGCGGGCTCTTGGCATCCATCTTCTCACCAAGCGCCGACGGTGAGCCTCAACGTGGCAGGTCTAGACGCCGTTCGCAGTAGACGATCCTCTAGACTCTCCCAAGGGCTTGCCCCCATGGCTCAACCACAGCCTCGCTCCATCCCGTCTCAAACAAACTCGCATCTGTATTCTTCGGCCCCACGTCTTCCCACCACTCGGAAGGTCCCCTTTGCAAGCTCCTCTTTGTCACGTTTTGTCACGTCTCTGTATACGACGCATTGTATTTCTATGTTATCGCTTTATTCTCATTCTGTCACACTTCTATACGTTTTCAAGCTCATTGATAATTCTCAATCGCACGCATCAAAACGCAGACAACCGCTTCCGTGTGACTCTATCTTCTTTTGCTGAGCTGAGTCTGCTGTGACGCTTGACAAGCTGGGATGTCTGCATCACTTGGCTCCAACAGCGCCGCCTGCAGTAGCCGCCGTCCCAACCTTCGCTACGTCTCCACCAGCCAGATGAGCCAAGGCTCGAACAAACTCGATCGGCTTCAGGATCTCCGTCGCACCATACGTGATCTTCTTCCCACCCTGCCCAGCACCAACTCCTCCCCCTACTCCACCTCCTGCTGCTTGAGCTCCAACAGCGACCGCCGTCCGCATCGCATAATCCTGCAGATTCGCAAACTCAACATACCCACCTCCACCCACCACAAACACCACCGCCTCCGCAAAGTTCTGTCTCGCCTTGACCCCCCCACTAACCCCTGCCGTCCTACTCCTCGCCGCCTTCGGATCGAAGAACAGCCACTCATCCGTCTCCTCCAGCGCCTTTGCATTCGCCGAGCCCGGATCCATCAGACTCGCCACCAACCTCGTCACCGTCAAATCCTTCTGCGCAGGCAAAAAGTTCTTCACGCCTTGAACCAACCCCTCCAAGCCGGAATCCTTCAGTCGATCCGTCAACCTCGAACTCAACCCACTGAATCCTCTGAACCCAGCCCCCTCCACCGGCGCAGCCTGCGCAGGCGCGGACGCCAACATCGTCATCCGCGTCAGCTCCCTCACCTTCTTGACGTAGTTCAACGCCGCTAAATCCGCACCCTGCTCCTTCAAAACCCTCTCAAACTCCTCCACGTCGCCCTTCGAAAGCGCACTGTCCGGCGCCGAAAGATAGTATATGATGAACAACCTCAACTTGTCGTTCACGTCGTGCAGACTGGCATCCTTGACCGTTTCCAGAATTGTCTCCTTCTTCTGCCTCGCAATCGCCTCCTCCAGTTGGAACAGCGTGTCCAATCCTCGATTCTTGATACCTTGGAGCAACGACGTGGCGATGTTCATGTGCGCATCGATGGTCGATTTCCTCTGCGTCAACTCCGGCAGTGCCGTGATGGCTGCTTTCAGGTGCGCGGCGTTAGAGGTTGCATCCAATTGACCTACTTCGTCCATACTGCTGATACCCGTGGAACGCGTGATCTCGGCAGCGTCGGATTTGTACCTGTTCAGCTCGAAATCGATATCCTCCGCCACCTGCGGGAACGGAGTTGCCGAATTCTTGGACCAGAAAAAGTCCTTCGAATCCAGATCGTAGGTCTTCTTGCTCGAAACGCCGCCCTCGCTGGATACGACGGTGACGCGGTTGAGTTGCAAGTCGAGCACATCCTGGACGAGCGCTTGGTAGGTCCAGCTGTGCGCGAGCATGGGTACTAGATCGACGTTGCGGTCGATAACTAAGAGGAGTGGACGGGAGGAGCTCCAGCTGGAATGAGCGCCGCTGCCCGCTGCTTCGGAGAACAAGTTGGACCCGCCCCGAGAGCTGGTGATGTGCTCGCGGATTTTGGACTCGAGTTTCCTGGCTACCAGCTCGGCGGCATTTCCGCGAGGCGATCGGATGATTGGTAGCGCACCCATGGTTGCAAGCGTCGAGAGAAGGCCGGCGGCGATGCGGTCCGTGGCGTCCTCGACATCCTTCTGCCCGGATTTCGGGTCGTTGAGCCTTTCGTACGTGGTCAGGGTGCGGTCCGTCGACGAGGTCGGTGTTGCTGCTGCGTTAGCGCCGTTGGTCGAAGCTGAGCCAGCCGAGGGCGCAGCAGCATCAGGAAGCAGCTCAAACAGGTTCGGTTCAAGAACGATAAAGTTCAAGTACTGATCGTACACCTGCTGAACCAGCTGGCCCGTCCCATCGGCTACAACCAGATTCGCAAGCTCCTCCATTACCGCTTTCGGTACGGTGCTGGTGAAGTTGACGTAGAAGCTTTCGTACAGCATCTTCTTCATATCCTGTGCGATGCGTTGTACATTCTGAGATGTGGGCGAGACAAAGTACACAGCGGGCACATCTGTCAATGGCGGTCGATCCGAATGCAGCTGCATGTGCAACGTGACGCCATTTTCGCGCAGATCCTGGACGCGCAAGGATGTGGCCAATATGTCCTTTGAAACCTTGTCCATCACGAGGACCTTCCATACCGGTGGGCCGGAGGGGATGGATGGATCTGCACCACCTGCGTTGGCGGAAGCATCATTCTGACCTGCTGCAGATCCTGGCCGGGAATTGTAGTTGGAACCTGGTGCGGAGGAGGACGAGGATGCGTGGTTGAAGGACGAGGTGTTGAGGTTGAGCAATGAGAGCAGAGAGTTGACCTGTGCTGTACGGAGAGTCGATGTGGGAGCCGACGTGATGGACGCCATTGTGATGGCGCACGAGATTGCTGATCTCGTGTGATGTTCGCTGAGATCGCGATGATGTTGAGAGGAGGAGATGATCGATTCACAGTCGGTGTTGGTTTCCTGACGAGGCACATGGTCCATGCTCGCTGATCTTCGACGCCTTGACGTGGAATCGTGACGTCGGCTGCCGTCCTTTCGGGCGGGTGATTCTGAACTGAGTTCAACCCGCATGTTAGACCTCCTCTGCGGATCTTGTCCAGATTTTCGCACGCGTTACTTCGAAATCACGCGCCTCTCTCGTTCGGCACACTCCGAAAGTGAAGCTCTCCACCGTCCGGAAACGGCAATGCCGGCAGACCGAGACCGAAGCGCTCTCTCTGCGCACGGAAAGGTGTGGTGTCATTGCTCTTCTGTCGTACCGGAAAATGGCTTCCGCAAGTGTCAAGAGGGAAACGAGGTTGATGTGAAGGGCAATGCGAAGAATAGGATTGGGCCGAACCGGGATTGAGGAGCACGGCCGTGTCCCCTTCCCCCCCGCATCAGAACAATGCCGGCATCCGGTCACCAACTTTTTGTCTTGCATGACTTGTCTGGTATGCGAGCACAGCGGTTACTTGCATCCTGTCGGTGCGATATGGTCAGAAGAGCAATTCGTGGTATGAATTGCTTCGAGAGAAGGTACCGTAGCGGAAGACTTGAGATGAACAGGCATGCGTGCAGAGCTCGGGCATGCTTCGAAGCAAGCAAGCCTCTTTCACGAATGGCGGCCCGTGAGCAGCGTCCTAAATCTTAACTCGCTTAAAACGTTGCTGGCCCGAGAGGGTCCACTTTACTTGACTTTCAACCACATCCATCGACCGATCCGCGCCTGCACCATCGCTCCCCCTCGCACCTGCCATTCATTCAAGCAATCACTCATCGCGGCTAGCAAATCCAAATCGGACTCGAGCCGGACTTTCTCCCATCTGGATCGTGCAACATGACCAAAGCAGGATCAAGAGAGATGGGTCGAGAGCCTACGTCTGAAGAGCAGGAACCGCCTGTCTACGAGCAAGGTGTCAACTCACCCTCGCGATCCGGCGTCGCAGATATCGCGGAAGCGCTCGAGGTTGAAGAGATCGATGCAGATCTATACAAGTCGCTCACGCTCTGGAAGCCTGCTCGAGCACGAGGCGTGTTCGGTGGACAGGTAATCGCACAAGCCGTAGCAGCGGCCAACAAGACCGTTCGAGAAGGGATGCTGCTCCACTCGCTCCACAGCTACTTCCTTCTCGCCGGTGATGAAACCCGTCCCATCATCTACCAGGTCAGCCGCGTTCGTGACGGTGGATCCTACGTCACACGTTCCGTCAACGCCATACAGAAGGGCAGGTCCATCTTCACCATCATCCTGAGCTACCAGAAACCCGAACCGCACGAACCCACCTTCGCCATCCCACTCCCCTCCCTCGATACTGACGGCAAGTTCCTACTCGAGTCGATCACCGGATCTCACGCTACCGGGAATCACTCTGCCAAAGCGATCAACTTTCGCGCTCTCCCCGGTCCCGACGACTGCCCTCTCAACGAGAAACGATACCAAGAAGTCCTCCTCCACGGCAACCCCGACCCGCGCGTCCGCAAAGTCCTCGAAGGCTGGATCAGCGACCGACAAGCCTCTCCCGTCGAAATTCGTGACGCCCTTCCCGGAATGTACGACCGCAACGGAATCCCCACCCCCGGCAACCAACAGGCCTTCTGGATGCGTACCCGCAGACCCATGGCTGGCGGTTTCGAAGCGCAAAAAGTCGCCCTCGCTTACGCTTCCGACTTTTACCTGTTGAGTACTGTGCCCAAGGCGTTGAACAACAGCCGCAGGATCAAGATGATGGCGAGTCTGGATCATAGCATGTGGTTCTACCAGCCGTTTGAGGTGCACAACTGGTTGCTGTTCGTCATGCAGACGCAGGCCGCGTCGAACGGGAGAGGCGTGGTGGTGGGGAGAATCTATAGGGAGGATGGAACCTTGGTGGCGGTCGTTAGTCAGGAAGGGTTGATTCGTGGCCAGGTGACGAACAAGCCTGCTGCGGCAAAGAGCGAGGATTCGACCACAAAGGCCAAGCTTTGACCGCGTTGGCTGCACTTGTAACATTAGGATTGTTTTCGAATTTGCAAGTCGTCTTGAGAAGAGAAGCCACGTGTGCTACTCAATGCTCATCGCTAGTGTGACACTCATCGCACCACGAATAACTCTGTAAGCAAGCTCGTCATTGCCGTGGTACGGGCGTGGGTCATGCAAAAAAGCTCGAGCCGGTCCTCGAGTGCGAAGCGCGAAACGGCGAACTTCTCGAAAAGTCGGCCAGGTTGGCCGCTGTACTGCTGGTCGGCAACCCTGCACCACCGCCGCCAAACCCACCGCTTACGGTGGAGAACGAGATCGAAGAATCGGCATCAAACCCGCCACCACCCACCGTTCCCGTATCCCTGTTTGGCTTGATCTGAGCGACTTTCCTGTTCAACTGGTTCACCTTCTCCTTTGCTTCCGCCAACATCGCCGCCTCCCCACTCAACATCTTCTCCACCCTTTTCAGTTGTTCCCCACCCAACATCCCCTCCCTCTCTTCCCGACCGGCACCGGCTTGCGACTGCAGAGCACTCATCTGCGGTCTCAGCAGCGACAGCTGGTGCTCCAACAGCTTGGCCTTCGCCGACAGCGACTTCCTCATTCCCCTCGTATTCACCTTGAACTCTCCACCTGAGCGTGCAACCCCGACTTCAGAGGCAATGCGTTCGAGTTCCTCGAACCATTTCTTCTCGTACATCGATAGGCTTGGTTGGTGCGAATCCATCAGCCGCTGCAGTGCTTTATCGATCCGGGCGACGAGTTGCAGCTGCGTCTGGGCGATCTGCGAGATACGCTCTCCCAGCGTTCCTGCCGTGCCGAGGTCGTTGCAGCGCAGTCGGATGGCGTTGAGCTTTTCGAGCTGACGCGTCATCTCGCGCACCTGGAGGTCGAGTCGTGCTTGGACGGCGTTGCCGGCGGAGACGACGGTGCGGATCTCGTGACGGTAGGTTTCGACGGTCTTGCCCAGCGTGCGGAGGAGTTCCGGGGTAATTTGCAGCTCGGATTTTGAGTTGGGGGTGGAGAGGGCTGCTCGACGAGGATGTGAAGGTAGGCCTTGGGTTCCTGTCGATTGCGCAAAGATGGCTGGAGGCTGGAAGGCAGGTCCTTCACCAAGCAGCGAAACGTACGGTTTGTGGCCGTCGGAAGACCCACCTCGTTCTAGTCCAAGAGATCGTTCGCCAGCCGCAGGCGAATCGATCGCATCTTGCTCGATACGCAGGGACAGCTCCACACCCACCACCTGCAAATCCGCCGTCACAGCCAAAAACGCATACGACAGATACACGTCCGACAAGATCTCCAACGCAGTCACGGGATTCAGATCCAGCCCCTCCCCGCTGTCCTGTGCAACCGTGTTGACGATCCACACCACCTCACTGCTTTGACCATGGTGGAGCATCTTGACCAGCGCCTGCTCGCGCGACTCTGCCGCCGGGCGCGAGGTGTCGTCGTGCGCGTCGTTGTCCAGCTCATCTTGAGACGGCTTGTTGAGCGCGTCCAGCAGCTTGGGTATCCACGTAGCGAAGCCGAGGCATTGCGCGCCAAAAGCGTGGTAGATGTAGACGGTGTCGCCGTAGAGCGGGTCTCGAACGAAGCGAGGTCTATTGCTGGAGGCCTTGCTGAGCAGAAGATCGGAAGCGGCGGATGGAGATGTGATGCCATTGTCGATGGCTGTGTCCAGCAGACCTAGGTCGATGGTTTCGTAGACGAGCAAGGAGGGAAGTTCTTCCGGTTCTTCCAGGGTGAGTGCTTCGAAGTCATCCGCTTCGTCCTCTGTATCTGATAGACCGTAGCGGTTGGTTTTGCGCGGCTTGCTTGGACGACGTGCAGCTGAGTGTTGCGTTGTTGTCGATACATCCCACGCGGCTTCGACAGATTCGAAGAGGAGGCCGACGTCCACGCGTCCATCGTGTCCCACAATGCTCAGCGCGGCAACCCCTGTCACGACCGTGGAGGCTTCCGCTTGCGTGCTTTCGTCGGTCAGCCAGGTCCAAATGAGGTCGCATGCTACACTCTCGCGCTCGTCGCAGAGCTCGACCGGTGCCGGCTTGAGCAGATACGGCCCTTGCGGCCTCGGTGCCTTCTTCGCACTCCCGCCTTGAGCGAGGTTCTGCCTGTATGACCACGACGGCGGGTGCAGCTGCACGGGCCCCTCCTGCATCTGTTCGGCTCCCGACCCCGCTTGTTCCGGTTGCACCGAGGCTCTGGGCGAGTCGGTTAGCTCATCCAGGTTCATAGTGGAGGTAGATCGAGATCGTACAAATCTTTCAGGACCAGGCGTAACCGAACCCTGTCGTTCGCCAAAGTCGTTCGGTGATTCCTTGCGGGCCTGCTTGAGAAGCGCATTGACATAGCGCAGTTGCGTGTCGACGTGGGATGTCTGCTGCGACTGAGTGGTGTTCGCGCGGTAGGAAGCAAGTTTAGCTAGGTTGTGGATATAGGCAGCGGGGACAGTGGCGCTTTTTGGGAGGAACGGGCACAAAGCCCACACGTCGCCGTTCTTCATCAAACCGAAGACGGTGAGCGGCGACCAATCGGACGGTCCGCTGGAACGCTGAGCTTCCGCAGCCCACGTGCGATCTGCATCCTGATCGAAGCTCGAAGAACGAGGAGACGGGGTGTTGGTGACGCACAGAGAGAAGCTGACTGCTGTTGTAGCATCGTCGTCGTCTGCAGAGAGACCAAAACCCCGTACACTGGGACCAGTCGTATTGGCAGCAAAAGACGATGAGCGTGTATGAGGTGCAAGACCGGGAGTCGCCGAACGTGATCGAGAGCGGTGTCCAGCCGAGCTCGACTGTCTTGGCAAGAAGGAAGCGGTCTGCTGTGGCTCTTCGGTGTCCTTTGCCACGTCGTATTCGCGAAACAGACCGTCGTCCGTCAGTACCAGAAGCGAGGTGCCGTTCTCACCCCATGGATGCCAGTCGACCTTGACCACTGCGGAGTTCGAGTGGGCGGAATGATAGTAAGGCGCAACCGACACCGTTCGGCAAGCAATCTCTCGGTCGACATGCTTCGTGTAGCCTGTGCGGGGAAGCACAAGGAGGGTGATCTGACTGTCGCCTACGCAGGCGAGCAGCTTGCCGGTGGGGTTGATGCTGAGATTACGGATGTCAAAGTCAATCGATGTTCCCTGTGGCGGCACAAGGACCTTGTAAGCGAAGTGAGAGCCCAGTCGTGTGGATGACGAGGACGATGGCAGGATCGGTTGGTTGGAAGCAGAGGCTTTTGCGTCGACGAGGGATGCGATGCGGACCTCGTTGTCGACAATAGCGATGAGGTCCGTGCCACGAATCGTCATGAGTCGTGTATGGATTTCTGACTGAGTAGCTGCCTCGATGTGTGACGTGGACGTTTGATCATTCTGACTGCGTTTTGAGATGAAGATGGGATGGGTCGACAGTTGCTGCAACCACTGAGGATCGGCCAAAGTTGGATCTGGCGATTGCGGGTACCCGCCCAAAGGCGATTGCGAATGGCTCATTGTCGCAAATGTTACCAGTGAAGTGGTTTCGCGAAGGTGCGATCAAGGTGGTCGTATGTGCGGAAAGAGAGGGGGTAGGATCAAAGTGTCACGAAGACCAACACACGCAGCAAACTGATCCGAGCAGTCCTTCCAAAATTGAACATGTCAAGCTTACCTAATTCATCCATCAAGCATTCCGTTGGACCCTGCGTTTCCCACTTTCCGTGTTGCTTCCTCCGCCTCGACCTGCACGTCTCAGCTCATACCTTCACGTCTTTCCGACACGACCACAGCAGCGCCCGAGTGCGCGACACTCTGTCTCGGCCATGAACGCGGAAGCAGGTCCGAGCCGGACCCCTGCGCGCAGATCTGCGCGCAACGCAACATCTGCAAAGAACACTACATTCGACTGGTCACGACTCGCCGGCATGGACGTGGACGGGGACGACGAAGACGCCGAGTTTGGCGCGCTCGCATTCGGCACTTACGATGACGACGAAGAAGACTCGGACGTCAGCAATCCTGAATGGGATGATGACGAGCATTCGGACGCGAGCGCCACTGCTAACAAGGGTGGTCCATCCAAGAAGCCGCCCAAGCCCTCCTCCGTAAGGCCACGTACCGGCAAAAGCAAGGCAGCGAGACTGAGCACAGGTCGCAGGAAGGGGGATACAGAAGCAAGCGACGAATCGAATGACGAAGATGAGGACTATCACATTCATCCAGTAGCAGACGATGATATGGATCTCGATGCTCTGGACCCTCAACTCTTTGGCGGCACCGGCTCCTCAAAGTCCCGGCAACTCCCTCCCGAGCAGGAAGATGCCGAAGTGGACTTTGAGCCCGAATCCTTCCAGCGCCTGGTCAGCTCTCTGCAAGACACGTCTCGCGAAGCAGGTGCACTCCGTCAGCAATGGGACACTTCTATCGAGGTCGAAAACGCCGAATTTGAAAACGAGCTTCGCGCTGCTGCAGGTTTCAAACAGAAACGTCGCGCACGAAGAAGAGCTCACGAGCAGCCGCTCTCACCCGAGGTTCAAGCCCTACTCGCGGACGCAAATCTCGCATACGTCGAGAACCGTGTTCACGATGCCATCCCCAAACTCGAAGAGGTCATCCGCATCGAGCCCAACGTCAAAGCAGCCTGGAACACGCTCGGTCTCATCTACGAAGAGATAGGCGAAGAGGAGAAGAGCATTCAGTGTCGGATCATCGGCGCTCATCTTCAGTCTGGCGCATCGCAGGAGTGGAAGTCGCTCGCCTACCGCTCGATCGCGCAGATGCTGTATCGTCAAGCCATCTACTGTTTCCAGCAAGCTATCAAGATCGACAAGGCTGATGTCGATAGTATTTGGGACCGAGCATTGCTCTTGCGAGACCTGGGAGACTTCAAGGCTGCTATCAATGGCATGCTTGATATCCTCAAACTCCAACCGTACGACTCGTCGGTTGTTCGAGAGTTGGTTCCCATCCTTGTCAGCACAAGGGAGTATGACCGTGGGATCGAGGTGCTCGAACGATGGAGAAAGTCGAGCATGGAAACGTTTCCAGATCCGAGCCTCGACGGTCAATTGGATCCAGCAATCACAGGAACGGGGGATGCAGAGGAGGCGACCCTAGCGACGCCTGCAGCGCCAACGGTCAACAAGTTCAAAATTTCGGAGCTGGTCACACTCGCCGACCTGCTGCTTCTCACCCGCAAACCTGTCGAGACGGTCACTCTACTTCGCCAGACAGCGCGATGGCTCGACGGCCGAGCAAAGGAAGATTTTTGGGACGCAGTCAATGACGATCGCGAATTCGACGGCGACATCGACCTACAGATCCGCAAGGAGCGCGATCTCGAAGGGTACGGTCGGCAGGTCGAAACGGCCGAACCGCACATGCTCGATCCCGAGGTTCGGCTGCGTCTTGGCAAAGCTCGCATGATGCTCGGAGACCTGATCGAAGCAAAGCAGCACTTTGACATTCTGACCGACGGAGATCCGGGCGACTTTCCTCAGATTTTTGCCGAGGTGGGCGACTGCTACTACGAACACAAGCTGTGGGCTGAAGCTCTCGACGTGCTGACTGATCTGGCGAGCACAGAGTATGCCACCGACGACGTCTCGCTGTACGCCAAATTGGCCGCCTGCAACCACGCGCTGGGTGAGCTAGAAGAGGCGGCACGGCTTTATGAGCCGGTCGTCGAAGCGTCGCCGGATACGCTGGAATGGCAGATGCGACTCGCAGAGGTTTACGAGGGGCTGGGCGAGAAGGAGAAATCACTCGAAGTGCTGCGACAAGTCATGCACATCCTGCAGACGCAGAGAACAGCAGAGACGCAGCTAGAAGCCGGTCTCGATCCTAACGTTGCAGCGTCTCAGGCAGGCGGCATCGCCGAAGGTCAACTCTCCTTCTTCGACGAGGTCGGTGCCTCTTCGCCTAACAAAGCAGCCCCTACCGCCAAACGAGCTAGGATGAACTACAACCGGCAACAGAGACTCAAGTTGGAAGTGCAACGAGAGCAAGAGACGCAGCTGTCGTGGCGACGTCTCGAGCTGCTCGACGCACACGTCTTTATCGAAGGCTTCTGGAGGCACGACGTCGCCGTGACGCAAGAGGGTGAGGAGTTGTTTGGCGAACTCTACACTTCAACCGAAAGCGTCGATCAGCGCGAGAAGCGATATCGACAGACATCGCAGTGGCTAGAAGAAGCAGGTGGGCTCATCGATGCCTTCCGCCTCAACCCTCGACTCAACGGTCATCATCTCAAGAAGAAGCGTCCCGGTGGCGGTCGTACCTCTGCCGGAAGACAGCGTCGTGCAGATGCACCATCCTCCACAGGTACCCTCGCCAGCCTGCTCAACCAACACGCCGTTGGCAACAACGCTATATCCACCCAGGCGCGAAACCTGCTCCATCGGCTTCAGGATCAACTCGTCGAGGACGACGCCATCTCTGACCTCGCTGACGGAAGCGAAGCCGGTGACGCTGGAGACACTACCCGCTCCTCTCGCGCTGAACCTGGACCCAAACAGCTGGATTTGTCTCGCTTCCGCGGTCTTTCCATCGACCAATGGATCGAGCTTTTTGCCAAATACTGTTTCCTCCTCGTCAAATCTAATCAGCCCGCGTCTGTCGTCAACTCCCTCCTCCAATCTCTGCAAACATCAGCGGTCGTCTGGGGCATATTCGATCGGATGCTCGTCGTTCAACTTTCCTGGCTCTCGTGCGCACTGTACGCCAAAGACTGGCCTACGGTGTGGAGCTCCGTGCGGTGGATGGCGCAGGAAATGCAGTTCCACAACTTCCCCCTGAAGCTAGGTGCGAGCCTTGCCAACGCTACGGGGATTCACAGTCTGGGTCGGATGATCAGCAACAACGATGTCAAGTTCTACCAGCGCAGGATGCGGCAGGCGGAGGCGGTGGCGAGGGGTGCGCCGTGCAAGTTCTCCGGAGTCAGTCGTAGGTGGCAGGTTCCGAAGGATGTTACGGCGTCTCTTGCTAGGCAAGGTGATGATGCGTGGGTGGGGCAGGGATCTGCGCAAAGGTCTGCAGCAGACGCGAGCGAGTCCGACGCAGATCTCTCATCCGATCATCAGGAAGAAGCTTCTTCCATCCCGGAAATCAAGGGTGATCGACCAGACCCTGCGCTAGCCGTTCGACTTGCACGCCCTACCAAACCTTCACCTCTCGCGGAAATCTTCTACGGCTACATGCTGCTCTACTCGGGTGGCTTCCAGTCCTCCTCCGCCTTCTTCGGTCGAGCGTTTGCCATCCAGCCCACCGACCCTCTACTGTGTCTGGTCACGAGCGTAGCCGTGCTCAGCAGAAGCACGAATCGGCAAACCGACAATCGTCATCATATGATCCTTACGGCAATTTCGTTCTTGCAAAAGTACCTTAAATATCGCGCGGAGGAAGGAGAAGTAGGAGAAGGGAAAGGAAAGTATTGGGCGGAGATGGAGTACAATAGAGGAAGAGCGATGCATCATGTAGGGCTGGTGCATTTGGCAGAGAGACACTACAGGAATGTGTTGGAGTGGGTTGGCGGCGAAGGTGAAGAAGCGGAAGGAAGAGGATGGGGGATGAAGAGGGAGGCGGCTTGGAATTTGGGCTTGATCTACACGACGAGCGGAAGTACGGCGTTGGTGAGGGATTTGTATGAGAAGTATCTCCGCGTTTGAGCGAGTCCTACCAACGCGATTGCTTGTGTGCGATGCAGGCGAAGCAAGCTATTCGGAGGTGCGTCACGGTGATGTTATTATGGCCATTGTAAACGGGATCGCCAACAATGCGAACTAAGAAGCCGAGATCTCAATCTCCTCTTCCTTGACCTTGAGATCTTCTTGCTCCCCTGGCACGGGACCTTCCTTCGGCCCATCCCTTTGTACCCCCTCCTCCGACCCATCAATGCCAACCACAGTCCTCGGACCCCCTCGATTGGCGATAGTGTTCCTCAACGTCTCGTCGTCCACACTATCTTGATCTTCACCATCCTCATCTGCAGTTACCGGTGCATCCCTGTCCTCGCAACTCTTCTTCTTTCGCAGCGAGTGATGTGTTCGCAGCAGCAGCGTCTTGGCATGACGCTTTTCTCGCATGCGCTCTGCAAGTACTTTGGAGAGGTTGACTGTGCGACGGCCGCTTGCGCTGCTGCTCGTGGTGTGTCCTGATGACGGAGGGGGAGATGACGATGGTGGATGGGAAGCGGAGTCTTGTTCTGAGATGGATGCTGCAGGATGTAAAGCAGGGATGATGGCAGGATCGCTGCTGTTGGGAGGGCGGATGACAGCATGGACTTGATCTGTTTCCCGACCAGGAGTTTGACCTTGACCATCAACACCGATCGCCGACACCTCTTGCTCTTTCTTCAGGCTCTCCGTGTCATCAACACCTTCTACCTTCGCCTTCTCCCCCTCCCCTCTCCTCTTCCAAAATCCTGGCAGCGGAATGCTAGGCGCCTCCATCCCTGACCTCTGTCTCACCGACCTCGTCACTTTCACTTCCTCCCCTTCAACCCCTCCTCCCACCGCATCAACACTATCACTCCTCTCGACCTCCAGACTCGCACCCATCTCCTCACCCTTGACGCTGCTATAAGCACTATTCGGAAGAAACACGTTCCCGTATTCGTCACGCCTAGCTTTGACCGCTAGATCGACGATCCAGTCTGCGCAGTCGATACGGGCGGGCAGCGCGGCGGGTATGAGCGCGATGAGCTTGAGTATTGCGGGCGAGTCGCGTGAGGCGTCCTCTTGGTGAATTTTGGCGAGAATGCGGTGTTTCCGTGATGATGATCGGGGTAGGAGGTGGTGTGGCGGGAGAGGTTGGTGGGTCGAGGTGCTCGCTTCGGTTGTGATCGGAATCGCCATGCTGGAAGGAGATGCGGAGGAAGAGGCTGAGGGAGTTTGATCTTGATCCGAACGGCTTCGACGACGTACGATGCGGCGGGAGGATTTGGGAAAACGGAAGATCATGCTGATCAGACGGACGAGTCGTACCGTCTCTTTGTACGTGAGTGGGGCGGGCGAGATGTTGTGTGCGCTGTCGAAGGCATCCATAGGCACATCAGACGAGAGGTCAGCCCGCTTGCGTATGGCTTTTGCAATGGTATGGACCGAGGATATGCTCGATTCGACTTGGGTGTGCTTCGGTCTGCCCCGTTTGCGATGTACGCTGGCTGAGCTGTCTGTCGACTCCTCGACCTTGATCTGACTTGCACTTGCGAGATCTTCCCCATTTTCATCCTCCGAAGCATTCGACTCTTCGCTTGAAGACTCACTTAGTCCGACCGCTTCATCTGCTTCCGAATCCAAGCCCTCTGTCTCTCCATCCATTACAGTTTCCCCTTCCTGTTTGACCCGAATCGTCCGATCTGATCCGTCTTCGTCGTCGTGATCACTATCGAATCTATGCAGTCGTTGCCGCTTCTTGTCTCGTCTTGTCGTCTTCTTCTTCGGCAAGCGGAAGTTTTGCCATGAGATCTCATCCGATGACGCAGCAACCGCAGCCTTGGAGAAGGATGCCAGTGGATCGGTCGAAATAAAGCTGGCTGAAGCACTGGGTGCGATCGAAGAAGATGCTGCAGAGCGCGGACCGAGTCGCCAACTCCACGGTGCGGACATACCGGCTCCTCTATCAGCAACGTCCATACTTGTAGACCTTCTTTGCGGAGAAGTGAGGAAGAGTTGCGAGAGCGCGGAAGGCGTTTGCAGGAGAATTCCTCGGAAGATGGAAGTTGCGACCGGAGGGCAAATTGGACCCTGGATTGGCACAGAGCAACACACGGAGACGCGTGACGCGTTGATTGCGTTGGTTCAGCTTGAGCTCAGCTGGAAGATTCTCGCTTGCCAAGGCACTGATGGGCATCACTCTCACACGCTCGACGAGCTAGGGCCATGGCTGCCAGGATGAATGCAATGCTAATGATACAAGTGAGATGATGATGTATACGTCGACGAACACTGACGATCACAAAATCAGTGATCGCCAGCCAAAAACTCCTTCATCATGCGCGCACCTTCCTGCCCGTTCCTCAACAATGCCCTCTCTGACTCCTCCATGCCCTGCAAGAAGTCGGTGATCTCTGCACTCATCGCGTTCCCGGCGCTCATCCCCAACGTCGGACCATCCGAGACCATAGCAGCGATAGCCTGTGCGCTCGCAAACCCGCGATCGTCTCCGTCTGATGATGCAGTTGCGGTGGTGGAAGCGGTAGAAAGGTGTTGCGATTGTTGAAAATTTTGCGCAATCCGACCGATGTAGGCTTTGGAGAGGACTTGCATCTCTGCGTCGTCGTCGTCCATGCTGTTGGAGGAACCGTGAAATGAAGCAGATGTCAGTCTGGGAGCATGAGATGCTGTGAGACTCTAGTGCATGTCCTTACAGTTGAGCTAGTCGCGCACCAAGCGCATACCAGTGGATGTTCTGGTTCCTCAATTGGACCGAGGTAGGATTCGCATCGAGCGCCGCCTTGACTCGTGTCGAGAAGGACTTGGGCTTGTTGATCGAGACAATGTTGCTGCGGTGATCAAAGATAGAAGGGAGGTCAGTCAAGAGTCGAGCACGATCGAAGTCGATCAGGTAAGGAGAACATACTTGAGTGCCATGAGTTCCGCCAGCCAGAATGGTAGCTCTACACGCGAAAGAGCTTTGATGTCGCGTTCCTCGGTAGACTGCATTTGACCCATGTTGGGCACGTCAATGTTGAACGTGCATGGTAGTCTCTGCGAGTCGGCGATAAAGTCGTCTACGTTCCAGTAGTTGTGATCCATGTTGACAGACGTGTCGCACTGCACACAGTAGCTCGAGGGTGGCGGTCGTGGTGGGTACGAAGCATGGCTTCAAAGTTGCATGTCTGCCTTGCGTCGTTCGAGATTGAAACAAGGAGTGGAGGAGGCAAGGCTATTTTCAAATGTTGTTAGACCGTTTCTGCTTTCGCCAAGACGAAGCGAAATTCGATTGCTGCGCCACGCCAGCCGCACTTCTGCGCGAGAATTTCCAAAAGAAAACAGAAGCCGACTCTCGGACTTGCCGAGCTGTCAAAACTCCGCCGTGCATGAATTTTTGCCTCGCTGTTGTGGAAAATCACAACACACACACACAAACGCACAACCCTGTCGGTTGAGTTGCGGGCCACGCGAGCCAAGAATCTTCTCCTCCTGACCCTCGTTTGTGTCGCCTTGATCAATCCTTGGCTTCTCTTGGCCTCGCCGCCTCTACAGCATAATGTTGACCACTTCACTTGCCCGCCGGTCCACACCTCGCTTAACAAGATGATCTGCGAAAAGGTTTCACACTCCGAAGTCGATCTGGCTGTTTCGTTGCCTTGTGTTTTCGAGGTGATGTGATTCCGTTCCTGAAACCTTTCGTTGGCTGTAAAGGCTGCGTGTGCGCAAGCCTTCCGAGAGCGCATACAGCCCGGTGCCCACTTTGTGCTGTTCAAAGATCCGTTACATATAGGTCGACCCCTTCCTCCTCTTCCCCGCACTTCCTCTTCTTCTCCCACCTTTCATACACCTCTCCCCTCCATCCGTGGAAGCATACAGCAGAGGAGTCGACCAATATGAAGTCGACGTTCAACCCCCTCCTCTTCGCCCTTGTGGCCATCCTCTCGCTCCTCACACTTTCCGCCTCCGCCCAATCAACCTGCTCCGCAGCCTCGAAATGTGGCCAAGCCGCCCCATGCTGTTCATCCTACGGCTTCTGCGGCAGCTCGAACGCTCATTGTCTTGGCACCTGCGATCCCACCTCTTCCTTCTCTCCCAACTCGTGCAAGCCGATGCCCAAATGCAAATCACAAACCATCTCGTTCGAGAACAACGCCAAACCATGGGTCGCTGCCTCTGCCTACCGAGGTGACCCGAACCAGGCTCCCTTTACGCTCGACCAAGGTGTTGCTGAACCGTCGAAAACCGGAACCAAGATGATCCTCACCAAGAACGGAGATGCCCAGAAGGGCACCCTGCTCAGTTCCACACGATACTGGTACTACGGAACCGCAAGCGCCGTCATGAAGCACGGAAGCTGGGCCGGCGTCGTCAACACTTTCATCGGCATGAGCTCCACCAAGGACGAGATCGATTTCGAGTATACAACCGCATCCGATCAAGACGTCGAAACCAACTGGTACTGGAAAGGAGATCCCGAAGGCTACACACATGGATTCAGCGTCCCCAACACCACCCTCAACTCCATCTCAGCGCCTCGATTCAGCGTCCGAGACTGGCACACCTACACCATCGATTGGTCCCCCAACAGACTCCGATGGTCCATCGATGGGACGGTTGTTCGCACCCTCTACCGTAAGAATCAGTTCCACAAAAAGGACGGTCTCTACCACTACCCGAGCTCGCCGATGAGGTTGCAGTTGAGCATCTGGGGTGCGGGAGACGGCACTTTCCAGAAAGGTACTGTCGACTGGGCTGGAGGACTGATCGATTGGAACCAGGCGACGAATGGCAGATTCGTGAATATGGTCAAGAGCGTCAGCATCACTTGCGCCGATCCGGATGACGTTAAAGGGACCAAGCCGAACTACGCATTCAGCTCGACGCAGATGAACACGCAGAACGGTCAGCCAAAGGTGATCGCAAGTAGTAAGAGCTCCATCATCTCGTAGAGACTCATATATCAAGGAAAACACCGTTCACACCTATTAGAAAGCTACTGTTACACACTTCGTCTTCACATGTCACCTCTTTTTCTCAATCACTTTGCTTCACGGTACGGGCGTTATGCAATCTTCACGCAACTTCACATCACAAACCAGCGTCCGATTCGCTTGCTGCGATTGCTGATACTGAAACTTCACTCTGCTCTGCTACTCGTAGGAGGCACCACAATCAGCTGCCTCCCTTCTCACCCTGCCCCGTTCTCCCATACCCCTTCACCGCATCCAAACTAAACCTTTCCAGATTCGTCAATACCTCGCCCAACCTCTGCAACCTCACTTCCTCCGCTGTCCTCGCCGTTCCCGACGTCGAAGTCCCTCCCCCCTCTCCAACCCCACCATTCGTGCCACTGATCAACCCCGGCAAGTGACCAAACAGATCCCTCCCGCCCGCACCCCCCACCGCCGTCGACGCAAACGGATTTCCCACGCCTGCCGTCGCCGCAGTCGGAGTCGTCGGCGCCGTCGGAGCATCATCCAAATCCCTCACCTCCTTCGCATAATCCGCCCTCCTCAACAAGTACGGTCTCAACAACCTCTCGTCGATCTTGGCTAGATGTCCTTCGCGCATGTACGACTTCAACACCGACGCCTGTACGATGAACAGGTTGCCCAGCTGTCGAAGCATCTCGAATCGGTCGGAAAGCACAGGGATTCCGAAGGTTCCGATGGCATCCTGGTACATCGCCAGGTCTTTGGTCAGCATGATACCGCCGGTAGCGCTGACGGTGTACTTGCGGAGATGGTCGAGAAGCAAGCCGTGGAATGCGACGCCGATTTCGGTGAGGAACGATTCTGCGTTGCGGGAAAGATGGCTGGAACGATGTGGATCGTCTCCGTCGTCGCCGACGACGTCCGGGTCGGCATCGATGTCTGCATCGTTCCAGCTGACGTGCGCACCTGCACCGTCGCTACCGTCCATCGAAGCACCCCCTCGAATGGCCCTACTCGACCCAGGTCGCTGTGCAGGCCCCGGAGACCCCCTCGCATTGATGCTCCCACTAGCCGAAGTGACCATGCGACTCGACGACAGACTCAAATTCGCCCTCGCTGCCTGCTGCACCTTCTCCAACGCCTCCGAGCACGCCACACACGGCTCCGTGTTCTGACGCGCAAACGCCAGGTCGTCGTTCTTGGGCGTGAAATCGTTCTTCTTCTGCGTCGCAAGTCGGTTCGACAGCAATCCAACCACGTTGTCGGCGATCTTCTGCATCAACGCATCGCACTTGCCTTCGACACGAAGCAGGTTGTGGTTGTTGAAGATCATCATCTCTCGACGTGAGGTGACGCTGGTGCTTGCAAGAGGTAGCAGCGCCGTGTTGACGTAATGCTGCCAGAGCGAGATGAGAAGCTCGACGGAACGGATCAACGACATGCCGGCAGATGAATCCGGCATCGTTGCACCGCGAATGTCTTGAGCAGAGACTGCAACGAGGGCAGAGTCGAGCGCTGTCTCGACGTACGTCTTGATGTATGCAGAGGTGAGCACGCGCAGCAACGCAAATGTTGCTTTCGGCACCTCGGATGGTGAGCTGAGATCGACACAGCGGCCGATGGACTCGGCATGCCATCGCAACATCTTCTCCGCGATCTCAAGCGACAGATCGCCATCTGTGTCTTCCAGCTCGTCCTCGAAGCGAGCACCGCCTGCAACGTGGTGACCATCGACACTGGACTCGGCGGATGTGGGTAGCGCGCCTCCTGCACTGACGGCCAAGTTATTGCTGGAAGCACCGGCGTTGTGAGTGCCACGAACACGATCTGCTAGGTTCGAGAGCTTGAAGAACGACGTCTTGGATGTCGATGTGGTGGAGCTCGCAGCCGTGCTAGCATGAGTTGCAGAAGAGCTGCCTCCTAGGCTCAAGGTCGACGACGACGCATCGGAAGTTGCCGTGATTTGGTTGCGCATACGGTTGAAAATGGTATTGCCGGTGCCCTTGTCTTTCTTAGCCGCAGCTGTGCGATGGAACGTGATGAATCTGGACAGCAGGCCTGCGTACAGATCCGCCAAGCTGCGCGACTCTCGGTCGATGTAGCGAACACCTTCCATGTAAGGCACGAACAGCTCTTCCACCGACTGATCCAGCATGCTCGCCAACGGACTCGCAGAAGCGCCGGCAAGATGGGCAGCACCAGCAACAACGTCGCTGCCGAGCAATCTGAGCGAATCTGGAACGACGCCGTCGCCTGAGGTGGCACCGTTTGCTGCTGTTTGAGCTGGACCGGTAATACCAGCGCCGCGGTAGTCGTACAGCTTGAGGTCGTTGACCAGTTTCAAGGCGCTGGATCGAGCCATGTGTAGCGCTCGAAGGAAGGCAAGGTGGGAGGTGGTCGGTTGTGTGCTCGATGGAGGATTGAGTTCCAAAGCGGCAGTCTTGGGATCGACGATGCCGCCTGCACCGACAAAGCCAGGTGCGTGAATCTCTACGGCCTTATCCATGATGACCTCAACGAAGCCTTGCACCGACTGCGCAAAGACGCGCTGCAAGAAGGTCTGCATCACCACGAACGGATTCGGAAACACTGCCGAGATGATCTGCGCTTCGATCTCGACCGTCTGTCGAATTTCGTCGAAGAGGGCCGTGAGTGAGGGCTCCGACTTGGGTGGTGCGTGGTCAGGGTCGGCCATGTTGGTCCAGATCTGACTGAGTTCGATGTTGTTGGCCTCTCCGACACGATCCTTGGAGATGAAAAAATCGTGCTGGTTGACATAGATCTGGACGCAGCTTGCTCCGCCATTGAAGCCTTGTAACACCTTTGCGATGTGCGACATCATCTTGGGGTCCGATCTGCGGTAGAATTTGTCGAAGAGCTTGAGCATGTCGCGTTCGAACCGTTCGCAATAGCGATCGATAGAGTCACGAGTCTGCTCAGCTCCAGCGACATCGACCTCACGACTGATGGCGGCCAGACGACGAGCAATAATGGCCGTCTTGATCCTACCTTCGCGACCACCCTCTTTGCGTAGACGTTCCAGCTTTGATGTGTCTCCACGAGCAAACATGTAGTAGAACTCGATGAGATCGTGCGCCTCGCTGGCGCGGTTGCGCTGTTTGTCGATGGTCTCGAGCTGCTCACCGATGCGAATGGCAGTCCTGCCGACCTCGGAGATGCGGTCTTCTAGGCTGTTGAACGAGTTGCCAACGGCGACAAAGTTTTTAGAGAGCTCGTCGAGCTTTTTGGTGTATGCCGACTCTGCCACATGCACTGCGGAGGAGATTTGTTGTGATTGAGCATCTACTTGGGCGCGAATCTGGACAAGCTGGTCCATGGCTGCTTCGAATGTGCGTATGAAGGGTCTCGGGTTGAATGGGCCTGGATCTGCCTTGGAGCGCTGGACGAGCTTTGATGTGAGCTGCGCCACAAAGTCATTGGTATTGAAGTCGTTCTGGAAAGTGTCGAGCGTGCAGAGCTCTGATACGATGGCATCGTTGTAAGGCCGAGCTGTGGACGAGGTCGCGCGGAGGAGTGGTGCAGCTGAAGCTGGCGATCCGATAGGTGGCCTTGACCTTACCGGCCGTGGCTGCGGCGGAGTGACATTGAAGTTTGACATGCCGACAGCCTATGCTTTCCTTCTCTAGATACAATGTCGAGTCGGAGGTGTTCCTTGGCCTGCGGTCGCGTTTCAGGAGCTGGTGATGGCTAAGAAGGACATTGTTGCCCTTGACATCCGGGACGGTGGCCTGACTTGCGTTACCTATCTCTCCGCGGAAACGACCAGGTCCGAGAGGGAGGAAAGGTGCGTCAGTTGAAAGACTAGGGCGTTGTGTTTGCGGCCGAAGATCGTTGCATATGCTTCGGAAAGATGACAGGTGAGACGGAAGTGATGACGGCAAAGCGAAAGTGACATTTGGAGAGGAGCCACACACGCATTGCAGCGTCCGTGCGGCCAGGGTCGTCAGCACGCTCTAACATCAATTTTCGTAGCGGTTAATCTTGGCAATGCGGAACTCGGACACTTGGTTTTTTGAGCGTTTGGCCAACTTTTTCGAGAAGGAAGGAAAGGTTTATGGAAGCTTCAAAACGCTCCTCCTTACCTTGATCAGGCCCATCCGAATCATCTGTCGATCTCAACAGGCGCAGGTCATTCAGACACCGACTACGATGTCGAGCTCGCTTCTTGGCAGCTCCAATGGGATGCCTGCTATGGAGCTCCCAGCTCCCGCACGCTCCGCATCTAGACTCGAGCTCCTCCTCAACCTCGTCGCCTCGTCTCCATTCGATTCTCGTCAAACGGATGAGGTTCTCACCATCATCAGCCAGTCTGGACTGCTAGCACACGTCCCGCAAGACGAAACACAACATAAGCTTACCGTCCGCATCAACTCGCTCATCTCTTCTCAAAATGCGTTTGGCTATCGATTGGCACATCTCTGGATTCAGCAGGATCCGGCCGTGTGGAACGATCACCTCGTAACAAATGCGGCCACTTGGGCCACACAGATTGTCAACCTTCTCTCAGCCCCCGACAAGCTCCTGCTGCAGCGGCAACAGTCCGACCTTCTTCTCGCCGCCGCACTCCAGTTCGCCATCTCCCACCTCTTTCCCGAGAACATTGCATCAAGGCAAGAATTCTACCGACAAGTGGTGCATCCAAACCTGCCAAAAGTAATCATAGGACTCACACAGCTGCTCGAAAATATCGCTGCAAAGCAACATGCAGAAGGTCACGCCGCTTTCGCCACTCAGCTGCACACCGTCTTGGTCTTCACCAACAGATTCCTCCATGCCCATCCCGCTCAGTTCCGCCCTGTTTCTTCACGAATCCTCGAATGTGTCACCGCGATGCTCTACCGAGACGATGCGATGTCCATTCCGCTTCCCATCTTCAATGCTGCAGCGGCTGTTCTCTCTTCATTGCATCTCACCGGCGCGCTTGCGGCCAAAGGCAGCGAAGCCTCGGGAGGCTCGAGTCGCACCACCCAGTCTCAGCTCTGGCAAGCCACCATCGACAATCAGATTCGCCTTGCCACTGAAGCCTGGCGTCATGCGACCTCGAGCTACCAGATCACCGACTTGGCCCCATCCTCCAGCGACTCGCAGGCCTCTACTGCTAACAAGCATCTCCGTCCGTATCCAACAGATCCGCTGGCGGCGACCAAGGTAGCTCACACGAGGCTAGCGTTGCTTCTCGGAACTCGTGGCCGCTCCGGCCTTATCAATCTGCATCTTCGAGGCGCAACTTCACGTCCGGTTCCTGTACCAGCTGGTCAGCTCGTCACTTTGGCTCTGGACGTGCTGAGGCTCGACGTCGCGAGCAGATTCAAGCCTACTGCCGAGGCCAAAGTGTGCTCGCTTCAAGCGGCCCATCTCCACACTCTTCAAACACGAGCTCTTGCACTCGTCGCTCAGGTGGCTATCACTGCGCCGGCCGCCATGTCGCTCGAGGCAACCAGGGTTCTTGGCGACATCTGCCGCATCGCCGAGGCAAATGTCAACGCCGCTGTCTCCGATGCCGCGAGCGTTCGCGTCAAATTGGCTGCAATGCGCACTCTAAATGTGCTTGTTGGTAGGCAGGGGGTCGCTCTGCCACTGGATCCTGCTGGTCGTGTCACGTTGCGCCTTGCTCGTCTAGCAGTGACTCAAGTTGCCAGAGCTGTCATCCAGCCGGCACAAGCTCTGTTCGGTGCGGGTATGGGAGAGACGAGGAAGTCGAAGAAGGCGCGTCTGTACGAGTCTGACTCCATGTTCGCTTCCAGCACATCGCTCAAGGATCGCATCCGTGATTTGAGCGTCGAAGAGATCGCATCCACGCAAGCCTCTCTGCAGATCCTCGTCGCCATTCACCCTCACCTCACGACGAGCCTCAGCGCAGTCCACTACGACCAGATGCAGCTCACCGTCCAGGTCGTCTTGGCTCTCGTCGAATGCCTCGTCGATTCGACCAGCACGAATTCTGCTACGCTCCGCAGTAAGAGCGCTGGTTCTGGCGCACCCAGCACGGAAGAACTGCTACGAGATGCTGTTGAGGCATTGACGGATCTGTGTCTAGATTCGACGTCCAGCACACTTGCATTGGTGCTGCCGAGAGCCATCCCTGTGCTCAGTAGGATCGCACATGCACCTAGTGGAGCTGGCAGTGTGGCAGTTCGAAGTGTTGCGGAACGTGCCTTGATGGCAGTGCATGCCAGTAGGAAGGGCAAGTTTGTGCCGGTGGCTAAGGGTGTTGGGTTTGGTCCGCGTGCTGCGGGCGACTTGGAGGCTGCACCCGAGGGCGCAAAGCTGGGCGGTGCATCTGACGTAGGTCACGCCATTCCCGTCACGAGCGAGGCTTTGGGCTCGAGTATCGTCGGCTCGAGCACTGCCGTACTCGGTGGCGCAAAGGAGAGCGCGTTCGAAGAAGGTGATGATGCAGTTGACGGCGACGAGGGGGCTGCGGAGACAAGGATGGATGTGGACGCAATCACTGCCGAATCCGCCGAGCTGTTCAAGTCAACTGGCTCGGACGCAGCTACCTCCGCAACCGCTACCACCGCAACAGGACTGGGATTAGGCCTCCCGACCTCGCCACGACGATCTCCCATCGAAAAACACGTCTTGTCACCCGATCCAGTGAAACCGGCTCACCGACCAAGCACACCCCGCATCGGCAGCCCCTCGACTGCACACCCGGCGGCACTCTCCCGCACTGGCTCGCCAACCTCTGATGCTGTCAACCTCGGTCCCGGCGGTGCCTTTTTGAGCCCTGGAAGACTTTCCACTACAAGTGTTAGTGTTGCGGTTGCTGCGCTACCGGCGATTACGGACGCTGCGGTGGAAGCAGCAGCAGAGGTGGTCGAGACGCCAGCGGCGGTGGCTGAAGCTGTGCAGGACATCATCGATGATGCACCAGCCCGGGAAGGAGCAGCGGCGGTTGAGATGGGTGGAGTTGCGGCAGGACAAGGAAGGCTTTTCATGGGTGGTGGCAGCGATAATGATGACGATGAGGATATGCCCGAGATCGACATGGGTGAGTCGGATGAGGAGGACGAGGAGGCTGAAGAAGCAGAGGAAGCTTAGGGTGACACTTGATCACAGGCGTCTCTCGCAAATTGACCATCTGTCTTTCTCGTATGATCGCCCCCAATGTATCCTACCATCACCCATCGCCGTCCCTCTCTGCAAATCTGCTCATCAACTCACAAATCAAACCACACTCTCTGCCGGTTGAAAGTGAACGATCATTGCAAACTTGTACATCTATCACTTGTTCTTCTTACCCTTCCCAACCTTGCCACTCTTACCACCCGCCACCTTCTCCTTGACGACCTCGACCTTCTCTTCGAGGTCATCCTCCACCTCGCCCAGTACATCCTCGTGACCGCCCGTGAACCTGTTCACCACGGCCTGGACCAGCCTCACGGGCCACGTCTGACCGATCTTGCTGGGAGCAGCGTCGTTCTCGTCCAACCGGATCCATTCGCCGGAGAACTTGTCCAGCAGGGAGACGTCGGCTCCGCTGACGAGGCAGTCGACGATGGGTGCGCCGCTGCCGTCGTTGGCTGTGGAGGGGTTTGTGAGAACAGCTCGGGTGAGGGATTCTTGCTTGTCCCAATCGACTTTTCCTGATCGGATCTCCGCTTGGGAAGGATAGGCGGGGAGAGAGGGGAAGCCTGTGATCGGTACCCTGACTTTTCTCTCCCCTTTGGCGAGCTTGCTCTCCGCCTCACCTTGACCCACCGAAGCGAGCACCTCCTGGTATCGAGGGCCCCACGCAACCAACCTAGCGCCCATCTTCAACCTCTCGATCTTACTCCTCTCCTGACCACTGGTCAACCTCGAGATCCCCATCTCCACCGCCACACTCACCAACACGATCCCCACCAACACACTACCCAACCCGGGCCTGTACCTCTCATAGAAGTACCCGTTTCGCCTCCACTTCGGAAACCCAGATTTCAAAAAGTGATCGTATCGATCCTTCCTCTCATCCCGGAGGATCTTGTACACGAGTCCCAAACGTTCGAATCGTTGCTGTGCATCGGGGATGTTGGGGTTTTTGTCCGGGTGAAGTTCGAGCGATTTCTTTCGATAAGCTCGTTTAATGACAGCAGAGGAGGAGGAGGTGGGGATATCGAGGAGGGAGTAGAAGTTGGTGGATTTGCCGTAGGTCGATTCGAGGGCGGATTGGAGTTCGAAGATTTCGTGATCGTCTTTGTCCCAGTTGGCGGCGGAGGTGGTGGTGAGGAGGAGGGTGAGGATGAGGAGGGTGGGGATGAGTATGAAGCGTGAGAGCTTCATTTTGGAGGAACCTTGACTGCGGGATGGCGAAAAAGACTGTGAATGATGGGAAAGGGAAGGTAGAAAGGGAGGAGCAGATGTGGTTTTGGGTGGTGAGCCAGCGAGTGTGCGTGTGTGCGACGTGGCTCGTTCGCTTCTGCAGCGACGCTTTTCTTCTCAAGACGCGAGAAACAATTCATTCTTGATTTTAGTTAGAGTCTAACAGTAGCGACGTTCCTGCTCACCTCGAAACCTCTTTCTCTTCCCTCTCTTGACTTGCTTGCTTGGTGAGAGTCCTGGCAGCACAGGCGACGTCTTCCTACATTCATTCGCTCTGACTGCTTCTGGATGTGCAACACGATTTGATTAGACTGGGTTGACTCGGGACTGACGAACACGGTAGGTACAATCAACCCCTGAGCAGTGATCTTTTACTAGCTTCAACAGGCACACTCAAAGCATGGCAGCGCCGACAACGACAGCCGAACCCACAGCGAGGATACCAGCGATCGAGACACCGCCGAACACGGTGCTGGCAGCAGCGCTGTGACCGGCACTACCCGAACCCGTCGAGCCGGCAGCCGACGACGAAGCGGTCATGGAGCCAGCCGCGCTGCTCTTGCTCGCAGCCAACGCGGTGACGCTAGCCTGGCTGACAGCCGAGGTGGAGCTGGGAGCGGTGGCCTGACCGACCTCAATCTGGATGTAGTTGGCAGCGACGATCTTGCCCAGACCACCGTTTGCGTTCTTGTAGTAGTCCTGCAGCTGAAGCCTCTGGATCGGGGCGTTGGCAGCAGGGCTAGCGGGAGCGGTAAAGTTGTCAAACTGCTGGAACACCAGCTGCATGTACCTGTGAGGACCGTCGTTCGTGGCTGGCAGAGGGGCACCGTAAGCGACGCGAGCAGCGCTCGAGTTGCGAAGCTGTCCGCTGCTCGAATCCCACGTGAAGTTGTTGCCGAGGTAGTGGCAGAACACCTCGGTGGAGACGTTCTTGCCTGCGACGCCGGCGTCGAGGAAGGCGACGGTGAACTTCTTGTTGTTGCCGAACGTGCCGGCGGAGGAGGCAGCAGAGGTCTGGGAGCTGATGGTGAAGGTGGGAGCGGTCTGGACCTGAGCGACGGTGAGCATGTCGCCGATGTTGGAGACGCGCGTGTTGCCGAAGGTGACGTTGAGGACTCCCTGGATGTCGAGCCACGAGGTGGGGACGGGGACGGGGCTGAGATCGGCTGCGGGGAAGGTGAGCTGGATCTGAGCGACCTGGTCGTACGAGGCGGGGCTGCTCTGGGCAGAGACGGCCGAGCCCATGGCCATGGCAGCGGTGGCGAGGAGGAGGTTCTTGGAGAAGGTCATCGTAAAGAGTGTTTGAAGCGCTGCAGAAAGACGAAGCGAGGAGACGGATGGTGGTGGTGGTGTGAAGGGAAGAGAAAAGGGGGGAGCACTTACATGTCTTGGCCCCTCGGAGCTCATGTGTGCCACTCTCAAAAGAACACGCAGAGTCTGTCGGTGCACACCTTGACGAGCAGGATGCCGACTCGCCAAACGGCCCAAACGGCCTTCGATGGCGTGCAGCCGAGTATCAGATCTGCGCTGCGCAGCGCAGCGCACTCGCCTTCGATCCTCCATGTAGACACCACGACATTCCAGCGCTCTCGGGCGCACTCGTCCAAAAGAAAAAAGACGCCGAAGCACGAAACGGGCAGGTTGCACCTTCCGTTCTGCAAGCCAAGAAGCGGTGGCACGGCGCACAATTGAAAGTGTTGGTCTCAGAAAAGCGGAGGAAAAACAACACAAACGATGGCTTCTGCGCTTCTCTGCTCTCGTGCTGCCTTTTGCCAGCTTTTCCTTCGGAGCTCGGCTTGGAGGAAAATGATCTGCAGCCTGCAAATCTTTGCGCTCCGCTCTCGGCACGCACGCATCATCGGGTTGCGAATGAAGAGCGTGCCCCACCTGACCTGCTCTTTGTGTTCTGCAGATGGTCATGTGTCTCATCCGCAAAGACATCAGCGAGTCAAGTCATGAGATGTGACTGCAAAAATTATGAATGTGGGTCAAGCCGGAAGCTAGACAGGGGCTTCCTCAGCAACAAAAGAGAGAACGGATTTTGCAGGCCTCATCGAGGACGAAGGGTGCCTCGGATTGTCTTGCCGGAGGAGGACGAGGCGAGCAATGATGAGCATTCTGCCGAGCCAAGGTCTGAGTTTCTTGACAGCGAAGCAGCACAAGAGCGCGGCATGCAAAGGCGCGAGCGCGTCGAGATTTCGTGAGTGTTAGGCTAGACCAGTTCTGACATTTTATTCTTTTTCGTGGACTCACGGGCGAGAGAGAGGGAACTCAATGCGCCGCAACTCACGACACCGGCTACCGGCTTTCAACGAGCGACACTCTCCACTTGCAACTTGGACGGCTAGAAAGTCGTCTTCTAGCTCCATTCATCCCGTCACCCATCATCAACCACAGCCCCGTTCCCGTTGCGATCATGGCGCGAGATCCTTCAGACAGCTCATCCGAGCCCGTCGCAGGGCCGTCCTCACAACCCGCCGCCGGCCTGCCCTCACCAGAGCAACTCGCCTCCGACCCAAGCGCAACCGACGCACAAATCCCGCATCCACCACCGTTTTACCACTCGGCATCACAGGCAGCCACCGCATCCATCGCTTCCATCCGCTCCTCCCTCCATCGTTTCCCCACACCCATCCTCAAGATCCAACGTGTCAACCAACTCGATGCCGAACTGCTCGATCGCGAGCTCGCCGAGCTCCTGCTCGATCCGGTCAAGAAGGCGCTCGGCTCCATCCGATCCACCTTACCCTCCGATCTGGAACCCGAACTGTTGCTGCTGCTCAAACTTGCCCTCTTCAAGTTCAGCATCTACGATCGAGGTGCTTCGTACGGGTCGATGCTGCAGAACCTGAAATATCGAAACGAATGGGCGCATCGAGGCGCCCTTCAGTCGACCGCGAGAGACCAACCCCTCTCGCGTCTCCAGCTCTCCCTCTATCCTCTCCTCACCATCATCGCCCCTTACGCAGGCTCCAAGTGGCAGGATCACATGACATCGCTCAGCTATTCTGACATGCCTAACAACGATCCCCGTCGCCTACTCTGGAAGCTCACAGATGCATCGCAGCGCGTCTGGTCCGCGCTCGTCCTTGCCAATTTTGCCGTGTTTCTCGCCGACGGCAAGTTTCGCAGCGTAGCGGATCGCATCTTGGGGATGCGATTGACGTATTCCCAGCGAACGATGAATCGGAACGTCTCGTTCGAGTTTCTCAACAGACAGTTGGTATGGCACGCGTTTACCGAGTTCTTGCTGTTCTTGTTGCCATTGGTCAGGCCGAGGAGGTTGTTGAGGAGATTGCTGAAGCTGCCGACCCACCCGAAGCTGTTGGGGATGGTGTGGATGTTTTTGCCCTTGGCGATCAGTAGGAGGTTGGGGATGAGGCGGGATGCGGGTGGGAGAACGAGGTGGAGCAGGGAGGATGTCTCTATGCCGGTGGTAAAGCAGATCGTCGGGAGTAAGCCCAGCAGCAAAGGCGAAAAGGCAAAAGAGGACGAGGCGGAGACGGATGGTGTTGGTCCGTACCACCACTTGCCAGATCAAGTGTGCGCCATCTGTTACCAACGCATCGAGACGCAAACAGGCATGAGCAAAGATCCAACAAAGATCGGCACCGGTGGCCTCAGCATGGGCATCCCCACCTCGGACCCGCTCGACCCCAGCTCCGGCCTCCTGGCGCCCAACCGTCCCTCGTCGGCCTCGCAACCGCTCAATGCAGCCACCGCGGCAGCGTCCGCCTCGGATCCCGAACGCAACGCCGTGCTCGGCGTATCGCCCGACGGAATCGCGTATGCCGATGCCATCGTCACCACCCCCTACGAAACCGTACCGTGCCACCACAGATACTGCTATGTGTGCATCGCAAAGCAGTTGTTGGATGAAGAGATGGAGGACGAGCTGGATGAGGAGGACGAGCGCGGGAGGCGGGGTTGGAAGTGCTTGCGGTGCAATACGAGGGTTAGGGAGACTAGGAGGGCGCGTGGAGAGGGTCAGCCGATTCGGGAGGATAGCGAGGAGGAAGATGCGGAAGAGACCAAGTAGCTCATGTAACAGTACGATGCATTTGCAAGCATTGTATCAACTGCGGCTCATAGCACGAGAGTCGTGCACGTGTGCCATCAGACAAACGACATCTATTGCTGCCGTTTTACAACTCAGCCTTGGCCCTCGCCGCCTTTTTCGCCCTCCACTCTCTTATCGCCTTCTCCACCAACCCCAGATCCGTCCCCTGATGACCGACCTCTACAAAGTGCACTCCCAACTTGCTCCCCACCTCGGCGTTTCTATACTCGTCATCGAAGAACACCATATCATCGTACTCGACGCCTGAATCCTGGTGCAACTTCCTAAAATGCGTGATCTTGCTTCCGGGGTAGATCTCTTGGTAGTCGAAAAAGTCTATCGCTTTCACCAGCTTGTTCCCTTGCGCTGCTTCATTCCCTTCGATGAGGTTCGAGTCGTCTACGAGAACCAGCCAGTTGAGCGCCTGTCTCGCGACCGCGGGGGCACTGGTTCGACTCGCAGCTGCGATCGGGATACCTCTTCTCTTCAACCAGAACAGGATCGAAGGTACGTGCGGGAAGAACTGCAGAGGCTGCGAGTTGCGATCGTACACTTTGTTAAAGTCGTTCCCGCGTCGACGCAGAGGCGAGTCGACGTGCGTGTCGACCCACAGTGGCCAGAGCGTGTAGTCGAGATCGAACACTACCAGCTTCGGTAACGGTCCGCCATCGTTCAACGCTTCTAGCGACGAGACGACCTTGCGTGTCATTTCCGAGTGCGAGAAGTTGTCTGGAAGGGTGGAGGACGAGGCGGAGGATGGGGAGGTTTCGCGTGCCCGCCGGCCTATCTTTCGAACCATGGGTGAAGCTGATTGGTGGAGTTCAACGTTATCCCTTGTTGATAGTACTTGACTCGAGCTGATTACAATAAGTCTTTCTTCAATAGACGTGCCTTGAGTCGGTGATGTCTATGAAGGGAGGAAGAGAGCCGGTGTTTGATGTGTGATGGCAACGAGAGAGTAGGTCAAGAAGAAGTGGCCGAGGTGTTTCTCAAAGAGAGCTTTCCGCTCCATCAGCCAAATTTCAAAAGTGGAGGAGGCTCACTGAATTTTCTTCGGTCTTGTAAACCACATACATCTAACACTCACCACTCGTCGAAATTTCTCATGCTTGCTCCGACCCGGTCCATCCACACTCGCTCTGCTCTGTCGGAACCACCTCAAAGCTTGCGACTCGCAACGATACACTGTAGTAGCATGTCGAACAGAAAATGATCTTGTTACAGCGTCTTGGAAGGTATGTGCAATGCAATTACATAAGAGTTCATACAAGGTTGTTCGTGCGACTATTCGCCTCCGCCATGCTTCCCGTTGGAAGCAGCCGACTTGGCAATGGAGTGAAAGCGTCCGTCGCCAGCTGGACCGAGCCTGCTGCCTGCCACAGCTCCACGTTGGCTCGGTCCCGACTGTGAGCCAGACACCGACGACGCCGATGACGACGAAAGCTTTTGCCTCTGATGACGGTGGGATTGAGGACTTTGTTGATACTGCTGTTGCGACGAGATGTAAGGTCGGCGGTAGAAAGGACCGTGCTGCTGCTGCTGCTGCTGTTGTTGTTGTTGTTGTTGCTGCGACGAAGCGCTGGTCTCTGAGAGTTGCCCGAGGCTTTCTGATCGCTCACGCAGCCCGACGCTGGATGCACCTTCAGTGCGCTCCTCGAGAATGGGAACCGTCCTGCCACCGCCACTGTTGGTCCTCGCAAGGGCTGTTGCACCGTCACGCGTCGTCGAACGCGCCAAAATCTTCGCAATTTGGGCTCGAGACCGATTCGAGCTTGCGTCTTCGCTTCGACTCGACTGCATGCTGGCCGATCTGGCCATTGCGAGGCTCGATAGGTCACCCTGAGCCGATCCTCTTCGAGAGATGCCGCCGTATCGCGAATCGTCGCCATGACGCGCTCCAAGCACGGCGGCTTTGTGGAGGCCGCCACTGCTACTACCGCTCTCATCCGCGTACAACCCTCGCAAGGAGTCTGGCACAACGGTAGGATTCGGCGAGACTTGCCTACTGCGCTGCAGTCCGCCACGCAGCGATCCGTTGCGGCCGATGCTGCCACCAGCACTGAGCCCGTTCGACCGGATCGACGATGCGCGCCCCAGTCCAGACGCTTGTCGCATCGAGCCCGATCGGTCGAGACGCGAGTCTCGCCACATGACCGATGCCTGTCGGCTCTTGGACATCGGATCGTCGCCAAAGAACGAAGACAGGTCGTGCAGCTGATTGACAATGTCGCCCAAACTAGATGCCGGCGCCTCGTCGTTCCTCACTCCACCAACGCCCGGTGCTTCGTCCAGTGCCAATCCAGCGCCATCCGCTTCGGCAGTTCCATCGTAGGCATCGTCCACCACAAAGTTGACATTGTTCCCCGTGGGGACGATGTCGAGCGTGTGCTCGCACATCTTGACCAGCGCCTGAAGGTTGATGCGCGTGCGCGTAGCCATGTCCTGCGGATCCGCAACCGCCCAGCCGCTCTCTTGCGGTGGTCCAAAGATGGAGGCATCATGAACAAAATCACGCGCCTGCCCATTGAAGTCCATATTGCCCCACTGCAGACTCATGCGCAGGATTTGGTTTGCAGCAGGACCGCCGTGGACCACGATAGGCTCGTCTAGCACTTCGAGCGCCTGCGAAGAGAGCGGCGTGGACAGCTGGCGCAGCAGCGGCATCAGAAGCTCTGATCCCAGGCTGCTGAAGGCCGCGTGATTCCGAGTGTCGAGCGCCTGGAAAAACATCTTGAGCACCTGCATCGACTGTCTTCGCATCCACTCGTTTCGATTCAGCACCACACCCAACAGCAGGACGGCCATCTCGGATCCGTGCTCGGCCAGGTAGTGGGCTCGGATGCAGTTGACAGCCTGTCGGATCAAGTCGTCCTTTGTGCGGAAGCGCGCTCTAGCGATCGACGTGGCAACGCGTTCGAGATCGCGCATGTCAAGATGCGATGCGGTAGCGGCCAGGTCTGCGGCCATTTCCAAGACCATCTGCGTCTCCACTGCTGTGAGGATCGGAGTGGCATTGCCTGTGGAGGCGGCTCCTGATTCCGTACCTGTCCTTTTGGCAGCGCTCGAGGCAACGGCGGCCTTACGAGGATCATTCTTGCTTGTCACTGACCCGCCAGCTGCCTCGAGACCCTCCTCAGTCGCCTGCAGGAACCATGGCAAGCCAGCGATGAATAGGTAGCCCAGCCGGCATCGATCGTCGAAGTCGATTAGCGCTGGATCGCGACATTTGGCCAGCTTTGCCATCAGTCGGAACGTCGGCGCCGAGGTCTCGCACGACCGGAGACCACGCGAGACGAGGATGCGCAGCACGCCGAAATCGCCCTCCCATCCTTCCGGGCAATTTCGCACCAAGTAAGCGATGACGTCGGGCGAGCCAATGTCAAGCCTGTCCACCAAACTCTCCAGGATGGATACCGACTCGGCGAATTCCGATTCGTTGACCGTCGACAGGCACGCCAACGTCGCCCACCAGGTCTGTGCCAAGAACTCACGGTTGAATGGCTCGCAGCGCTTGACCACCAAGTTGAGCGCGTAAAGCACCTCCAGCGTAAAGCGATGCACTTCAGGCTTGTGGTCAGAGACGGTGTCTGCCAATCGGCCCAGTATAGTTACCATCATGCTCGGCGTCACCGACGGCTGCAAGGCACGAAACACCTGGAACGATCTGCATGCCATGTGTCGGATCGGATTGGACGCAGCCCAGGTCAGTGCCACAGCTCCCCAGTCCTCGCAGAAGGAAGAGAAGAATGGCTCTACCACAGACAATGTATCGTTTGCCGTGCTCAGCAAATTTTTCGGCATCTTGGTCTGGCCGTCGTTGTCCTCGTCCGGCGTCTCGGCGTCCCAGCTCGCGAACGCTCGTCGAGCGAACAGTCGCTCCACGTGCGCCTTTGCAGCGGCAATCCGTTCGAAATCGACAACGATGTGCGTCGAGCTCCTCGGCTGAATGGCGTGGCCTGCCTGGATTGTCCCAATCGAGATGGAACAGCGCAGCAGCTGCTCGAATAGTTTGACCATCTGCGTGCGAACAAATGCTGAGCGGCTGTCGATATGCATGAAGATGGCATGCAGCAAGGTAGGGAGACAAGTTTTGAGCTGTTCACGTCTCTCGTAGGCCATCTCGCCGACGTAGAAGAGCGCCAACTGCCCCTCGGAGAATGCAAGCGTCGGCTCAGGCTCGGGCAGCAATCTCGTCAGATCCGCGCGGAAGAGATGGCGATGATCGGGGTCGGGCGAAGGTGCAGACGCGTTCCGCGGTACCTGGATCATGCGGCTTGGCTCGATCATTGCGCAGAGCTGCTCAAAGATGTGCGGGCCAGCCTCCGTGTGCGAAATACACGAGACAACACGTTTTGAATGGGTGACGACTTGCTCGCTCCGGAAATGAAGTCCTTGAGCGATGAGGAAGCTGACCACGGCGTCGGCACTCTGCAAATCGTCCGATGCCGCGACCAAACTGCTCCAAATCTCTTGTATCTCGAAATTGTGCTCGTCACCGTACCTGACCGTGAGGCAAAACAGGTTCGAGAGGTTCAGGTAGGTCCTGTACAGCACCACCTCCAGCGGGGCCGCAGGATAGCTGTCGATGCCTGTGTCTGCCGTGTGCAGGATTAGACCGCGGAGCCATTCGGGCAGCAGTCCTAGGATGGTGGCACGACGTGAGGCGTCGATCAAGGGGAGGCGACGCGTGAACTCGCTGAGCATGGCTGTTCTGAGACCGTCAAAGTGCATAGCGAGGTGAGCATTCACATCCCGCTGTGTCCTCAGGTAGATGGCAGGCAAAGGACTCGACACGCCCACCTCGAACTCATCCAGCGAGCAGGTTTCGTCGAACCGGCGGCTGCAATCGTCCAACACGGCGAGGGCCTTGCGTCGGATGCTCGAGTCGGGATGGCCGAGCTTGACCAGACCCAGGCAGAAGATAGCATGCAATGGCATGGACAGGTCCTCCTTTTCGATCACCACCTCGGCCGTCGTTACAAAGAGACTCTTCTTGCCCAGAGCACGGTCCTGCTCTGCGATACAGCGATCGATCGTGCTGTCGACGAGCACAACGTTCTGGTCGTTGTAGACGAGTAGCGATCGAAGCGCCTTGCGGGCCAGATCGTGATTCTTTTCGTCGCTCGTCTGGAAAAGGCTGCTCAGCCAGTGAAGCAGTGAGCTCGGGTCGAGCGAGGAGCCTGCCATCGGCGCAGGAGCTGGTCCGCCGACCATGGAGATGGCGCCCTGGCAGAGAGACGCCATGGCACATCCAGCCTGATACGACAGCGCCTGGGTCTCGTAGTTGAGCGTCTTGACAGCGCGTTCCTTGGCGCGATCGTCCCTCTGCTGATCAGCGGCAGTGCTGAGAAGGTTGGCCAGTTTGTTCCGTCCATCCTCGCTGACGGTGCTGTACGAGTGCCAGTCGCGGAAGACGCGGAACATGCGCAGTCGAACCTCGAAGGGAAAGTGCGAGTCGGCTGAGCCTCTTTTCGCAAGGCCGTCGAAGAGATGCTGGACCACGCCGCAAAAGTATCGGCGAAGACTGTGGAACTCCCAATCTTGACGCACTTCGCGGTCTGTTAAAAAGTGAAAAGTGTCCTTGACCCAGTTGTGCGTGATGCCAACCACCTTTGCGTTGTCGAGATGATCGAGAGCTTCCATGTGTGGAGCCGTAAGCTGGAGCACGTGGGCAAGAGCTGTACGCAGTCTGTCCAACCGTCGGTTCCGCTTCAACCCGGTTCGAGCAACTGAGCGCACCTTGAAATCCTCGTTGAGCGTTCCGCTCAAGGCTTGCATGGTCTCCAGCAAGGCCAGATAGTGATTCTCGTTGATGTTGCCGAGCGCAAATACGACAGCTTCCTGAAACACCTCGTTGTCCGACGCCAAGAAGGGGACGAGCTTTTGGAATAGATCGCGCGCCGAGATCATACGCTCGCCCGCCTCGGGCTCGCTCGACTTCCGTCTGTGATTGCCGACCACGCCTCCGCGAGATCCCTCGGTGGACGTTGTGGTCGTACACAAGGCGAGAACGTAGAAGCGCCAGTGTTGCGCCATGAGCAGCGTCTCAGTTTGACCAGCTGTTCCTGCAGCGGCAGCGTCGCGCAGCGATGCCATCGAGCTGGAGCTGTGGAGGGGTGCCGTAGCCGCCGAGGCTGCCTGCGACTTGCTGAGAGTAGCGCTGGACATCGTATTGGCGGGCGCTCGGTTGGAAATGTCGGCTGCGTAGACGGCAACGTGGTCCATCTCGAGCACACGATTGGTGATGTAGGACCGGAACACAGCCACGGTCGTCGGGAAACGTTCCAAGCTCATACGCAAGAAGAGAGGAAGAGCTCGGAACCACAAGGACTGTTCGACCTCCCTTTCGCTTTCGGCGATCATCCTCAGAGACGTGGAGCGGTCCGGTGATTTGTATCGAGCCAGATGATTGATCTGATGCCAGCTGAGATGAGGGTCGTTGGCATCGAGGAAATCGTGGCAGGGCAAGTCGAGGAGGTGCACGATGCGCGACGGTTCTTCCTCCTCGCCCTGAGCACGAGCTTGCTCAGCGGCAGCGCGACGCCTGGGTGAAAGGAAAGCTTCGTCCAAGACAGCGATGAGCTGCAGCACTTCGATCGCCAAGGAGCGCAGGGAGCGTGAGGCCGAGCACAGCAAAAAGAGCGCGTAGGCCTCGACTTCATCCATCAGTGCCCATGCACTGGTGCGCTCCATCTCGAAGCCTTTCTGAGTTCCGTTCTGGCCCTGATCTGTCTGACCGTTCTGGACGCGAAGCTCGGCGAGCCATATCTGGAGGAAGTCAATCCACAGCCGGATGGCCTCTTCGATCTTGGGCATGATGAGCATCTGCCTGGGATGGATCTCCCAGAAGGCCGTTTCCATTCTGAAAATCCATCGCATGAAGCCCGAGACGACGGCAGAAGAGCCGCCCGCTCGTTGGCTGGCTATGCGTCGCAGGGCACGCGCTGAGGCCCTGCTCAGATCAGGATCGGCACTGAAGTGAGCGCGGAAGAGGATGGCAAGCACGCTCGAGAAGGAGATGTTGGCGCTGAGGCATCTCGGCCAGGATTCGAAGCATGCTCGGAGCAGATCGCTGGACGACTGATTCTCGCGTGAGTAGGCGGCCATGAGCATAGCCGCATGGTGCAATCGCCAGGCGTAACCTTCGCGTTCGAGCAGAGCCCGCTCGGCGGTGGATGCTACCGCGTTGGGCGAGGTACGCGCAAAGAGATGGGTGCGAGCGTCGAAGATGGTCATGTCGCTGATCTGATGGTCACAGAGGAGCGCAATTTTGCAGATAAGGTCGTTGAACAGATTTTGTGTCTCTCCGACTTCAGTCTTGGGATACTTGAACGCTTCCGGTAGTTCGTCGCCGCAGCCTTCCGGCAGCGTGTCAAAGTCGAATTGATGAAAGTTGGCGCTGGAAGGGAAGGGAGGAGACTCGCCCTTGACGTAGGCATTGAGCGTCAGCAAGATCGCGCGAATGGCGATGGTCATGCGTTGACCCGTCAACACATCCGACTGAAACGAAAGCGTGCTTCCGCCGAGGGCCGAATGGCATAGAAAGCCGAGAAGGAGCTCGCGTCCAAAGTCGAAATGACGGTATAGAGCGTGGTGAACCATCATGATGAAGGGGTCTGGCGAGCTATCGGGCGGATTGAGGGTGCGACGATTGGCTGGGAACCAGAGTCGGAAGAATGCCTCGAGTCTCTTGTGAGTGTTTGTGTGGCTCTCGTGGCAGCGAAAGGCGTACGCCCAGAGGAGTCTGACGGCAGCGTTGAGCACGACGGTGCGATTGACGCGGTCCTTGAGTTTGGCAACGCCGGCTTCCATGCAGGCGAACCAGCTCGAAGCGAGCTTCTCCTCGGGCGATACAGCGAGCAGCGTTACGTGCAGCGGGTAGGCGACAGTCCAGTAGCGTGGCTTAGTTGCCATGGCAGTCATGCGTGGCCAAATGGTGTCGATCGCCTTTGTCCACGTGGGATGGTTAACTTCCGCTGACGCGGTCTGTGCGACGGGCAGCATGAGATGGGCGAAAGCCTCAGCAAAGCTGGACTTGACGCGGAATCCGTGGCAATTGGCATAGTGGCGGGCAAGGACATCGACGAACTCGGCACCTTCCTCGAAGAGCTCCATCGGATAGGTGGTGATTTTCAGGTGACGTAGACTGTGGATGGCGGCGACCAGCAAATCTTCGACCGTCTTGCCAGATGGTGCCCGTGTGGATTGTTCGAGAATCTCGACAAAGCGGTCGCTGATGGTAACGAATCGCACGCGCGAGATTTCGCCGATGAGATGAGATACGCTCTCAAAGCAAAAGTCGCGGATGTGAGTGATGGAACGCGGTAGGATGCGGTCCTTGTCCTTCTCACGCGTGCACGCCAGTAGCATGGTGAAAGTTTGCTCTTCAAACTCTGCGGCGGGTGCTTCGCTGAGCGAGTCTCGCGCCAGGACTTTTGTGATGACGACGAGCGCTTTGGTGACGAGGTGGATGGCAAATAGCTCCTTACGACGCGCCAGATAGAGAGCGATGTCGCGCGTGGTGCCATTCGCAGAGGAGGCCGAAGGGGGGGCGACCGAGGTCAGGTGTCGGCGGACGAGATCGGCATCGATGTCTGCGTCGAGCGTGATCGACTTCCAGCGAAATAGACTGCGGATGACCAAGTCGGCGCCCTTGCGAGCAATGTGGGCAAGCGAGTCGCAGACTGATTCAAAGAGAGCGTCGTCTTCGGGACTGAGTGCACAGAGGAGCATTGGATCGTTGTCCTGGGCGGATTCGAGCGCACGCTTCGCTTTTGCAGTTGCAAGAGTAATGAAACGACTCATGAGGATGTTGAGCGCGTACTCGACAGGAGCGCGGGGGTCAGGCGTGCCAATGCCAGGTGGAAGCTGGCCGAGCCCTTCGGCGCCGAGACTGATGGCAAGCGCAGTGGGTCGCGATGGCGCGGGACTGTGAGCGCGTCTGTTGAAGGACTGCGGCGGCCTTTGACGCGATCGCTGCGCGTTGGACCACTGAGCATGGTCGCCGCTCGAGGCGTCTTCGTGGTCCTCGGAACGACGCGGAAGTCGTTGCTGGGTGGGGTCTTCATGCAGCTGGCGTGTGTTTAGTCTGAGCGGGCTGCCTGTGAGGTCAGCCACGTCAACGGAGGTGGTGCTGACCATAGCGCGCGGGAGATGGAAGGCAGCGTTGTTGGTATGGCCGCCGGGCGTCACGGGCATATCGGCATAAATACTGTCAGCTGCGCTGGGAAGGGGCGGCACGGGCGGCAGATCTGTGATGGAGCTGGCATAGGGGTGAGCGGCGCTGCTTGCCGAGCTGCTGATGCCGCCAATCGAGTTGTGGGAATCGGAGTGATAGGAAGCGGTGGGAGCGTGGTGGAAGCGGGAGGAACGAGAGGCGGAGGCACTGTGACCTTGGTAGCGGGAGGGTGAGGAGGTATAGCTGTCGCTGCGGCCTCGCACCGACACAAGCGGTGCGGACCTTTCTGGCGGCGAGTGAAAGCCAGGAGACGGCAGCGACTGCTGTTGGAAAGGAAAGCTCGATGCTGGCGGTGGCGGACGCGGTGTTGACAGACCGGAGCGATAGCCGGCTGTGAGGTCGCCTGCATCGGAAGCGGTGGAGGGGATGTCCAGATGCGGCGGTTCTGCGCGCGGAGTGGTTGGCCAGGGTTGCTGTGGAAAAGGATCGGGTTCGAGCTGGTGCGCACGCATCTGAGAGCGAAGGGACGACATCGATGGCTTCTTTGAGGGGAAGTTGAAGGGAGACGAGGAGGAAGCTGAAACAGAAGAACCACCTGCAGCCGGGAGACTGCTGGAGGAGCTAGGCTGCTCTTGTTCGGCGGGAGGCATGCGGAAGCCTAGACCGCCGAAGCCACCAGCAGAAGAGTCGCTGGTGGCACTGCCAGTTCTGCCATGCCATCCCAGCGCGGCACCGCGAAAGGGACCCGCCGGAGCATTTGTGTAGATGGGAGACTGGTTGGAGGACTGCGAATAGGCGCTGTGCGTGTGTGAAGTGGGCGAGTAGAAGGACGAGGGCTGTTCGACCCAGTTGGAAGGCCCTGGCAAGTTTGCTGTGGTGATCTTGTGCAATTGACGGCTTGAGGAAGGTGGACTTGCGCTGACATGGTTGTTGGACGAGGTGACTGAAGCGGTGGGAGATTGGATCCGACGTGGCGGCACGAGAAGCTGCTTGTCGTCCAGATCAGGGATGACGACCTGCATCTTCGGCGGAGGTGCCTCGTTACCGTTTCGGCGGACGAGCCCGGTGTTCGGGTCGGGGAAGGGACGGGGTCGAAATAACTATCAGGGCTCCATCTTGTAGGAGAAACCACGAACGAAAGGAGAGTGGGACCAAGTATCTCGATAGCTTTGGTCGTAAGTGATCGCCGTTGGGATGTCTCCTTCAGGTCTCGAGTGTGATAGTGGTGGTGATCCAGGTTGTTCGACCAACCGTATGGACAGTGAAGCTGGCCAACATGCATGCAGAGCATCTCGGAAGACCCGTGACTGAGCGTGGGCGCGTTTTGCTCGATAAAGTTAAGTTCGCAGCTTGCTCGGTGAGCGGCTGTGCTGTGTGTTTCAGCTGGACCCTGGAATTGCCTTTTCCTGATCATGTTACACCGTCAGAAAAAAAGCAGCACCAGCCGAAAATCGCCCGTGTTCACGCGACTGTTTCGAGTGCCGAAATCCAAAAATAGCTGCAAGACAGCGCAATGGTACAGGGTCCCAAGTCTGCTTTCCTGCTGAGCCATCAGAGATCGTCGATATTGAAACTGGACGGACAAAATCGCTCTTACGGCTCGATTCCTCCACTTCTGCCAGACGGAGTCTCAACTCCGACCTGCCCTGCCTTCTTCCTTCTTGCCTTCCACCACCACCACCGCCGTCCCCTTCCCTGGAGTTCCGATAGACGCCTTTGTCCCAAGCGCACAACCTTCTTTTGATTGTGCGCAACCATGAACAACCGCAAGAATAAGCGCAGCGGCGCAAACCATCACAACGACAATGGATCCTCTTCTGCGCACCAGCACAACACGCACTCCAATGGAGCTGCATCGTCGTCAACGTCGAACAGCAACGATGGAACAAGCACGCCACCCCAGCAGATCATCCTCAACAAGAGCAGGCGTCCTTCCATGAAAGGCAGGGCCAGCTACAGCGTCACAGCACCCGGAACTCCATGGCACGAGCTCGATCTGTCCGAGATCCCCTTTCTACGCCACGACATCGCCGAGGTCCCCATCCAAAAGGGTCTCATGCGCTATCGACGTCTCTTCTTCATCTTTGGCGCCGCTCTTGGTGCCGTCATCGCGTTCCTCGCATCTAGAAACGTCCAAATGGCTCAGCACGTCGCGTCACTACGCTCGCTGGTGGACGACTCCTTGGACGGCTTCAGCATCGACTTTCCTTCCATCGACATCGGCATGCCCAAGGAGTTCGCAGACATGGGTGACAACCTCTTCAGTCGATCTCGAGACTGGTTCAAGAACAAAGACTTTGGAATCGGTCGCGATCTCAGCCGCAAAGGCTACACCGCCGACCACCCTGTGATCCTCATCCCCGGTGTCGTGTCTACCGGTCTCGAGAGTTGGACAACCGACGAAAGCTCAGCGAGCTACTTCCGGAAACGTCTCTGGGGCACCACCACAATGATGCGCACCATCGTCTTCGAAAAGGAAATGTGGGTCCGCCATCTTTCACTCGATCCAGAGACCGGTCTCGACCCACCAGGCATTCGTGTACGAGCTGCAGAAGGTCTGGATGCCGCCAGTTTCTTTGCGGCTGGCTACTGGATTTGGAGCAAGGTCATCGAGAACCTCGCCGTGCTCGGCTACGACACCAACAATCTTTTTCTCGCCAGCTACGATTGGAGATTGAGCTATTACAACCTCGAAGTTCGCGACAGGTACTTTACGCGCTTGAAGCTCAAGATCGAACAGAACAAGGCACTCTTCGGCAAGAAGACCGTCATCGTAGCGCATTCCATGGGCAGCTCCGTGTTCTACTACTTTATGAAGTGGGTGGAAGCCGAAGGCGAATTCTACGGCAACGGTGGGCCAACCTGGGTCGAGGATCACATCGAAGCCTTCACCTCGATCGCAGGCACCTTCCTCGGCGTACCCAAGGCCATGGCCGTCATGCTCTCTGGCGAGATGCGAGATACCGTCGAAGTCCCACCGGCAGCCGCCTACCTTCTCGAGAAGTTCTTCAGCCGACGTGAGCGAGCCAAGCTCTTCCGCACGTGGGCCGGTGGCGCAAGCATGCTCATCAAGGGAGGCGAAGATATCTGGGGGAACTCCACCTGGGCTCCCGACGACGAGGATGGAGCCGAGGACACCCACGGTCACATCTACAGCTTCCGCAAACCCGGCACAGACCAACACGACCTCAACGAGCAGACGGTGCGAACCAATCTCACGGCCACAGCAGCGCACAACTTTATGCTTCAACATGCTCCCAGTTCCTTCCAAAAGATGCTTGCCACCAACTATTCGCACGGCATCGAACGCGATGCTGACAAGCTTCAGGCCAACAACGCGGACCACACAAAGTGGTCGAACCCGCTCGAAGCGCCACTGCCCAATGCACCTAGCATGAAGATGTACTGCATCTACGGAGTGGGCAAACCCACCGAACGCTCGTACTGGTATCAGCAAGGTGAATACGTCACTGAATCCTCGATCGGTGAACAACTCGATGAACCAGGATGCTTCGGTCAAGAATGTCCCGATGTCTCGCGTACCCCTGCGCTCGACTTCCCCACCGCACGTCTCAGTTGGATCGACCACGTGGTTCAGAAGGAAGGTGCTCTACCCAAAGTCAGAGCTGGTTGCAAGATGGGCGAAGGCGATGGTACGGTATCCCTGTTGAGTTTGGGAGCGATGTGTGCTCAGGGTTGGAAGCACAGCATTTGGAATCCGGCCAACATCAGTGTCGTGACTCACGAGTTGAAGCACGAACCGGAAGCCATGGATTTGAGAGGTGGTCAGTCCACCGGTGACCATGTGGACATTTTGGGGGCGAGGGGGGTCAACGAGGCGATATTGAAGATCGCAAGTGGTAGGGGAGACGAGGTCGGCGATCAGTATTTCTCGGATATCAGAAAGTATGCCGAGGCGGTCAAGTGGATGGGCGATGAGCCGGGACCGTGAGAGAGAGGTGAGGACGAGAAAGGGATAGATGTATACCCGCCATCTTTTGGCATGTAATTTTTGTGCCACGATATTTGTAGACATTTCTCTTCAACGCTTCGTTTAATTACTCAAATTTACTCAATCATTTCATCGTCTGCTAAGTTCATACCCTCGTGCGCACAACATCGTCCTGATCGAAGCACACAACGTTTGCATTGCGACAAGCTCTTCTGCATTTCTTTCGTCCATCATCCAGTCCGAGCGGCTTTGCTCGCATCCCCCGCCGGAGCCCCGTCCTTCCCGCCAACCTCTAGGAAATCCGTAGGGCGATCGCGTTTGTTGCCCGTCACCTTGGTGTTGGTCCTCGCCTGGTTGACGGGCACGCGCATGTACGCCGAGTGCTCGTTGGTCGGCGGAGCACGGTGGCTGAACGGGTTGGTGGATTGCGCCGCCTGCTGCTGGCCCCACGACATGTTGGGTGCGCCCTGCATCATTCCCATGTTCATCTGACTACCGCCTTGCTGTTGCTGCATCTGTTGCATGAAGGCGAACTGCTGCATCTGCAGTTGCATCTGCAGCTGCATGCGCATGGGAGGTGGAAGCTGCGGATTTTGCAGCATCATCATTATCTGCTGCACCATTTGCGGGTTGAACGCCATCGCTGGCTGTCCTGCGTTGCCGGGAGCGTTGCCGGCAGCATTTCCTTCGCCGTACGCAAGGCTGTTGTTGTCGGCGGAAGCGTTGGCTCTGTGTGCCTGTTCGTCCTGATCGTTGTGCGAAGCACCGGGGCTGAGCGTGCGTTGACGTCCCGGAGCTGGCGAGCCGGCCTTACTGTCGGCTGCATCGTTTGTCTGGTCAGGTTTGCTGCCTTCCTCCGCAATCTCCTTTTCGCTCTGCTCGATCGTCTCCTTGATGTACTCCTTGACTTTCTTGCGCGTCTCTTGATCTGGTTGGAGCTGCTCCAAATCCGCAATACGCCTGTCGCACTCGGCACACATGAACTCGTGCTCCAAAAGATGCGTCTGGATACACTCTTCGCAGTACTTGGTCTTGCAACATGGCGTCACGACAGCGTCACGGAGCAGTTTGGAGCACAGCGAGCAGGCCAGCGAGTTGTCGGTAGGTGGTGATTGGTACACGTCGGATTGGGTGAGCGGCTTTGTGCGAACGCGGTTCTTTCGCCACGACTCTTGATCCACGCGGGCAACGACGTAAGTACCGTCGGCGGTGAGCATGACACCAGCGCGATGGTCTTCGTCGGTGGGTTGCTCGACCGTCTTGAGCATCGACTTGGGAATACCTGTGGTGCGCTTGAAACGAGGTCGGTTGTCGAAATCCTTGTCGTCATTGGTAGGACAATCTTGGATCCAATGACCTGGCTTGCCACAGCGGAAGCAGACGTAGCCGACCGGCGGCGGACGATCAGGAACCTGCTGATGAGGGCGCTGCGTCGTCATGGGACGCGGAGGACCGCCTCGACGTGCTTGTCCGGAGCGGTCACGGTAGGTGGCGTGGGACATTCGTTCTTGCGTCTCGTCCCACTGCTCCGTGGTTGCTTGGAACATGGCGGCGATGCGATCGGCTTCGTCTCCGGTAGCAGCAGCTGCAGGACCGCCGCCGCCTGCGCCAGCTGAAGGGCCAGCGCCCGGAAACGGTTGCGCCGAGGATGAGCTAGGATCCTTCCCGCCGTCGAATCTCATCGTCATAGGGCCACGGTAGGCTTGTGTACGCGAATCGGTCGGCTTGGCACCGGAAGCATTGGCGGTGCCCGAGAAACGACTTGCGCCGGTGGTGTCGGCGGCTCCGTTGACATCGGCTACATAGTTCTGCGCGGTTCCGCGACCGGGTTTGGATGGTGGCAGGCGGCGCACGATGACTTGGGTGGAGCGTGGGACCAGAAAGTTGTCGTCCTTGTATTCGTCGTTGGTGTCCGCATTGTAGACGCCAAGGTCAAAGTCGGTGCCTCTGCCCATCTTGTTTTGGAGTATGATCTCGCGCTTGAGGTCCCATACTGAGATGCCGGTGCCGTCAAAGGTGATGCGCGAAGGTTCCTTTTGGGATTTGAACTTGTAGTAGACAGATGCAGATGCCATGATGCTGTTTCGTTCGCACCTATGGCGGGGTGGAGAGGCAGAGTGTTTGGAAGAAGGGCCAGAGGCAAGAGATGCAAGAGCGAGACGTATCTACTCAGCAGAAGACAGCCAGTGCGTCAGAGGTACAAAGGCAGCTTCAATGGAAGGTGCAGAAATCTTGAGGAGAGGCACAGCTGCTACCTCTGTGGGAGAGGATAATACTTTCAGGAAGACAAGAGTCGCTAACCGGATCAATCAGCAGGGGAGACTAAAGAAATTGATCATTCACCAACATCAACTTCTGGACGAGAAAAGAGACAGCGTACAGAGCCCTTCTGGCATGCAAAAGGGAGGAAAGAGATGGTCACTCCGACGGAACTACAGTGCCAAATTGCTCGACCCGATATGCGAGGTTGGACTGAGGTTGCGATGCAGGAGAAGCAGCTGATGCGAGACGAGCTTCGTAGTCGCAGTCCGTGCAGCCAGGGAAAGTCTGGGAAAGCGATTGCGTGCGATATGGAGAGGCGAGTTGATGGTGGTTGACTGGAACGAAGGGTTGAGATGTTCGTGGTGCTGATCAAGGCAACGCTCAACGAGGCGACTCAGCGCATCCCCAATTCCCCACTGTGATCGACCCTCTCTTACGGCCGGGTTACTCTCCAACTGGGTCCACACCGACTAATCGTGCACTGAAAATATGCAGTTACAAAATGGCAGTCTTAGCTTTTCGCGCCGTCACGAACCAATCACACAGACGCATGGAAAGCCTTCGTCCTCAACCATCACTCTTAGTCTCTTGATTCGACCCAAGCCAAAATTTTCCTCGCCCGACTAAAGGCAGCTCGGGAGACACAGAACAGTGAAACCATCGACTGCGTTCCTTCCTTCCTGACCACGGCCCGCCGGCCCTCGCTGCCCGCCAATCGGGCCGGATCATTCGGGACCCTTTGCCTTCCGCTACTCACCAAAGCACGGCTTCTTTCAGCCTCTCCGTCGATCGGACATCATCATTGCAGCGGGCAGGCACCGTCGTCATTCGCACTTTTGTCTCGAGACTCGCCATTGTCCCGCCATCCAGGCTCGATCCTGTCCGTGTTGACCCAAAATGTCGAAAGCTCCCCTCAAGAAGTCAGAGTGGGAACGACAGCTCTCATCGATCAATGTCGCCAAAGAGTAAGTCTTCTTCTACCTCGACGATGTATCGCAGCAGCAGATTCAGAGGCTTCAGTTCAGCTCCTCCGACATCCACCCTCGCTCGACTTTTTATGATGAGACTTGACGCAAAGTGGGAATCTCTCCTACATCTGATGAGGAAAACCAGTTTACTTATGCCCACTGACCCATCGAGCGAGAGGAATCAAGATGGACTTGATCGACGGAAGCATGCAAAGACGACTGATTGGATCTGCTGCTGAGGTACAGACCGCTTTTGGTATTCAGATTCCTGACCAAGTCCCTTTGCTTATCTTGATTCAAACAGCGATCTCAACCGCCTCGTAATGGATTATCTGGTCATAGAGGGCTACAAGGATGCAGCCGATTGCTTCAGCAAGGAGAGTGGACTCAAGCCTTTTGTCGATTCGGACAGCATCCTCAACCGCATGATCATTCGTGGAGCGATTCAACGTGGAGATATTGATGATGCCATCGGACGCGTCAACGAGCTAGATCCAGAGGTACGTCTCAACTCACCTTGACCTTCCAGGCCCTGGCAGCAGCAGCACGATCGTTTTTCTTGTCGCAAATGGCCTCACAACGAGCACGACTCGCAGCACGACATCTTCAGCTGCGCCCGCTTTGAATGATGACAATTTTTTCATGCACCACGCTTAGCAACGGGCTCCAGTGGGAGTCTAAGTGCGGATACTTTTTTACACCAAATACTTTACAACTCTGACTTGCCATGGCCAACTGCGCTGCTGCTGTCTGGAAAGATGCACGAAAGGATCTGATGTCTGACTCTCAGCCTCACTTTGCTGCTTTTTGCAATCGTATAGATTCTGGACAACAACCCACTCCTCTTCTTCCACCTGCAACAACAACGCCTGATCGAGCTCATCCGCGCCGGCCTCGTCAACGAAGCGCTGGCATTTGCCGCCGAGGAACTAGCGCCTCGAGGCGAAGAGCATCCGGATCTGCTACCTGAGCTCGAGCGCACTATGGCGTTGCTCGCTTTTGACGTGCCGAAAGCTGCAGGCGTCGCAGCTTCTGGGCCGCTAGCCGCACCACCGCACGTCGCCGAGCTGCTTTCGCCCAGCCAACGTCTCAAGACGGCCGGCGAACTGAACGCCGCCATCCTGGCTTCGCAGAGTCAAGGTCGAGAGCCCAAGCTGCCGCAGCTGATCAAAATGCTCAACTACAGCGAAGAGCTCATGGGCCCTACCGGTCCCGGCAAGTGGGAGTTTCCTCGTCTCGATCTGGAGGGCGCTCTTGGCATCGGTGCTGGTGCGCAGGGCGGTGTTGTTCGGAACGGTGGCGATACTGAAGCGCCGCTTGCCGTTTGAGTGCTTTCGATCCTAGCCGTCGCGCGCATAGTTCTTTCATATACCCTTTCTCATTCGCAAATTTGTCGTCGTCTCTTTTTGCATCCGTTCGTCGCTGTTGATCGCACTGTATTTGTATGTCTGTCCTCTATGCAAATCAGACTTTTGTTCTCCTGTTCAGCGGGTTCGTCGTCGTGCTAGGCGTGATGTCAGATTGATGGATTGAGAGTCAGTGGGACGAATGTATTGAAACGAGATGACTAGAGTACAACAAGGATGAAGACGATGATGCGAGGGGATGCTAATGAGACGAAAAACAAGGTAGCCGGTAGGCTTATGCAGCGACGGCGGTGGGCGCCTCGATGCGGTGGAATTGAGTCGGATCGTTGTTGTACTTCAACTCGTCCAGCGCCACGATGCAGCTCTCCCTAACGACCCTTGGCGCCTCACCGTCTTGTGCCCACTTTTGCAGCGTCTCGAGTACCTTTGTAAAGTCACCGTCTCCATTCTTACCGTCCTCTTCACCTTCCTCTACGATCCCACCAAGTGCTTCTGCGGCTTCGTGACGAACCATTTCGTGTTCGGTGCTGTCGTCCAACACCATCAGCATGCTAGGGATGGAAGCGGGGTGGCAGAGTTCGCCAAAGACGAAGCAGATTTCGTGCCTGAACAGCGCAGAACCATCCTTCAAACCTTTCGCCAATGCCAAGACTGCCTGGACCGCTCCTTCTCCGCCACCGTGTGCGACGTTTCGAAGCGCGAACATGGCTCTGTACCTTTCGAACAGCGAGAGGTTGGTATCCAAAAGCGTCTGTTGGAAGAGTGGTACTTGGTCGGCAGTGTAGCTCTGTCCTTCAGCCTCGGATTTTGCAGCTTCCTTGCTCGAAGCAGAGGAAGTCATGGCAGGAGCTGGGTCGATGGGTGCAAATGCGGACTCTACACCGTGGGAACCCGACTGTTCCTGCTTCAACCTTGCCGATGCTTTCGACGCCTTGAGTGCTCGACCCTCGTCCGAGTTGTCAAAGGTGATTTTGGAAATGGCCAACTCGCAGGTCTCGCGTACGCTCACGTCCGAGTCGTTACGGTACTGCTCCAGGACCAGCAGAACCGAGGGATCGGAAATAGCTCCCATCGCTTCCGCCGCTTCGTGTCGAACCATCGCATCCTGATCACCGTCTTCGAGGATGCGCTTCAATGTCGGAAGCGCACGAGAGTCTTCCAGCTGTCCGAGTACGTAGGCGAGCTCATGTTTGAGCAGCGCAGAGTCGTCAGAGAAGGCGTGGGAGATGATCGAGATCGCTCGTTGCATGTGCTGATCGGATGTGGCTGCGAGACCCTTGATGGTGAAGAGGGAGCGGAAGCGTTGATCGAGTGGGGTGGAGCCGGTAAAGTCGCAAAGGGACTTTTCGAGGCTGTCCATGTTGTTAGTTGATGCTGCGGCTGTCATGGCGGCGACGAGCTTGTACTGGAGTGATACGAGGTATAGCGGTGAAGAGCAAGTGAATGGCGAAGAGGTGATGCGCTTTCAGCGAAACGGTTCGTGCAGCTTTCGAGATTTTGCTAGATGAAGCTGGCTCTATGCATGTCGCCTTGTCGAACCTTCACGAGAAAAAACCTTAAAAACGCACGCTTTTGAAAAATTTCCAGCTGCGAGGGGATCACGTAAGCCGTGGTCAGAGCTTCCGGCCAGCGGAAGGAGGAAAAAAAGGTTGGCCATCAAGGGTCGTTGAGAAGAATTTGCAACCACGTTGAGCGTCGATTTTTCGAAATTTTGTTTCAGGGTTCTACACCTCGAACAGCAGCTTCTCCACCTCGGCATGAGGCATCCTCTTCGCTCTTTCTTGCCTCTCCACTCGAACCACCGCTTTCCCTTCACCCTCTCAACTCGCATCACACACAGCCTCGTGCATAATCATTCATCATGCCACGAGCTAAGCGATCCAAGGTCGTCTCCCTCACGCGAACCGACAAAAAGACAAAGGAAGACAAAGCCAACCTCATCGACAAGGTTCGAGATGCAGCGCAAGAATTCCCCTACGTGTGGATCCTAGGCCACCATTCTATGCGCAACAACTACCTCAAGGAGGTGCGCGATCTTTGGAAGGGCAGCAAGATCTTCTTCGGCAAATTGAAGGTGCTTGCGCTCGCGCTGGGGATGACGGAGGAGGAGGAAGTGAGGACAGGAATCAGCGGTATCAGTCAACGACTGTCGGGCGACGTGGGATTGCTATTCACCGAGTCGCCACCTGCGGAAGTGACCGATTGGTTCAAGGATTATCAGCGGGTGGATTTTGCTAGGGGTGGATCGAAGGCGACCGAGACGATCGAGTTGCCAGAAGGGCCGGTCATGGCTCGTTCCAATCCCCCCGACACGCTGCCACATCCGGTGGAGCCGCAACTGCGACAGCTGGGCATGCCCACAGAGTTGAAACGCGGAATCCCTACGCTGCTGCAGGACTACGTCGTGTGCAAGCAGGGTCAAACACTCACCTCGAATCAAGCGCAGATCTTGAAGCACATCCTCGTTCACATGGCCGCTTTCCGTCTCATTCCCCTGGCGTATTGGAGCGCAGCCGATGCCGAGGACAACAAGGGCGAACGCGGTGTCCACCTCATCGACCTCTCGGAGCAGGACCAAGAGCTTGTCGGAAACCAGGCAGGCAAGATCCGTGCGCCCAGTGACAACGGGTGGTCCAAGGACCGCAAGTCCAACGGCTCGATCAAGAAGACCAACGGTCAGGACGAAGATAGCGATTCGGATCAGGATATGCAGGACGACGATGAGGAGGAGGACGACGACGACCAGGACGCCGAAGACGCCGTCACAAAAGACATGATGATGCCGGAAGGACTTTGAGCATCTTCGACGCTCTCATGTAACACCACTGTCTCGTTTCGGCCGTACATTCTGCATGTCATCTTGTATCTCTCACCGCCCTGGCACCACATTCTATCTTATTGCGTTGCTTCTTCAGGCTCGCCTGTTGCCAATGGCTTGCCTCTGGAAGAGTCCGTGCTTTGTCGTCGAGACTGTCAGAGAAGGCAATGCTCAACGATGATTCTGTTGTTGCGTTGAGAACGAACAATTTCATAGACAAACATCATAGCCGCGAATTTGTTGTTCCAGAATGTTAGGCCGATTCGCTTTTGGGAAGCCAACCTTTTTTGGGGACGTTTCGCCTCCACCTCGATAAAGGACAACCCGCCGCACGAGCTTCCGAGTAACAACAACCGAAGCAGCATGTTTCATTGTAGCACCACATCAATGTCACCGGATCTACGGTTGTCGCCGAGGGCCCTTCACACGCTACCGAACCTAGCTCTCTCGGCTTCGGAATCCGCGACTGGACGTTCCTTGCATGCTGACCGTGGTTGCATTGCGCCTCGTCCGTTGCCACTTACCCGGGTCGAAGCAAACTGCGTCATCTGATACCTGGATCCAAGTACTGCAGCTGGAAGAGCGAGTTTCGCGTCCGCATCCACACGCCTCGAAAGGGTCACCATCGGTTCCGACCTCTACGTTCGTACTTTGCAACAGATATTAAAATAGCACCACCATACGGGCCTTACTCGATTGTTGCACCATCGACATCTTGCATCCAGACCTCACAAAGTCTGCGCTTCGACCGTACATGGACTGGCTTCCGCTACCGTCAGAGCATGGCCGAAAGCATAGACGAACATAGTCCTCGAGCCTGAATCGGTCTATGGACAAAGTCCTAGGACAGTCAAATTAGTTGTCAGCAGTCGAGCTCAGGCAAGTAACTAAGAACTCACTCGGGTGATGTCGAGCATCTTGCATCTCACATACCTCTTCGTGCCAAGGCCGCCAAGCCCGGAGAGACTGTCATCGACCCCACAGCTACAAGACGCTCTCGGTGCTTCCTTTCTTCCGAATCGATGGCGCAAACACTTGCCTTGCCGTAACGCGGATCCGAGCGTCCGTCGCCTGCACTAAAGCCTCTCGAGTCTGTTTCGGGGTTTGCCTTGTGTCTTTGACTGACGAGCGCCAATCTGAAACCAACATCAGCCCGGATATCTGCCTGACATGGACAAGACAAGATCTCTGTCCGAGCACCCGGTGGAGACCCTCGAACGGCTACAACAACCCCGTCGAAGTAATCGAGCGCACATCGAGGCTTTGCCGTCCGAGCTGTTGTTCCATCTTTCGCGATTTCTGGACCTGGCAGGGCTCATAGTGTTCAGCACAGCGGCAAGTCATGCGCTGCGCAAGGTGTTCGCGCAATTCGATCGAGAGCTGTTGTTCCTGGAGCCTGCACATCGACTGAACCTCGCAGAGTGGAGGGAAGCCGCCAGGAAGCTCGAGCGCTTCGGACTGACACCGTCGTCGTGTTTCGAGCGCGAAGTGACCGATGCAGAGTCACATTGCAAGGACGAAATCGACCTGTCTCAGGCTGTGCATCAGCTCACCAGGGATGAAAGCCTGATTGACCTGCATCTCTTACAGTCCATTCTCGTCTTCCTAGCGGCAGAAGATGTGCAAGATTTCAGCAACCGTGCTAGTGCGCGCATGAAGCGTGGTCGCCGAAATGTGGTACCATCGATATCAACCGATTCACAGAGCAGCAAGGGTGTCAACCAGATTCGCAGCTTGCATCTGACTGGCTGGCACGGCATTGCAGGGGCGTTCCTAATCCACCAGCTTCGCTCACAGCCGTCGCTGAGAGGAGTGCGCACAATCGTCAAGACGGACAGGGCTGACTCACGGATCTGGCAACAGGCTGCTGCAGACGATCGATGTTCAAAGGGACAGGGCGGTAACAACGGCTCAGTGTGGTCCGCTCATCGTGAGCACGAGGTACCACGATGGCCGAGTCGGCCCTGGTCAACGCAAGGTATTGGCGGATCGAACATGGTCGTGCAATTTCGAGACTGCCATACCACCCAGATCATTGTCCAAGTTGGGAAACGACGATCACGGATACCTGGGCAGCCTTTTCTGCGCGGAGAGGGACTTCAGATGGGATTTCAGGGGTACTGTATCGATATGGCGACAACGATGCCCAAGATCGAAGCGGGCGAGTTGAATTTGTCGATAGATGGTGGAGCCGTACATGCGGACAAACGCATCGATGCCGAGGAAGGTGTTTCGAAGGGTGACTCAACCATGCATTCAGGGCCAGGTCCCGAAAGCGATGGTGCTCTGACCGGCTCGGCTTGCCAAGACTTGACGCGGCACAGGCTCCATGTGATTCTGCAGGGTCGAGAGGTGGAGGATGCAGAGCAAAATGAGGAAATGTTCGAGCGGAGCCTTGTGTCATGCAACCAGTGCAAGGCGCGCATCGTGTTCTAGACCCGTTGTCCTCGTTGGCTCTGCTTGTACTTTAATGCAAGCCGTGTGATATGACACCACCCCCCGATGCTTAATGTGCCCCACACTGATGACCGAGCAGAACGGTGGCAACCAACACATGCTCTTCGCTTGCCAAAGAAGGGATCGATAGGGAAGTTGAGATAATGCCGCAGAAGCACACGGCGAAGAGAGGATAAGGCAGCGTGTTTTGACTTGTCCGCCCACCCAGGCCTACGTGTGGCGACCGGCAGCAGCAAAAGGAAAGGTCGGATGGGCGCGCCTGGCTCTGAGCTCCGCTGGCTCCGTGTCGAAATTGGCTTCGGGCTCAGAGGAGCGGAAAATCACCTGTCCGTACAGTGTACAGTATGACGAAACTTGGTGTGGCAACATCGAGTGGGACGGTCGCCACTGTAATCCGGAGAGCCCTTTTGTGGCGTCTGTTTGAGCTGCACCACTATCTCGAGCGGCGTTCCTTTGCATTTCCGCACAAGTTTCCGGAACATCCGAATCGATCTACGATAGCGCGAACGGCAGTGCCATCGGTTTGACCTGGGTGTGACATGGATTCTGCTGTACTGTACTAATAGAAATCGGATCCGTCCCACACTTTCCCACGCCATCTTGCTCTGCTCTTTGCCGGATGACCAAACGAAGCCAAGGCTCAGATCACCAATTTTCCATCTCGGAGAAGTCGAGCAGTAGGATCGGATACCACACTAGGCGAGAGGCTTGCACGAACACTGATGCAAAAGCCATGTCGCTACGCGTGGTTTCTGTGGCGGTGGCTTATTTGTTGTGCCCTCTGCTACATTCGCTTTGGCTGTGTCTTGGCCAGGTCGGATGCGGTTGTCTAGCGCCTCGACTGACACTCACAGTCAGGCGGTGCAGATACGAGGTCGTTAAGAAGTCTCGAGGGTCTCGCGAAGCGGGGTCACGAGTAGTCTGGACCATGCTTGATGAGTCGGATCATGCATAAGAGTTGGCGTGGACCCTTCCCGACAAAGGCGCAATAACACTAAGGAGCCTTAGCCCGCTGCGCCTTTCGCCGAGCTTCGAATCGAAGCCGAAGACGAGTCTCGAAGGGCAATTTGACAGCTCAAAAAAATGCGCGAGATTTTTAGCGACGAACAGCAAGCGATGCAGATCTGAAATTTCCAAAACGTTGAGCGGGAGCTTGTTTATTTTGTTGCCATTCCGTGCATGGCCTGCAAGGTCGTGAAAATTGACAGCTCGGCCCGTCATCCCAACAATGAGCACACGACCGAGTGGCCAACCACAACGGCAGCATTTGACTTCTGAAACGTCATTGTTTCGACCGACGCCTTGCAGACGTGCGTTCCATATGGTGAGTTGCAGCATTTTTCTTCATGGGAAAGCAAATCGTGGTTGAGCTACATGGTTCTGATCCGTTGGCGACAAGATCGTTCCGATCAGGGATCAGCTTAGCGTTGCACGCACCAGCAGAGGCAGTGTGGAACCCTTTGCATTTCGTGGGCTGAGTGCAGCAACGGTCCCGAGAATCGAGATACCGAATTCGCGGTCAGGAATGATCCGCTGCACAACGTCGGAGATAGGTGGATGAGCCATCTGCCTCGTCTGTTGATTCAAGTTGCGAAAATGGGCAAGATTCGGAAACTCGGCCTCGAACATGTGCTGTTCAGCTTGCTTGAGTAGAGCCGAGGCAAAACGACGCTAGGCAAGACTCGGTTTGTTCCATGGTAAATGCATTCTCCTTCGCCGCCATAGCTATCCCTGTCCGTGTTCCGGTGTGTTTCTCGTCGCGGTCTTTTGCGAGACAATGGTCCCACAGGTCGTCCGGGTATGCTTGTCCAAACAGTCGAGACCCTGCCTCGGGTGTGAAGGCTCGGCGAGACGATGGTTCTGGAGCGTGCCGTGGTTGCAAAGTTTGACGTTTTGATCCCACGCTAGTCAATTGAGCTGCTGCCGTCGACGCAGGCACCTCGCTTGGCATCCCCATCGATACGTAAAACACACGTCGTAACAAGGTCAGGGTTTGAAATTTCAAAGTCTCGGGTGACACCCGAGGACGCAATCGTGCAATTCGTCACCAGCGTGGAGAGCTGAACAAGGCCACCGCCGAATCACTGACATGCGTCTGGTAGACTTGCGAGCGGCCAACAAGGAGCGCGGCATTGTTTGTTTGATCCATTGATGCCCGACGTCGAACCGTCAGAGCTCGGCTACGGTGATACCTCTGGCTTGGTAATGGCAGCAGCTGCGACCGCTTGGCGTGGGAACTTGACGCACGGGGCTGCCGAATCTCGCTTCTGCACCCAAGAAGGCCCGAGGCAACCGGCAGGCCTTGAACACGCTCGATGCAAGGCATCCAAAGGGATAAACAGACTTTCTTTGAACTGCGCTTGCCAGGTTGTAATTTGGGCAGGGCCAACCGGCGAATAATTATGCAGCGTCGCACCGAGAAATCAACAAACGGCCGCCTTGCGTGTAGCACCGTCCACCGGAAGCACCTTTTGAACGTTGCAGCTACCTCAGTGTTTGAAGAGGACGTTGAGAGGCATGAAATCGTTCACGAAGTTGCCGCCACTCGCTTTAGTCACTGAACGGAACTCAGAACGAATTCTGGACAAGGGTGGCGACCCCGTCTTGCTAGCTTTAAAGACCCTGTCGCTCGACGTGACACATGCAAGGTTTGCACGGAGTGCCAAAAAAGGACAAGACCCGGACAAATGCCCGCCAGAGTCACTCGTTCGGCAAGAATACTGTGTACGGCTGCAGGGAGTGCGTCTTGAAACGCACACCTCTCAAACCACCCGATGTGGGGTGAACGCTACCTCAACCATGCTAGCGAAGAGGTCTCGAACCATTCAGCCGCCCTCGACATCGGCTAGCTCGATCCGAAACGAGCGAGGCTAGCACCTTCGCTGTGCCGCCTACTGGACCCTCGTTCCGCAGGCGCTGCTTTGCGCTTTTAGCGGGCCGTCGCCGGTGCGACAGTCTGTTCGGACTGAATCCGATTTTATTTTATTTTCATTTTAAAATCAAAATAAAACCATCCTTATTGTCATTCCAACTTTTGTTGAACCAGATCCGCGGTGCTGTTGCGGCTCTGAGGAGCTTCTTTCAGATGTCGACAGGGTTGGACATCTCGCACTGCACTGCTTGCGCGCTTTTACGCCCGAAGTACCATCATATTGGCATCTTCGCCCACCTTCACCAGAGCATTTTTCCCTTTGGGTGCCCTTCGTTCTTGCAGCTCTCGGTCATCGACATCAGTGTATCGGCAGGAGGCTCCGCTCGTGTCGTGATCAGCATATCGAGGACGACAAGCGACTCGACGGAGCGCCTTGAACACCCGAATCCATTGAGATTTCCTCGCACCTGGGCATGATCACCCTGAAGATTGTCATCTTCCCATCTTCCTGGATCTCGGAGGACTAGCCGCACCCCTCGGCTCCAGCGTTGGTTCTCTTCGGATTGCTGCAGGATATTTCCGGTCCCGAAAGAGTCCCACCGCTCTCCCTCTCTTCTTCCGTCTCATCCAACTCCTCGCGGTCTTCGTCCTGGATCCTCAGCCCCACCTTTGACCGCCTTCGTCCTGCACTCTTCGGTGCTCATCGTCAACACATCACCCTCGCTAATTTCGCCGCTCTGCCAGCTTGCTCCGCTGATCGTCTTGTCTCACATCCTCAGCCTCGTCTACTTCGTCTTCGCAATTACAGCCATTGCGCCGCACTGCAGCCTTTCCTCTGGAAAGCTCATCGAACATCGTTCGCAGCGTTCAAGCAGGTGCAGACCCTTCCGCACTCTGTCATCATTCTTGGCTTCCATGCCCGGCGCCTTCCCCTCCATTCACGCTTCTGGTACCTCCGCGACAGATCTGCCGACGCTCTGCCCCTTGGCCCTCACACCACCAACAAAGCTGTATCCGAGACCACCTTGCGTTGCAGCAGCTTGGTCTCGGCCTTCGCAAACCACTCTTGCTGGTCACTAGATCTTCTGTCGTCATAGCAACCCAGACTTTTGACGCAGCCTGCCCTCACCCACCTGTCCGCTGACCGGATCCAGATTTCGCCCTTGGCATCTATCCTCAGGGCAACCTTGTCGGCTGTACGCTGATCTGGCACATGCTCGCTGTTCTCCGGTTGGATCTGTACCACATCCTGCAGATAAGGGGGTTCATCGTCTAGCTTCGCCGAGAGACACCTGCGGCGGACACGCGATTCAGTTGCTTCGCGTTCGTGCCTTGCCTCTGTGCTTCCGCCATCAGCACGCCTTCCGAGGGTTGGACATGAATAACTCTTTCGCCCGTTCGCCGCTCTTGATGAACTTATAAGATCCCCTCCTAGATAGCTTGGACAAAGGGTATTCGAGTTCTCACTTCGTATCACACACGCACAGATCTTTCTTCGTGTCGCAAGTTCAAAATCTGCACAAGTCTTCCTGCTTCCCCATAACTCTGTCAAGCCACGGATTTCTCCTCGTGCAGCCTTCAGCGCTCATCACCATCTGCAAGCTCCATCTCTTCCGTTCGCATGAACTTCTGCCTACTCAGACACACCTATGTTGTCCGAAGTTCTCTTTGGTCGACAGCAAGACACCTGTCGAGAATCGCATGACATACGGCGCCTCTCGTTGCCCGTTCTACCTCTGTCCGCACAGCTGTCACAAGCGCAACATCTTCATGCCTTTCCATCTCTTATGGCCATGAGCTACGACGCCGGTCAAACCTCGGCGCCCGATACCACGCGGGATCCGCGTGCTCCCGACACGAGCTTTCTAAACACTCTGCTGAGAATGCAGGGTGGAGCGTCTCCGAAGCGCGACACCATGCGGCGCCCGCAACAGCTGCAAGACGTCGATTCTCAGTCGCACTACTACCACCACCAACTACCTGACCCGGCGGTCCAATGGCCTACGTCGAGCACCGCCTCCTCAAATTCGATTCCTTCGCAAGCCACAACCATCAGCCATGGCCTACCGGGCACAGAGGCTCCTCCTGACAGGATACACGCTTCATCGTCGACATTGGATGCGTTCGCTAGCCAATCTTTCTCGTTCAGCTGTCTGCCTGGTCTGCCCGAGACTTCTCAAGAGGGTCAGAACTCCTATGCGCACTACCTAGACGATGCCAACCACGGGTACACCAACCACGTTGATCCTGCGTTGATTCCGCCTCAAATGCACTTGGTGCAGCCACATTCAGGTCCCGATGTGATCCAAGCCTTCGATCCTTCCATCGACGAGTCTTCTCTCCCCATGTCTTTGCAAGACTTGACCGAGGGAAGCTACTCTCCGACGGACTCACCAGACTCTGAAGGAATGACCAGTCACTCGAGCGAAAAGAAGAAGTCGGCTCGTCGTCAGGGCGTCACCTGCGACCAATGTAGAACCAAGCACCTTCGCTGCGATCTCGATGTCCGCCGTGCTCGCGCTGCGCGAAGCGCATCGCCACAGACCGCCGAGAATGCGCTGCTCGAGATGCAGAGGAGCACGAGTACTGGAACTGCAGTCCATCTCATCCGCTGCACTCGGTGCGAGGACAAGGGTTATGTCTGCACAAAGACACACGCACCGCCGTCCCGCAGGTATCCGCGTCCAAGCCGATCCGGCAAGCGCATTGAGCAAGCACGCATGCTTCATGGTGCCTCTCTTACGGATGCGTCTGCCAGCAAGCCGTCGGTGGAACGCATCAATGCGGCCTCTATCCTCATCCGTGCCCTCACCGAGCTGCGAGGTGCGGAGGTCCGCATCACTGATCGCGTCATGGCTGGCTCGCTCTCTATCCAGCTTCTCAATTGCTTCTTTGCCGTCTGCCACATGCAAGCTCCTGTAGTCGATTTTGCTCACTTCAGCAAGACCTTCAACGCTTCTAACGGAGACCCGCGCAAGATGTCCATCATGTCCAATGGAGGTTCCGTCGACGAAGGTCTGCCATCTATGATCCCTGATGTCCAGGGCCTTGGTTCGATCACGTGGACCGGCACAAGGGATAGCAAGATCGGAACACCAGCCACCACAGAAACTCTGCTCGCCGTGCTCCATGCCTGGGCTGCTCATTACACCGACGCTCCCATCGCCTTTGGTCCCGACTTCAAAGACCTTGATCTCGTCAACGACCGTCTGCAAGAGGTGGATGACGACGGATTCGCCCAGGCCCCACTCGACGGTCGAGACGCCGACGGCAGCAAAGCCGGCGCCAAGCGGCCGAAGCGTAAGCAAGGCGTAGCGTGCGACACGTGCCGTCTACGCAGGGTCAGGTGCGATGTCACGGAGCGGCCCGACGGTATGGGCTGCAGCCGTTGTGAGGACAAACGTATTCAGTGCACCGACACGTACATCCAAGCCAAGCGCGCAAAGCTGCAGTCGAAAGGGGCCAAAGCAGGCCGCATGGACGAATTTGGTGAAGGCTCCGTCCCCTCTATCGATTCGGCCAATTCCGATCCCGATCGCCTCAGTCCGCGCGCGTGGATCAGTACGCGCAGCGATCTTCTCATCCGATCTTATCGTCCCGGCGACGTCGAACACAACCTGCGCCGTGGCAAAGCGCGCAAAGCATTCTGCCATGCTCTGCTGAACCACGCGCTCTCGCTGGTGCACAAGCACGACATCCTTAAAAAGCCGAGCGTCGAGAGCATCCAGATTCTCAGTCTTCTCGCGCCGTTGATGGACAATGTCGACGGCGTTCAGGCGCACGCTTTTGCGGATGCAGCTTGCGATCACACCGAGAAGCTCGGCATGTCGACCAAGCTCGTGGTCGACGAGACCAACAGGCACGCGGTCGAGCACATGCTCAGCATCATGCAGGCGCACCGCGTCTTCCTGACAGCTTGGTGTCGCGACTCGATCGCTTCGGGGCTCAATCGTCGCAAGCCTTTCTTCAAAGAGGATCGCGCTATTGAGGTGATCGGTCAAGCCTCGTTCCGCAGAGAGACAACGCCAGTCACCAAACCTCGTCAGGGTGAGGTGGTACTGTCAGGCGAGATGGGCCTCACGTTTGTCATCATGACTATGGTGCAGATCGGGGCGCTTTCGCGATTCTTGGCGACGCACATCGACGCAGCTGAGGGTCTCAAGCCGTCGATTCCTCCCTGGCAGCGACCTGCTGGCGAGTCCATGGCGCCAATACCCAGATCTGCAAGATTCGCAGCAAGGCCCTCCCTTGCCGAGCTGCGAAAGCTGGAACGCGCCTGCGGTGCTGTGTGGAACAGCCTCGACTCGCTCATGCTGTTCTTTGACCGGTGTGCCTCCAAGGCGTGGTCGACGATGAACAGCCTCCAGCCTTTCCGTCCGCTGGGCTGGATCGCGAGCACCAAGCTCTGTGGGTCCTTGCTCTACCTCGCCTTGTTCCGTGCACTCGGCGAACGTCATCGCGCCAACGCGGCCTTCATGGCGACACTGAGTCACTCGCTCGGTGGACAAAGCGCCGTTTCGGAAGAAGACAAGATGGTGGCAGCTTCTCTCAAGGCGCTTTTTGACAAGAGCATGCAGCGGTCCATCGTTTCCTGTCGCAAGACGGCACGTCTGATCGGCATCCTTCTGCCTCTGGGTATTCTGCAGACGGGCGGACCGGTATTGAAGCAGATCTTCCCGGTGGCTCAGTTCCTCGCCAAAATCCCCAGCGTATCCGACGAGCAATGGGCCAGTCGCATGGGCAGTCATCGAGGCTCCTCTGTCGAAACGACGCTCGTCGCTTCCCCTTCCGACCCCAGCAACTTTATCGACCCGCAAACGCTCCAACAGCAACACTTTGTCGAACAAGTCGTAGCCCAAGAAGCCCAGCGAAACAGCGCCCAAGCAGCTGAATCAGCCGAGGCGCTGAACAACCCGTCCACCGCAGCTCATCTCGAAGTGCTGAGACAGCTGGAGGGCATGCATCAGCTGAACCTCGGACCCTACACGCACAGCTCCAAACAGACCGAGGTGGAGAACCTCATAGAAGGCTTGAGCCAACTCGGTTACGCCTGGGACACAATGGACAGGGAGATCGGCGTAATACAGGATCTGCTGCAGTCTTTCGGTCCTGCCCAAACTGACAGTTAGCTTCGCCATCAAATCTTACGCTTCGGACTTTAGGATTCGCACGTTCTTTACTGTTATCTCTAATCTATCAAGTTTGTAGTCTTCAGGGCCACTTCTCGTTGTCATTCACGAATCAATCGAGATGGTTCCGTTTAGTCCTTGACCGGCAAGTGTCGTAATGCGGCCTCAATGAATGTCTGTGGTATCCGCTCAGGCTGTTCATGATAACGATGACTTTCGGTGTGTGGATGATCTGATATTAGTATGAATGTCATCGACGTGTGTGGAAAAAAGCCCCTTTGAACAACAGCATCTCGCAAATGACCGTCTAAGCCGACTGGAACGCCTCGCTAGCCTTTGCCTTTGCACGTCGCTCCTCCACTGCACCTGCATCGACAGACGAGTCCAACGTAACAGTCTGGTGTTTCACCATCGTCTTGTCCTCGAAGCTCTCCATGCCTCGGAGACCCCACCTTCCGAGCATAGCCTTGTCCTCATCCCACGAAGAAGTGGGGGTGGTCAACATGCGTTCTCCCGTGAAGATGGCGTTGGCACCGGCGAGGAAAGCCATCGCCTGTTCGGATTCGGTGAAAAGGTGACGACCAGCGGCAAGACGGATGATGGAACCGGGTAGGACAATACGAGCGGTAGCGACGGTTCGGAGCATCTCTTGAAAGGTGATGGGCTTGTTCTGCTCCATGGGCGTACCGGGGATGGCAACGAGAGCGTTCACAGGGAAGCTCTCGGGATGCTCAGGAAGAGTGCTCATCTCCCAGATCAGTCCGACACGATCCTCGTGTTCCTCACCGAGACCCAAAATACCACCCGAACAAACCGAGATGCCCGCCTCGCGGACATTAGCGATGGTGCCGATACGATCGTCGTAGCTGCGCGTAGTGACGACTTTGCCGTAGTACTCTCGCGAAGTGTCCAGGTTGTGATTGTAGGCAGTCAAGCCAGCTTCCTTCAACTGCTTGGCCTGTTCTGTAGTCAACATTCCGAGAGTGGTGCAGACCTCCATACCCATGCCACGGATTTCGCGAACCATGTCGAGGATGCGGTTAAAACCACGCTTGCGACCGCCGACCTCACGCCACGCTGCACCCATGCAGAAGCGGGTGCTTCCGTTGGCCTTGGCCTTGCGCGCCTCGGTGAGAACGGTCTCGAGGTCCTCGAGCTTGGATGCGTTGGAAGGAGTCTCGTATTTGGACGACTGAGAGCAGTAACCGCAGTCTTCGGAGCATCCGCCTTCCTTGATGTTCATGAGCGTGCAGAGCTGAACACGGTTGACGGGGTGATGCTGACGGTGGACATTGGCGGAGCGGAAGACGAGCTCGAGGAGAGGCGAGTCGTAGATCTGTTGAACTTCCTTGCGAGACCAGTTGTGTCGAATGGCCCCTTCGGTTGCTGGGAGAGGAGCAACAGTGGAAGCCGAAGGGATGGTAGAGGAGGAGGCGGCGGCGGCGACGACACCACCGTTAGCAGCAATATCGTTGGGATCAACGGCAGTAGCACGACCGCGACGCGACGCTGGGGCTGACCATGCTGAAGCAACAGGTTGAGCGCACTGTCGAGCCGAAGCGCCGATCAAGCCTGCCAAGGGACGGCCGAGATGGCCGGCGGTGGTCTGTCGGAGGAGCGACATGGTGTATCGAAGCCGTAGACGATGTTGCAAGAAGATGATGACGGTGGTGGTGACGGTCACGATACAAGATGATCGACTTGCAGTAGTCGACGTTCGGTATCGATGACAGGGAGAGTCGCACTGCAGCCTCGTTTTTGGAAGATCGACGCGGCTTTGATATCGGCTACTGGCCAACTGTCTCGAGAGGCGCGTGTCTCTTTTTCTTGGCTCGTTGGTCTGTGTTGAGCCGATTATCCCAGCCGGCGCTAGCTGATAGGAAATCGGTGCAATCTGGCTGGTTCGTTGCTATATCTGAGGGTCGTCAACACCACGCCAAATCTCTTGACTCTGGTTTAGCGTTCGGCAATGCTTGCATGATCCGCACTCCAAAGATCACCGTTGCTGTTGACTGTGTTCCCCGTCTAGATCCGTTTGTAATTGAAGCGTCGTCAATCAAGATCCTGCACGGGCAATGAATGCTTCTTGAGTTCTGACTTGCCTCTGCTCTGAGAGGCTGGCCTGGTCGACTGGACTCGCATCTTGCGGCTTTGATGGGGCGAACGACGCTCCCAAAAATGTGAAAGATCAGACTTTCAAAATATGTTACACCTGTACATGAGCACATTTTTTTCTGTCCTATCTACTATATCGTACGAATGACACAGTCGGCTTGCATTCAATCTCTGTCGCAGCAAAAATTTCGAACTTGATTTCGTCACAGATTTATAATAAGATTCGGGCACTTGGTCACTCACACTCCCCCACCTCTTCGAGAGCACGTTGGATCGCCTAGGAAATTTCAGACTTTTCTGTTCAGATTGAGACATGCCACCCGCACCCTGCGTTTGCGGAAATTTTTCATTTCACAGACAGGAGTTGCTGAAATCACTACTTTTCGCCAGCTGTTGTGACTTTGAGTGGTAGCGGTGGCTGAGCAATTCGCCAAGCGTGTCAATTGCTTGATCAAGCCCTCGTTCCTACTTCCCTCCTGTCTACACCAACCTCTTCTTCCTCAACCTCAGGAAGCCTATTTTCGATATCAACGACGCCGCTTCTTCTCTTTCTACACCCTTTCATATCTTCAACAAAATGTCGTACGGTGGATACAGCGGCGGCTCCGGTCGCGGTGGCTCTTACGGCGGCGGTCGTGGCGGCTACGGCGGTGGCTCCAGCTATGGCAACGGAGGTGGCAGCTACGGTGGCGGCTCCTCCTACGGCGGTGGTAGTTCCTACGGTAACGGCGGAGGCGGATACGGTGGTGGCTACGGCGGCGGCTACGGCGGCGGCGACCGCATGAGCAACCTCGGTAGCAACCTCGGCGCCGTCGACTGGAACACGCTCGATCTCGTCCCCTTCGAGAAGAACTTCTACATCGAGGACCCCCGCGTCGCCGGCCGTTCCGAGGCCGAAGTTGCTGCCTACCGCAACTCCAAGCAGATGACCATCCAGGGCCAGAACGTGCCCAAGCCCGTCACTTCATTCGACGAGGCCGGCTTCCCCGACTACATTCTCTCTGAGATCAAGAAGATGGGCTTCAGCGAGCCTTCGTCTATCCAGTCGCAGGCATGGCCAATGGCCCTCAGCGGTCGTGATCTCGTCGCTATCGCCGAAACCGGTTCGGGTAAGACCATCGGTTTCGCCCTCCCCGCCATGGTTCACATCAACGCTCAGCCGCTTCTCAAGCCCGGCGACGGTCCCATCGCCCTCATCCTTGCTCCTACTCGTGAGCTTGCCAACCAGATCCAGGTCGAGTGCAACCGATTCGGCGGCTCCAGCCGCCTCCGCACTTGCGCCGTCTACGGTGGTGTTCCCAAGGGACCCCAGATCCGCGACCTCCAGCGCGGTGCCGAGATCTGCATCGCCACTCCCGGTCGTCTCATCGACATGGTCGACGCTGGCAAGACCAACCTCCGACGTGTCACCTACCTTGTCATGGACGAGGCCGACCGAATGCTCGACATGGGTTTCGAGCCTCAAATTCGCAAGATCTTGCAGCAGATCCGTCCCGACCGACAGACGCTCATGTTCTCGGCCACCTGGCCCAAGGAGGTGCAGCGTCTTGCCGGAGACTTCCTCAACGACTACGCACAGGTCAACATCGGCTCCATCGAGCTTGCTGCGAACCACAACGTCAAGCAGATCATCGAGGTCTGCACAGAATTCGAAAAGCGAGGCAAGCTCATCGGTCACCTGGAGACCATCTCGGCCGAAAACGGCAAGGTCATCATCTTCACCAGCACCAAGCGTGTTGCTGACGACTTGACCAAGTTCCTTCGCCAGGACGGCTGGCCTGCCCTCTCTATCCACGGTGACAAGCAGCAGCAGGAGCGCGACTGGGTGCTCGCAGAGTTCAAGTCCGGCCGCAGCCCCATCATGGTTGCTACCGCTGTAGCATCTCGAGGTCTCGGTAAGTTCAATCTCCCCTTTCCAGCCACTCCCTCATACTCTCCTCTCCTTCGCGCACGCCTCTAGTTCCCACATTCCACTCCTTCCCCATCCCTGATTTCCCGTCCTTGACTAGCGCTCTGCGAGGTGATTTGGTCGTCTCCCCGAGATCATTTGACGAGTTGTGCGTGCGACCTCTACGATCGCGCAACTCTTCTGCAAACCCATTATCTTCTCCTCTCCTCAGCGCTCTTCCCTCAGTCAACAGGACGCTGTCGTGCGTTCCAAAGCGGATGTTTCTCGCCAGCCGCATCGGCATGCCCAAACACTCAACAGTGTTGCATGTCTTGCCAAAAAGGTAACTTTGGGCATCGCCGCGCCGCCTCCTGATCAGTGGAGTCAGTGCAGCGAACCGTCCATGTTCTTTTTGATTGCATGCCGATCTTTGGCGTCTCATCTTCTTTTCCAACAGCCATCAAGAGAAGCTTATTTCCATCGTCAAGACTGCATCGCGCAAGCTATTCTCCAGCAAGACTCGCAAGACCCACTTCCTCTAGCGACGAGGCTCGCAGCGCTATTTTGGCGCTTGCTAATGTCTCTGCATGCTCTTTCATCTGTCGAAGTTGTCCGACTTTTCAAGGTGGTGTTGCATTGCATTCTCGCACGGAAGGAAGGGAAAATGCTGGTATCATTCCGGCCTTCGGCCTGATCAACCAACGATTCTTGCTGATGCTTCGAAAAAAGTCGCGGAGAACAGCACCGTCGCTGCTCTTGGTTGCACGCAATGCTTGCAGGTACAAAGGCAGGTCATGCGCATCCCTCCCCGTTTCAGCTGCTCCATCTGTCTGCACACGCAACGAGATGTCAGCTATCCGGCTACCGGATGTGTAGGCTTCCGCTTCGTCTCTGTCTTGCAGAGCTATCGATGTCTTCCGAGACGTGTGCGATACGCTGAGCTCGGCTCTGTTTCCGCAAGGCGGACACTCCTTGCGCGCTCAGGTCTTTACTGCGATCATTTCGACTTGGTTCGACGACAAAGCTTCTCTTTTGGTCAAGATAGGAACGCTGCCTCTGCGCTGCACGAAACAGGCTTTACTGTCAGAAGCGTAGAGGCTGCTGATTGTAACGTCGCCTCACACGAGGATGGCGATATTTGCATTTGACGCGTTTGGGGATGGATGCATCTGCGCATTGCTGCAGCACATTGAGCTTTCGACGTCGCTGTGTCGGTGTCGAAAGCAAAAGGAGAGCGGTCGCTTCCTACAGGTGCTGTCTTTTGCAGCGTCGTCTGGGCATGCAGGGCAGACTCTGGTCTGCTGCAGCCACAACGATCTGTGAATCTACGGGATGAAAGGGCTCATCATCCCTTTTCTGGTTAGCCCGGCTAGGCTCGATTACTAACTTTCGGATGATATTGTCATCTCTGTTCTCCTTTCTCTCACGTCAACCTACAACGGCGTTTGCGTTTCATTCTTTGCAATGCGAACGTCGTTATTAACCATCTGCTTCTGCCATTGTCTCGCTTTGGCCCGAACGCATGCCCTATCGATCGCTTTGAAACGATGCCACGCTCGAACCTCTCGCAACTGTTCGCGCGCTTTGCAACCATGCTTGCATTTATCGGCTCCGTCCTTTCACTGCTACTAATCTCTCGCTCCCGGTTCGTCGGTTCGTTTCTTGCGTGCTGCAATTAACATTGGTCGCCCTCAGACGTCAAGGACATCTCTTATGGTAAGTAAATCCCGCAGCATCTTGTAGTACTAAAGTACAAAGTCATGTACTGACTCGTGTCATTGCTTTCCCTTCACTAATCATCCTCGCAGTCATCAACTACGACTTCCCGACCAACACTGAGGACTACGTCCACCAGATCGGCCGTACCGGTCGTGCCGGACGCACTGGTACCGCCTACACCTACTTCACCCCCGAGAACTCCAAGTCGGCCCGAGAGCTGATTGGCATTCTTCGTGAGGCCAAGCAGGAGATCCCTCGTGAGATTGAGGAGATGGGTCGCTTCGGCGGTGGAGGAGGTGGACGTGGTTTCCGCGGCGGTCGTGGCCGTGGTCGCGGCCGTGGCGGCTACGGAGGTGGCGGACGCACTGGTGCCAACTCGTTTGCCGTCGGCAACTCGAGGTGGTAAATGCGCCATCACCCTGTTCTGAAAGTTGGTCGCTGCTCGCTCTCTCTAGCATTTGCTCATGAGTGGCTGGACGCGAGCAAGCCCCAATCTGGTCCCAATCCTCATCAACATTCAAAAGGTGTTCTGCCCGGCACTGGCAGCACCATACCGATACCTGTCTACCGTACTGTTCACGGTCTCGTATGTAAATTTGTGCCATTGGCACCCTGCCCTCATCCTAGTCATTGTCGTTCCGAGTTTTCATTCACCTTGCCTAATAGATTCCGTCGATTGCTCGTATCTTTGATGCTCGAGGTTGTGTTGTGCTGCAGGCTGTGAGTCGGGTGCAGACCTATCGGGGTGAGCAGACCAGACGGCTCTCCCGATACAGCGCTCTTGGTCCGAACAAAAGCGTGTGAACATGCCTGGCGAACAAGCTCACGGATCTGCGGGTAGCGCTTTGAGTGTTCGGAGACCGCCGAACCCGCCCGCACTTGGAGCCACACTTGCAGCGAAATGAAAGAAATCTTGCGAGTGTGACGTTGCTTGTCCGTAGATCGACACGCTCCAGTAACCGCTGCTTGACCTCGTCTGAAAGCCGGTTGGATGATAGAGGCAAATCCGCGGCACCTGAGCAGCTTCAGAGCGGCCAGCATCTGATTGAGCGTTTACCCCTGGCGAGGGCTCACACTGGCGGTCCGCCTCACTTTGTTTTCGCTGATCAAGAACCTGGAGACAAAAAAGTTGCGTGATGCAAGGACCCTTGATTCCGTTTCGCCTCTTTTTTTGGGACCTTTGCCGCGTCGACACTGCTCCAGTGGCGTGAATGGCAAAGCAGAGTGCTCGTCTGACACTCTCATTCGAGCGCAGTCGATGCACGGTGACTTTGGCGCGCGTCCCACTGAGCTTGCTTGCGGCTAACTTATCAGTGTGCATCGTTGGTGTCTTGCGTTGAGAGCGTAGCGTGGCTCGATTTGCTCCACTACCAGACCTTTCTGCTTGGTGTGTTTGCTATCGCTCTTGACACCAACACCCTCGTCATCCCTAACATCGATCTTGACTCCTTTCTCCACATCTGCGAGGTTTCCTCTCTGCAATCTGCAATCGCACACTTGACGATCAGTCTCGTCGTTGACCAGAGCGAGCGTCTGCAAACCAGTCGTCGAGCACCGACAAGGCACTCATCAAGGCTCACCAATCTAACCGTGGCTTATTTGATCCGCCTGCTTCGGAACTGGCGAGCTCGCCAGCAGCAACACGATTGGGTGGTCAATCACGGACATCACTCGAAAGATCTCTGCCGAGGGCGCATCTCTACGAAAACGTCTGACCACTTCTCACACCTTAGATAGCCGTATATCCTCGCCATGCCGTCCTTGACCGATCTCGAAAACTTCATCGAGGACAATCTCCCTCGCAACCTGCAAGAGCTGCCGCACAAGGTCTCTGTCTCCGTGCAGGAGTACTATCAGATCCTCTACGAGCAGCTCAACAAATATGGTCCTCCCATCCCCGACCTTCCCTCGCTTCCGTCCTTGGACAGCTTCACAGGCAAAGTAACGGAGCTAGTCTCACCAGTCCCTGCACCGCCATTGGTGACGCCGCCGCCTCCGCCTCCGACGAATTTGCAGCTGGTTCAAGGTTGGACTCGAGACCATCGCACCGCACTGAGCTTCGCCGGCGGTCTTTTGGTCGTCGGATTGGGTACCAGTTACGCTTATCACGGCGGTTACATTGCTCTGCCCTACCTCGGAAGGAAGCAAGTGGTCGGTCGAGGTCGCACACGCCAAGTTCGCCTCAAGAACGGCATCCGCAGAGAAGCTGTCATCGTGCTCGGTGCCGACACACCTCTGGGCCGCTCTCTCGCTCTGCACTTCTCCGGCCAAGGTTTCGTTGTGCTCGCATCCGTATCCTCTTCGGCTGCCTTGGCACAGTTTGAAAATCTGATTCCGCCAAGTTCTCGCGGGTACGTCAAAGCACTCATTTTCGACGTCGACGACCCTTCGGGCTCCTTGCAGCCCTTCGTCAGGGCGCTTTCTTCTGCCCTCAGCCTGCGCTTCCCGCTCACCAGTGCAGGTGACCCCTACGCCCGACCAGGCGAGAACATCAGCATAGCCGGTGTGGTGAACGCGCTCAGCTTTGTGGCGCCCGAGGACGACCCTAGCCTTTCACGCAGCCTATCTGCTTCAGCTTCAGCCTCTTTGCTCGGCGTGCCCATCACCAAACTTGCACCCTCCCCCTCCTCCGAGCTGCTCGACCGCCACGTCGTGGCCAGCTTGTGCGTGCTTGGAGCGCTCATTCCAATGCTGAGGGCGCTGCCGAACCGCGCCGACGACACGGCTGAGTCGGATCCTGCAACCGTCGTAACGCTCATTTCCAGCCCGGCATCCCGCACCGCTCTGCCCCGCCAAGCGATGTACTCCGTCATCGCACAGAGTGTTGCTGCCGGCGTACAGGCGCTTCGACGTGAATGCGAGGAAGATTCTTTCCACTCCAAGACGGCAAGCAACAGCAAGATACCCTCTGCTCTGAGCGGCTTCTCGGGCAGCGGATCAGCATCGCGAAGGGCTTCGAGCTCACGTTCCAACCTGAAGCAGAGGGACGTTCGCGTCACAATGGTCGAGGTCAATTCGGGATCCGTGTTGGGCGATCCCGCGACGCCCACGAATGCTCAAGCTACCAATCCCGCGACCAGCTCACTGAGCGAGAGTGGCTCGCTCAAGTCGCCGTCTCGACCTTCCTTCGGCAGATCACCATCGTCGTCGTTGGGATCTCTGTGGCATCACAAGTCGCCCAACTCGGCGCCCGTGCTGAACAAGGTGTCGGATCTGTTGCTCAGCACCAGGCGAAGACTTCGCCCAAGCTACACGGTGGGCACGCACACGCTCTCCGCATACTGGCTGACCGTCAGTCAAGTGCTGCTCACCATCGTACCTACGGGCATTGTCGATTTCGCGCTTGCCCTGAGGAGGCAGCTGTCGCTGCGCAGAGCCGGCCTTGTTGGTAGAGCCGAGCATGCCTACCTTCCACGGAACTGGGGCAAGACCTCTGACGCTAGAGGTGAGCAGGCCAAGTCGCGACCAGCCGCGGGTAAACGACCCATTGCTGGTCCCGGGCCTGGACCGGCATCGGCAGCTCATTCGAGGGCCTCTCTCGCCAAGCGTCCGAGCCCTTTGGGATACGAGATTCGAGACTCGGATGCACAGAGTCTGCCCGAGAGCGAGCGTTCATCCGGAGCCGGATCTGGCATCCCCAGCAGTGTCCCGTCGTCCGCCTACGGCGACAACGATGCTGACGCAGACGCTTATGAAGAGAGCGGCATCTCCAACACTCACAGTCCCTACTTTGGATCCACCCAACCGATGCATGCTTCCTCCGCGGATCTGTCGGCCTCGAACCCTGGACTGAATGACGGAAGATCCAGCACGACCATGCCGACCCATTTTGGGCGGGAGCCTTGGACCGGTCCACCGAGCAGCAGTGGGGCTAGCAGCCGTGAGGCGTATGTCTCCGAGAACGAGGAGAGGGAGAAGGAGGGGGAGAGGGGGTCAGGTTCGACGTTGGGGACAAGTTGGGTCGCGCTGGGTGAGAGTCAGTTTGAACCAGGGCAGTGATGGAAGGTTGGAAGGGGAAGGGATGCATTTGTATGTATGTATTGTGTCAAGGTTCTGAAGTTGGATAGCGTTTGGCTGATGTATGTGCGAGTGAGAAGTGCGTTGTGGGGTTGGGAGGAGAAGAGTCGTGTGTGCGGGTTGGGAGCGTGTTCTCGGTGATCTGACGGACTCAGCTGTGTCTTTCGAGTGACCGAATGAAAAGAACTCAGGCCTCTGCGCACAAACGAAACAAGGTGACTGAGAGAGCAACAAGTAGCATTAAGGGAAACTGTGGGCGGTTTTTGAGTTTTTCTTACTCGTCGGCAGAGTAGGCCGATTCGTGGATCTTGACGGCACGTCCCGAGGGGTCGGCAGCACAGCCCCAGTCGGCTCTTGGGATCCAGCGCACGGCGGTGGAAGCGGCGGCGTCCGAGGGGAACCAGCTCTCGAAGATCTCGCGGATCATGTAGGCCTCCTTTGTGTCCGGGGTGTCCATCGGGTAGCGTTTGGCGCGTTCGGCGAACTTTTCGTCCGAGATGGCCTTTTCGGCGTGATCCTTGATGCCGTCGATCCAGGAGTAACCGACGCCGTCGGAGAACTGCTCCTTTTGACGCCAGAGGATGTCTTCGGGGAGGTAGGGCTTGCGAGGCGCGGAGGAGGAGAGCATGCTGCCGGTACCGTCGCCGCCAGCCTCGACGTCGTCGGGGATGACGTCGAACGCCTTTCGCAGGATGTACTTCTCCATGCGGGGACGGCCGTCGGCATCGACTTGTTGGAGCGAACCCTTGCTGAACATCTTGTCGGCAGCGTCGGTGTTCATGGCAACGTCGAGGAAGGCCTTGTCGAGGAAGGGGACACGAGCCTCGAGACCCCATGCCATTGTGCTCTTGTTGGCACGCAGGCAGTCGGCGGTGTGGAGGTTCTTGACACGGCGAACGCACTCCTGGTGGAACGAGGTCTTGTCGGGCGCAGCGTGGAAGTAGAGGTAGCCACCAAAGATCTCGTCGGAGCCCTCACCGGAGAGAACCATCTTGACACCCATGGCCTTGATCTTGCGCGAGAGCAGGTACATGGGGGTAGAGGCGCGAACGGTGGTGACATCGTAGGTCTCGAGGTGGAAGATGACGTCGGCGATGGCGTCGAGACCCTCCTGAACGGTGAAGGTGTACTCGTGGTGGACGGTTCCGAGGAATTGTGCTGCTTTGCGGGCGGCCAGCAAGTCGGGCGAGCCGGGAAGGCCGATGGAGAAGGAGTGGAGTCGTGGCCAAGCGGCAAGGTTCTCGACTTCGTTGTCGGCATCCTCGTCGAGGCCTACGGGGAGCTTGGTACCGTTGGCATCGCCAGCCGGGGTGGTCAAGCCGCGCGCGCGGCGGGCCTGTCGCTCCTCCCACTGCTTGCGCTGAAGATCGGCCATCTTGTCGGTCTCTCTCGCGGCGATCGAGGCGATGAGCGACGAGTCGAGACCGCCGGACAAGAGCACACCGTAGGGGACCTCGGACATGAGACGCTTGCGGACGGCCTTTTCGAGTGCTTCGCGGATCTGCTTGAGGTCGGTGGGGTTGGCGGGGATCTCGGCACCCTCTGCATCGCCATCGAGCCAGTTGGGGTTGTAGTAGCGGACGGTCTCCTTACCTTCGGGGAGGGACGAGTCGTAAAAGTGGCCGGGAGGGAAAGATCGGATGCGGTCGCACTCCTCGTGGATGGCCTTAAGCTCGGAGGAAAAGTAGATGGCACCAGGGTACTTGTAGGAAGCGCCCTGGTACAATGTGGTGATACCGATGGGATCGCGAGCAGCGATGACTCGGTGTGGGGTGGTGGTGGTGTCTAGCAAGATGAAGGAGAACATGCCGTCGAGCATCTTGACAAAGTCGGAGCCGTGCTCGCGGTAGAGGTGCAAGATAACCTCGCAATCGGACTCTGTCTTGAATTCTGCGTTCTGGTCCTTGAGGCTCTTGCGGAGCTGCCTGTGGTTGTAGATCTCACCGTTGACGGCGAGGATGAGCTTGCCGTCGGTGGAGACGAGGGGTTGAGCACCTGTCGAGATACCGACGATGGCCAAACGCTCGTGGCAGAGAATGGAGCCTTTGGAGCCTTCCTCCTGTGTGACGACACAGCCGGACCAGTCGGGACCACGGTGACGAATGCAACGCGACATGTTGAGCATCTTGCTGCGATACGCCGGAGCGTCGGGATGGTGGATACATCCGAGAATGCCACACATGTTTGCTAAGCTATTCGAGTGTGTTGGATGCTAATGGAGATGTGAGACAAGGGCCGAACAGAGTATGCGAAACCTTTTCTTGGTCACGAGAGTGAGGTTTGGTGGAAGGAAGAAGCCAAGTGGCGTTTGCTGAGCAGCGAGCCAAGGTATTCGGGTGTTGGACGAGCGGAGGCAGCAAGGGCGTGCGGAGCTGATCAACTAAATGGATCTTCCGACATTTGGATTTTGACAGGCCCTTACGGACTGGTTGGATTCGATGACTCGCGAAGCTTTGCCGCTGTGGCCAGCTGAGTTAGTTTGATGCACCTCGAGCGAGATCTTCTCGACCAACCAGAAACGTGCATATAGGATTTTGACTGACCCTTTTCCTGCTTTCCCCTCTTCTTCTGATCCACCCGCCACGCCAATTTCTTTGAAAATCCGCCCATCCCGTGGCTATTTTCCTGCTCGTCAAGCTTATCTTCAAGACTTGGCCACCAGTCGAATTGAATTAATTAATTTCCTCTCCCCACGCCCTCAATGACTTTGCCACAGCACAGCACAGTGCAGTGCAGCAACACTTGGAGTGCAGGCAGTCTCACGCGACTGGTTCCTCTCCTGCTTTGAGCTTTCGACAGCGAGTCACTCATACATTCCATAGCTTGGCTCGAATTAGGGCCGATAGGGATGATATACCTGAGTCTCATCTTGTCTCGATCTGGACCTGCGCTTCACATCTAAAGCATCAAGAGGGCAACATTTTAGTCACCATAATCGTTCGTATGAGAAAATGCGGTTTGAGCTTGATGAGCAGGATCGCCGATCTTTGTGAATCGTAGGCACCCCGATTCGCTGCTTTGCCAAAACTTCTGGCCGACATCCGAGCATGCTCCACACTGAGAATTTTGAAGTGCTCTTCTTGCTTTCTTCTTGAGCAGCGAAAAATAGAATGTAGCATCCGCACTTTGTCAACGCGTTCAACCGCAACCCTATCATCGTGATCCTTCGGCTCGCTGGTTCTGAGCTCACTGTCTCGCAACCATGGCGTCGTCTTCATCGGCTGCATCGCTCTTTGCGACAGAGTGCTTGCTCTACTCTACGGCATCCTCCTCGTCGCTGGTCGGATCCATGGGCCTCACCACCGTTGCCGCCCCTTCTTCCACCTCGGCTCTTTTCACTTTCAAAGGCGTCTCGGATCCCGCTTTCCATTCCGTCAGTATCGTTCCGACGTCTCCCAACCCGGCCATCTCAGGAACAGGCGGTCTCGTCCTCCAACTCGAAAATAACAAAGCCGTGCTCAACATCTTCTCATGGCAACGTGACCATCTCCTGCAACGCATCATCCTACCATCCAAACTCTCTTGCATCGCGTGCTCTGCAAATGGCGATCTCGTAGCGGGCGGCTCCTACGACGGTCGCATCTTTCTCTGGCAGATTGCTTCGGGCGATCTCCTCGCCTCCTTCGATGCCCACTACCGCTCCGTCACTGTGCTCAAGTGGACGTCGGACGGTGCAGGCCTCGTAACAGGCTCCGAAGATGCAAGAATCCTGGTATGGAGTCTCGCAGGTCTCCTCGCTCCGCATGACCAGACCAGTTCTTCCATCACCAGCTCCGAACACAACCCAACTCCCTACTGCACCCTTGCCGACCACAATCTTGCCATCACCGATCTGCACATCTCGAATGGTCGCTTCCCGCACCAGGTCATGATTCTTTCTAGCTCTAGTGACGCAAGCGTCAAGCTATGGCATCTTCCAACAAGAAGTCTACTTAGCACTTTTGTCTTTGAAGAACCAATACACCGGGTTGCCCTTGACTGTACTGAGCGCTTCTTCTTTGCAGCCACCTCACCCACTTCTTCACACAATCTCGTATATCGTATCGATCTCTTCCGCAAGCGCGATACATCCAGCAGAATGGTCGAGACTACCCAAGCCACTTCAGGCTCTCAATTCGACTTTGTCACCGAAGAGCTCAGAGGTGTCTCGTCCGTCGAGGCTTACGGATTTGGCTCCGCAGCTGGGCCGACCACGGAACGCATCCCCTCTGTCAACGATGCAGCAGCTCGAGCGGCTGCCAACGGATCCAGCATCATCTCTATCCGTGAGCCGATCTCCAGCATGTGCCTCTCCGCCAGTTCCACATCGCTCCTCGTCGGCGGTCTCGCCGGCAACCTGATCGTCATCGACGTATCCAACTCTCAAATCCTCCGGACAGTCTCGCTGCTCGGCAATGCCAAAGCCAGTGCAATCACGGGCAAGAACGCCGTCACGAACCTCGTGGTCCTTCCCAAGCCTCGAGACTTGCTCGGGCATTGGGAGACCTCTTCGTCGTCTGGCGCTGGATCTTCGATGAACGGTTCGGGCGGTGCAAGCGGTGCCGGGGCATCCGGCAACATCCCCGTCCGACCGATTGCCTCCAGCTTCAGTCATCACGTGCTGGCGTCGGAAGAGGACCGTCTGTCCAAGCCATACTTGACACGCATCTCCGGTAGCAACGCCGGAGCCATGTTCGATGAAAGCAGCGTTGATAGCTTCATCAATCCGGAATGGGACAGCAATCTCGTATCCGACGAGCTTCTCGCCAGGTCAGCGCTGTCCTCATTCACTTCCTCGCAAGCACCATCGGGCGCGCCGACGAGCACCTCGGCTATCAACGCTCAGACGGCTCAAGAAGCAGAGAGACTGCAAAAGGAGAACAAACTGCTCCGGTCTCAACTGAACCAAGCCAAAGCCATCAACGACGAAATGTGGTCTCGTCTCGTACAAGATCGTCTCTCGGCCAACCACGTCGATGTCGGCGCGAGCGATTGACCTCTTCCTGTCTCTCAAGATCATTGTATTCTATATCATGTGCACGACAAACGACAATCGATACCAGCATGTACACTCAATGTGTCTTACCACAGCTCTACAGTCAAAGTGGACAAAACATCAGAGGTGATGATAGGATGCAAAAGATTGAAGAAGAGATAAAAAAGACAAGTGTCCATGCGAGAAAGCGAAAGGTGTGAGAATGGATGCGGCTATCTACAACGGAGGAGTTTTCTGAGCTAAGATGGATGGAAGAAAGAGACGCTATGCGCGTGCGAGCTTAGAGAGCAAAAGCGGCAGCACCGATGGCGACGAGACCGGCGAGACCGAACGAGACGGTGAGGCTGGTGGCACCGGAAGCTGCGTTGTTTTGCGTGTTGGAGCTGCTACCGGAGCTGCCGGAGGAGGTTCCGGAGCCGACACTGGTAGCAGCCGCACCAGCTCCGCTGGTGACTCTGGACATGCTCGACGAAGCAGCGGCTGCTGCGCTCGAAGCACCCGATGCGGTGGACGAAGCGGCGGGGGCGGACGAGGTGCTTGCAGATGCGCCGACGGCGAGCAAACCGTGGCTGATGGATCGAACGGTCGAGCACTGGCTGCTCGAGGGAGCGGGGTGAGCCGAAGGTGTGACGGGGTCGCCTTGACGGAACGTCGAGCTGCCGTACCTACCTTGGAGCATAGCAATGTCACCGTCGCAGGTCTCGAACACACCCGGCTCGTAGTTGGCGGGGATGTTCCACCTGCATCCCATGACGTCGTAGATATGCTCGCACTGGGCAGCCGCCTGTTCACCCCAGCAAGCACGGATGCAGAACTGGTTGTACGACATGAAGTTGGTCCACTCGCTGATGAAGAACGGTTCGCCGTTGGACGCCGGATTGGCAGTGGTGTAGAGGATACCTCCGATAGGGTTACCCAGATCGTCGGCACCGTGAGGGTCGAACTCTCCTCCATCGTCACCTTCGGGGATCAAAATGCTGGTGAAGTCACCCACACCGGTCACCTGAACGTAGTCCCTCGTCCTGACAAAGTGAGCTCCCTCGATGGTGCCGTCAGGAATGAGACGCGTTCCGTGTCGATCGGTGGTGCAGTAAGCGACACCCTGACGCTCCTTCTCACCGACGGTACCGTACTCGGCAGGTCCCCAGAGACAGAAGTCTTCGAGCGAGTTGAGGTACGCCGTCTGACAACGAGAGTCCTGGTTCCAAGTGTTGCGAGCGCACGTGTTGTAACCCGACTGGGGCTCACCACCGGGAGTTCCACCTTCGCCGGACTGGATTCGGTTGGAACCCATGTACTGATCCGGAAGCTCCGAAACGGCGTACGTGGCTTTGGGCTGCCATTGCGACCACGTCTTGGTGGGCTGGTTGCGGTTCAGGTCGGTGGTAGCACGTGGGTCGGGACCGTTGCCGGTGCCTGTAGGCTGTTGAGCAGAAACGCTGCTGGCGAGCAAAGCCGAAACGAGCGCTACGGAAAGGGTGATTCTGGTCATGATGTGAGATGTCCTCTTTGCTCTTGTCGAATCTCGAATTGACGACAAGTTTGGTATTGGACCGAAAAAGAGAGAAAGAAGGAAAACCAGGTGGTGAACAGAAAGGAGGACGCCAGAAAGAATGCTGAACTGGACTAAGGAGGGATCATATACACTTCTCCGCACACAGAGTCTGCCAGGCGGAGCGAACGCCGAAGCGAAACAAGGCTGTGCCAAGCTTAGCAAGAAGAGCACGCCGGATCACACCCCGCCTGCTCGCTAGACTCGAATCCGAAAGCACGCCAAGATCCGTCGTTACGGTTTGCGGTTCCAAAACTCTTTACCTGTGCAGGATAGGGGAACGGTTCACTGAACCAAACACATGCCCGCCCCACGCGAGCTCGCCCTGGGATCGGCAAGGAGTTTGCCACGCTCTCTTCTGATCAATGCTGAGCCATCAGGGGTAGGCTTGAGTGTTTATCAGCTGTTCCTGTGGGCGAAGGATAATGCGCGATGATGTGGGAGAAGGTTCTCCGCTCTGCTCCCGTGTACAATGTGTCGCAGCAGGGATCGACAGGGTGAAGGGTGGCGTTTGGCATCTGCGAAGATCGAAAGGGTCTCTCTGGTCCTGACAGGTTGCTGTAAGCCGATGCGACCCAAAGGCTTGGCACCCGGCTTGCTTTATTTTGACAGGTACATTGTTGTCCGAGATCGCACCCGGCACACCAGAGGTTCTCTTTCGTTTCAGCACGTTCTCCAATGATGATGCCTGCTGGTTTGCCTGCCTACTCTCCTCCAGCTCGTCAAGTCTCGCTCCGAAAGACGCTCTTGCGATCTCAATGATATTCAGACTGACTCCATCGACGGAAACAGCTGACCACGTTCGGTAAAGAGAGCCACCACACAGATGCTCGATCTTGGCACAGGCAGCCATGTCTCGACATCCAGACGAGGCGATTCGGCTCGGCGCACTGTTTGACAAACAGCTTTGCAGCTAAGCGCGCCCTGTCCTCTGCGCAGAAACACGAGAATTTTCTCCATGTTTTGCTGCACTTGCTCGTGTTTCTCTTGGCTCCAGGTCTTGGCGGAGGCTTGGCAAAATCACACGCTCTGCTGCCTGTCTCTCTCGATTTTCGACTTTTGAACAAACTCCGTGTCCGGAGCTTGGCGTACAGCTGTATCGCTTCTGAAATGCTGTTATGTCTCCCTGCATGGCCTTCGGTTGCATCGAAAGCTCAAGCAGCCTTGATGCTGCGCCGCTCTGTCGGCTGCAAGTAAGTTCGCTGGTCAGATTGTTCGATTTTCCGATTCGTTGTTCTTGCGGACTTGAATCTCAGATCCAGGAGCTGGGAAATGAATCAACAAAGATGTTAGACCATGAGGTCTTGACATTCCAATTTTGTGTCCGCCTCCACACTTGTTGATTAGGCTGTCATCCTCGACCGCCGGGAAGCTTCTCGTGTACAGGACGCGAGAAGCACAGATCTGACGACTTTACCTTACGTACTGCCGATGTCACTTCCAACGCTGCTCGACTTAGCAAGATCGTAATGCCTGCCAAGTCCAAGGCAATAGCCTCGGTCGTCGAGGCTGTCACGTCAACCACGTTGAGAAGGAGCAGTCGCCAGTCCATGGCCTCTGGCAGTTCAGGTCCGCGAGCTGCCTCGAAGGCTGCGTCTGCGTCGACCGCAGAAGGTGCAGTGAAGTCACCGCCGGCGAAACGAATACGGGTCAAAGCCGAGCCTGAGAACGAACCCGTTGCCGCGCCCGGCCCTTCTCGACGCCGCTCGGGTGGAAAGACAGGTCTCAAGACTGAAGAGGCAGAGGCAGCAGTCAAGAGCGAGCAGGTCGAGGATCCAAGTCTGGACGCAAAATTACCTGCAACCAAGAAGCGACGGACGAAGAAGGAAGCGCTTGACCAGGACGAAATCTTCCCTTCGCGGCCGTCCCCCCACCAACTGCTCTCGAACGGAAAGCAGCAGGGCAGCGACAGGCGAGGAAGCGGACTCTTCATCGGCGCACATATCAGCTCAGCCGGCGGTGTCGAGAATGCACCCCTCAATGCGCTCAGGATCGGCGGCAATGCGTTTTCCTGCTTTGTCCGACCTAAGATGCAGTGGGCGTCGAACCCTATCCCGGACACGTCAATCGAGCAGTTCAAGCAACGTGTAGCTGAACACATGTTCATGCCTTCTCCTTCAAGCCTGAAGACGGAACAAGGGATCAAGCAGAATCCTGATTCGATCTCTGACTCTGAAGCTTATGGCTACGTCGTGCCGCACGGATGCTACCTCGTCAACCTCGCCAATCCCGACGAGTCCAAACGCGAGAAATCCTTTGAAGCGTTCATCGACGACCTTCGACGCTGCGAGCAACTCGGTGTTCGACTGTTCAACTTCCACCCTGGCTCCATGACTGCCGCGTCAGCAGCAGGGGAAGAGCCACCAGACGTCGGACCGCTGTCCGAGATCCGAGCCGCCAAAGCGGATGCATGCGCTCTAGTAGCCTCGTACATCAACCGCGCTCACTCGCTCACATCCTCGGTCGTCATCCTGGTCGAGAACATGGCAGGTTCCAAAAACGACACCATCCTCGGTTCGTCCCTTGCCGACCTCGCCTCCATCATCTCCCGCGTCACAGACAGATCTCGTGTCGGTGTATGCCTCGACACGTGTCACGCTTTCGCAGCAGGATACGACATCACAACCCCCGACGCTTACTCCGCCTTCGCAGCGCACATCGATTCGACCATCGGATGGCAGACCGTTCGAGCCTGGCATCTGAACGACTCCAAATTTCCGCTCGGCTGCAAACGAGATCGCCACGCGAACATCGGTAGAGGATACATCGGCTTGGGTGGGTTCTGGAACATTGTGAATGATGAGAGGTGGAATGGGATTCCGTTGATCTTGGAGACGCCTGCGTTGGGGAATGCGGGGAGTGCGTTTCCGGGTAAGCAGGGGATGGTCAAGATGCATGAGGTGTGGAGTATGCAGATCCAGGCGTTGTATAGTTTGAGGGGGACCAAGTGGGGTGAGTGGCAGGTGGCGGAGGAGTGGTTAGAGAGGGCGGACCGGGTGATTGAGGAAGCGGAAAGGCTTCATGCCGCTAAGAAGGGGGCGAAGAACTCGGACAAGAAGCCGAAAGCGAAGAAAAAGAAGAAGAAAGACGAGAGCGAGGATGACGAGGATAGCGAGCTCAGCGACGAGTGAACCCCACGCATGCAATGACACTGATTGTTATAAAATCCGTTAAGTGATGCAACAGATTCCAAGCCGAACACCTGCCTACAGTATGTAGAATCAAGAATCACGAGAGCAGCACACTAGCAATAAAGAAGCTATAAACCGCATGGTGGTACGACCTCCAAGGATCCCTCAACACCCTCCACGAAGCATTCATCGCCCCCAACACCCAGCCCGGTCTCACCACGCACACCACACCCAACCCGATCTTCATCATCTGTCCCGTCAAATCCTTCTTCCCACCATGCGTGATCACGTTCGCGGCCACCCGACCCCAATCCACAGCCAGACGCTTGAACGACTCGACGGCAGAGAGAAACGTATCGTACACTTCGTCCAGATCGGGTCTTGGGAGTTGGTCGTTCTCGATTTCGAGCGCACGAGGCGTTGGGCGAGGCGTGAAGCGCGTGTTGTACCGGTGGATGTGGTGGTAGGGTGTTGAGCGTGGGGTGGCTGGGTGGGAGGGTTGGAGCTGCGTCCCGAATGGCGAGGGTGGGGTGGGCAGGTTTGAGAGACCGGAACGGATGCCGCGGTTCATTTTCCGACGACGACGTGGTGCTGTGTCCTGGTGGGTCGATCGTCTGTCGTGTTCAGAGTCTGTGATGGAGGGAAGATCGACCCACGAGCCGAGTGAAGATGGCGACGAGTCGTCTTGATGAGAGGCGGGAGGCGGAGGAGGGGAAGGATGCGAGGATGGGTGTGCAGTGGACGCTGTCGGAAGAGACAGGACTGTGAGGGCTAGTTCGACGCTTTGATCGCTCATGGAAGCTGGTCCTGGCTGATTGCTTGATATTCCTTTGCGGGAGTTGACGATGTTTTGTCTTGGAGTTGAGCCCGTACTTGCCTCCATATATACACGTCGTGAACCTCGAACACACTCGATTCAGACTCGATTCATGTCTGACGCATTGCAGAGCTGCTCCTCTAAAATGTCGAGAAGCTGGCATACCACAAAGGGCATCTGTTCCAATCCACTGGCTCGCTCTGGGAAATTGATCAGCTATATGACAGCTCTTAACAGATCACAAAGAAGGTGCTGCGCGAATCACGCTCAGATCCCTGCAGTCGGCTGGTACAGCTGCACATGCACGCCAATATGCCTCTTTCTAGCTCTGTGTCGACTTCTCACTGGAAGACTAGACGTGTTCAAAGGGATCTCAGATCCTATGACTGATCAGGAGTCGGACAGGTGCGCTAGTTTGCTGCTGCGCGTTCCTTTGTTTCAACCGGCGAATTTTCCGCGACGCCATGCGGGGGGATTGAGTTTGGCCAGCTGTCAAGCTGTGCATCGACAAATCAACACTCGCCGCTGGACAAAGGGCTCATGCTTTCTTGTACTCATCAGACAGCATCAACCGCACGTACGCAGACAATTGTACTTCCGTTTGTAAAGATTGTGAAAATGCTTTAGACAGCTGCTACCGGAATACTGGCAGCTTCTTAGCCAAGCGCCTTGAAAAACCGATTTGCCTTGTGCAAATACCACCTTACATCACGCTTCTGCACCGGCGGATCCAGATAGTGCGCTGTTATCCCGACGAACACCAGTGCTCTCACCGGTCCATTCGACAAATTCACCCACTCATTTCCCATCTTTGCCACCCAGTTCGTTCGACAGCACACCGTCCAGATGACACCGGTGTGAATCATCGCAGTTCCAACGGTGCACGTTCCAAGTCGCGTTTCGATCGGATGCGTAAGGAAGCGAGAGGCTTGTCGAGAGAACGATTGGGTTTGGTATACGACAACTGGAGCAGAGAGGGCTGCGCGAACGGCGAGATCATTGGAATAGGCCTTTTTTATCCGAGCTACGTGTTCGTGAAGCTCTTGTGCGAATTGCGTTGATGGGTCGAGTTGCGACGGGACGATTGAACGGGGTAGAGGCGAAGTGGAATTAGGACGTGGCGCTTCGGAGCGGTTGGAAGTACTAGGCTCTGACATGGTGAAGGATGGTAGAAAGTGAGGTTGCTTGAAATGAGAACGATACTGGTCTCGAAAGAAGCCATCTATATATCATCTTGTGTAGGAAGATAGGAAGAAAGGGCACAGGCTATTGAATTTGACGAGCTTCGTGACATTGATCTCCTTTCTGACAGTTGAGGCACTGAGCCCATCCTGCACCTCGTACATTGCCGATCGGTCTGAGACTGTCGCAGCCTCATCATATTTCTCTGTTGAGACAGCTTGGGCGACTGCCCCTGTGTACCCTTGCATGCTCAAGTCGGGCACTGCAGAATCTTATACAGTCTTGCTTGATAGGCAGCGAGTCTAGAGGTTGTCTCAATGTGAACGAACTCGTCCTCTTACTTGAGGACGCTCAGCACATACTTGTGAGAAACCTCGCCCGCTTCTATGCTTGAGAGGTGATGTTGAGACTAAGAGCGATTCGTGCGCCGGATCTTTGGTGATCATTCGCTATTGACAAGCTGTCAGGCCGTCACTTATCTGCCGTCATCCAGTTGCTTGCCCCTTAAGGGCTGTTCAAAATTCCGATCCATTGAACAGCCATAAACCAAAAGAGATGTCGATCGGACACGCTCGCATGCCGCTTCCAGCGTAACAACGTTCTGGCCGCCTCTCTCGGTGCTCTCCTGGCTAGTGTTGAAGGAAGGCAGAACGGAAGATACAGTGCTCCCGCCCACAGCTGGAATTTGGAGTGACCTCGATGAGCAGGACGCTACCTAACGACATGTTGAAGATCTTGCTGAGTGTGAAGCAATCGTAGGCGAGAGCTCTCTCGACCGCGTTGTCAATGGAGCGTTCTGGATTTTGAGTTGCCGGCTTTCCGGAGGCGTCAGTCACGATAGACGATCGCTGTGCGGAACCCAGAGAGTCAGAGTCTGGCATATTGTTGAGGCGCGAAGGGAGGGGTAGAGTGACTGTCGAAGGCTGACTTCTGTCAAAGGCTGAGTTCGTATAATGGAGGAAGGTCGGGAAGATAGATGGGACGTGATGCTAAGAGGCTTTAAGCTTGCATTCAGATTGTTTGCCAGCTTCACTCGGTCAGTGCCACATTCACTTTGTCACAAGAAAAACGGGCTGTCTTTTTAAGAGCAAATGAATGCACTCAAAGAGGTCCGTGTCAGAGGCGTTGAGACAAATGGGCTTCTTTTCGCATGCTCTTGCTTGTCACATACTTATCACGAGATGATCACGGGAAACACGGCTGCACGAAATTCATGCGTGGCCGCAGACAAAGGGTACCAGATCGCTTGCCAGCATTGAAAGAGTGGTGGCGATGACATTGCGTGTGAACAACATTATGGCTCGCTTTCGTGTCCTGCAATGACGATTCTCGGCGACCTGCTGCTTATCAAATTTCCAAGGCAGCTTCCGAGCTCATCTCTTTGTCCTGAGACCTACCACGATCTGGCAAGGTTTGACAATAGGCGTCCACTTTGTCAAGGTTGGTCTCAGCTGCTTGGAGTGTCACGCCTCGCAGTGCAGTTCCCTCTGCGAACCATAAAAACGAGGTACTTGCCCACCATATCTTTAGTCGTAAACGCATGGGCCAAGGAAAGAGGAATGTTTGACGATGGTGGAAGCAACAGAGGTCGAAGTACGAATCCCGGCCAGGATCACATCGATGCCATCACAGGGGGCTCGAGCCTCCCTCTGAGAGGAAGGTAGTGATCCATTCACCGAAGTTTGGCGCTGATGAGCCTGATGACATGTGACAAAGGGATTACTGCGACGCATAACCGCGTGGCACTCACATCACACATGCAGGCATCATGCACCGGTTTTGAGCCAAAAGCATGCAGCTACATAAAGGGCTAGATTGATGATAGTGACACCTGCGATTACTTTGTGATATCAATCGTCACACGATCGCCGTCGGTCAAGTTCCAGTAGGCCAATGTCTGCTTCAAAGTTGCGGGCTTTCCATTGACCTTGATCTTGATCTTGCTGGCTGCGATGGCGCTGTTGAGCAGGTCCTGGTGAACGTAGTCTCTCAAAGTGGCCACTGTCGACTTGATCGCTGCTTCGTAGGGCTCTTCTCTGGCGGAGGACTCGTCTTGACCTGGTAGGGCAAGGGTTAGTGTGACGGTGGGTCGAGCGTGTGCTTCGGTCCAAGTCTTTTCTGGATGCAACGATCCGTCCGTCTTCTTGGCTAATGTCGAAGAGGACGAGGGAAGAGGTGCTGGAGGCGCTGGTGGCGGAGACAGCTCGGTCGAGGCGGGACGCTTGAGGCCTGCACCGAAAGGTTGTGGCTGTGGCTGTGGCGACGAAAATGACGACGCGGCGACGGGCTTTGCAGGCAGCAAGCTTCCCTTTGGTAGCTGTATTGGTTTGTCGGCAGCTTCATCGTCCTGGTCGTCTTCCGGTATTGAGTCGTCCATACCAGGGAATTGCGGCCCAAATTCTGGCAGCGTCACAATAGGCTTGCCCGATAACCTGGTCATCTCTTGTTCCAAGGCCGCATTTTTGGCGATGAGGTCCATGGCCGCCTGCTTCGACTTTGCGTGACCGTCCCAGATGATCTTCTCCTTCTCCTTTGCGAGCCTCCTCTCTTCGGCCTCTCTCTTGAGCCTTGTCTCCTCGTCCTCGTCGGCACGACTCGAAGCGAGCTGCTTGAGGTAGTAGGTAGGGTCTGCACCAGCTTGAAGCGCGGCTTGTTGGGCTTTCTTGGCTTCGAGTTGCTGGCGCTGTTCGCGATAGGCGGGATTGAGCAGCTCGAATCGGACATGCTCGGCCATCTCATCGATGGCGACCTGATCACCGCAAACGGGACATTTGGTCATGGCAACTGAGGTACCGGAAGGCTTTGCACGAGACGCGAGACCACGAGGAACGTAATCCTTGCGAACCTTGATGGTGCCACCTCTGCTCCCCATTTGCTGAACCTCTTCAACGATGGGAGTTGTTGGCGTCGATGTAGATGCTTGTGCAGAGATGGAAGTTGCAGGTCTGCCCGGCATGGACAGCTCCTCGACGTCTTCGACATCGTCTGCAGCCGCGTCAGACTCCATGATCATGCTCGCCATCTTCTTCTGAGCTAACGTCATTGTCTCCATCTCGCGCAGCGAGCGCGGTGGCGGCAGATCGATGTGCTGGTCAGCCTCGGTAAGCTCCACAGTGCCGACGACAACAAAGTCCTGCCAGTCGATTTCGTTGAAAGCTTGACGCTGCTTGTCTTGATCCTCATCCTGCTTTTTGCGCTTCTCCCTTGTGTACCTTTCCCACTCAGCCCTAGCCTTTGACTGTTCGAGAAGGTAAGGCCTTGCCCCACCCTTGCCCGCCCCGAGTGACGACCTCGCACGCTGTTGAGCAATACCAGCTTGGTCTGTGGTACCATATGCACCAAGCTTGACGCTGTCGAGAACTGATAGGGGAGGCGAAATGACCTTTTGATACTGCTCAACAAGATGATTGAAGTAAGTGAAGAGCGAGTGTGATGGACGCAGGAACTCGAATTGGTAGGATTTGGACTCGCGTGAGAGGACTGATGTTGCAAAAGATCGACCTTTGCGAGCGGTGAAGAGTGCTGTGAGCTTGAGAATGTCGAGGTCGACGGCCGTGATGTTGGGAAGGTCGGCAGAGAACTCGAATGGGTGTGGCTCTGGTGGAACCTGTGTGGAGGGGCCAGCTGCCGCGTCGGTGCTTCCTCCCTGGATCGAGCTATCGGTGATGACAGCATTAGATGCAGACTCGGATGCTACCGGAGTCAAAGTCTCGCCTCGTCGCACAGCATCACGACGAGAAGCGTAGTAAGCGTGGTAAGCATCGTCTTCTTTGAGAAAGGCAAACTTTGGGTTGTTCTGTTCCGCTGCTTTGATGTTGTTCTCGAAGGACGGATCCTTCTTTGCAATCAGCTCTGCCGCCTTGTCGATAGTTCTGCGCAGCTCGGGCGGCGGATAGATGATGCCACCTGTTGAAGCAAACTTGGAGCTGGATGTGGCGGATGAGGAGGCGAGCGTGTTGTCAGAACCGTGGGCCGGAGCCGGAAGGTTGAGCGCAGGCGCCATGATCGCTGCCTGAACGCAAGCCTTGAGACACAGCAGAGACGGTGCTCGAGAGAAGGTGAGGGTGGAATGATGTGTATGGACGATGGTGTAGCGGACGATGGGATCGAAGATCGTGATGAGTGTCGTTGGTTGCACACGATTCTCGAAATCGACCGATTTGACTCAAGATTTGAATTCGGGTCTAGCATCGGCGATCTGGAAGATCTGAGCAGCCTGATATTTCTATAATATTTTGCTTTTTGAGCCTAAAAAGGGAGCAACGCAAAATTGTGACACAAAAAGGCAATATGGGAACTAAATTCGCGTTGCAGCAGCGCACAGTCCGTCGGTTACACAAACGGAAGAAAACTCAAAAGTGACTCGCATTCGCACTAAGTTATGGCATTGTCATGTTGCTTCTCAAGCATTTGCAACCCATCTCACGCCTATCACATCGCACACCCCACAAGCGATCACCGAGATAGCGGTCTCAGCGCAATCAACACGATCGAAAGCAATACCATCACAAATCGAAGGCCCACCGCCAGTCGCAGCGTCAATTCCCACCATACGTTTAGGTCATCATCCCACGCCAGCCTTATCGCGTGACACGGGCACAGAACTTGGTCCCAACTTCATCTCGCTAGGACGTCAGCTGTATCGAATACAGGGAACCCATCTGCCTAAGCACACGCGCCACCACCTCTTTGCCAAAGGCGCCTCTGGATCAGGTATATAGAGTCACTGTTGACTCCAGCATTCTCCAACATGGCTTTGGTAAGTCTCGCAGCTCCAACAGATCACCCTCAAACCCGCAACCCCGCTCACTCACACCAATTACCTCTTCGTCGTTCTGTATGTCGATAATGTTCGCCAAATCTCAGCACGCACTCAAGCCTTCGCTCGAGGAAGTCCAATCGGCGCTCCTCTCCGCCAATCCTGCCGGCAACATCATCCCTGTCTACACATCATTGCCCTCCGACCTCCTCACACCAGTCACTGCCTACCTCAAGCTCTCCAATGGCGCCGACACTTCCCGTCGCTCTTTCCTCTTCGAGTCCGTAACTGGCGGTGAGAAGATCGGCCGCTACTCGTTCATCGGCTCAGATCCTCTCAAGATCATTCGAACCGGTCCCGGGCTCGACGCACAAGGTGATCCGCTGCTCGCCATCGAAAGAGAACTCAGCCCATACAAATACATCCCCGTCCAAGGCTTGCCCACATTCACCGGTGGAGCCATCGGCTACATCAGCTACGACTGCGTCCAGTACTTTGAACCTCGAACCAAGCGCGAACTCAAAGATGTGCTTGGCATCCCAGAAAGCGTTTTCATGATCGCCGACTCGTTGATCGTGTTCGACCACGTCTTCAGCACCGTGCGCTGCGTCAGCCATGTCCATCTCACTCCAGACCTCGCCAAGAATGCCACACCTGCCGACATCGAATCGCTGTACACCAAAGCAAACGACAAGGTCAACAAGTTGATCAGCACCCTCGCTTCAGCCACAACACCCATGCCTCAGCAGCCTCCCATCCTTGCCGGTCAAGAAGCCGTCTCCAACGTTGGCAAGGCAGGCTACGAAGGCTTTGTCACCTCCCTTCGCAAGAACATTGTCAAGGGAGACATCATTCAAGCGGTCCCCTCACAACGTCTCACCCGCCGCACCACACTCCACGCCTTCAACTGCTACCGACACCTGCGCCAAGTCAACCCTTCCCCCTACATGTTCTACGTCGACTGCGGCGACTGTCAGCTCGTCGGAGCATCCCCCGAAACTCTCTGCAAGATCGAAGCCGGCAAAGTGGCAGTGCACGCCATCGCAGGAACCGTGAAACGAGGCGCCAACGATGCCGAGGACGCCGAGCTGGCCTCGCAGCTCGCCTCGTCGGTCAAAGACCAAGCCGAACACGTCATGCTCGTCGACCTCGCGCGCAACGACATCAACCGCGTCTGCGATCCCGCCACCACCCACGTCGAAACCTTCATGAACGTCGAAAAGTTCTCGCACGTCATGCACCTCACCTCGCGCATCACCGGCCATCTCCGCGACGGCAAGTCGCGCTTCGACGCCTTGCGCTCCATCTTCCCAGCCGGCACCGTTTCGGGCGCACCCAAGATCCGCGCCATCGAGCTCGTCAGCGAGCTCGAAGGCGAGAAGCGCGGCGTGTACGCCGGAGCGGTCGGGAGGATCGATTTTGCCGACAGGGAGATGGACGTGTGCATCGCCATCCGGACGATGACGTTCAAGGATGGGTATGCGTACCTGCAGGCAGGGGGTGGGATCGTCTATGATAGCGTGGAGGAGGACGAGTATGTGGAGACGATCAACAAGCTGGGTGCCAACATCAGGTGTATTGCCCAGGCGGAGGAGTATTACTCTCAACAGCAGAAGGCGTAGCTCGGTGGCGTTCTGATCGTGTCCACGAAACTGCAATGCAAACACAATGCCAAGTCTCAACGCATACATGCAGCTGGTTTGTGAGAAAGAGACTGTGTTGTTCAGAAAGCTACAAAAACGAAGGTGCGTTGTTCTCGACTCCGAGAAACTTCAAGCGCGAATACCAGCCTCTCTCAAGCTATTCTTCTCGAGACTGTCCCTCAACGCCTCACTGAGCGAAAGCGTTCCCCGCGTCCCCCTGGACCTGCTCTCGTTGACCTGTGGAATGATACTCTCCTCCCTGTACTGCATTGCGAAACCGTTGCTGCCACCGCTCGATGAGGCGGATCTCTTCAGCCCCGTCGCCGCCACGGGATTGGAGATATTCAGAATACTCGAGGACCTCCTCGCAGCTCTCTTGTTCAACTTTGTGATTCCACCGAAGAACTTTCCCCCACCACCGGCGCGTTTCGAGTAGTCGCTGGGTGACATTCCAGCGACAGTTCGGTTGAGGGGCCAATGCGAGGAGATAGAGTGGTGGTCCAGATCGTCTTGTTCGAGATGTCGTCGAGAGTCGTGATCGAGGATCTCGGATTTGGACATGCGGGAGGCGTTGAGGAAGTCGGTCATGGAGACTTCGGTTGCAGCACGACGAGGTGGCGGGGAGGTGAAGGGATACATCTCGAAATCGTCGTCGAGCGAGGAGGTGGAGCAGGAGGAGATGGTGGAGACGTCGTTGGACGGGTGGGAGGCTTTGCGAGATGGATCGTAGCGCTGGGTGACGCTGGATGAGACGGCGGTAGAGGTGTTCTTCCGCAGGCTGGCGATGCTCACTCCGCCACTGGGCTGTTTGACAGTCGCGGTGGCAGCGGCAGAGGTGGAGGGCTTGGCAGCAGCGGCTGCTGCTGAACCGTCCTTGATCGCACGCTTAGCCCGCGAAGGACGAACGACCGTCGCTGGCCGTGCCACAATATGTGCAGCTGCAGCCCGGTCACTATCCATCTCCATCTGCCTCGTCGATCGAGCATCCTCGAATTCGTCCTCGTCCTCCTCAACAACCACTTCACCTCCACCCCCGCCTTGCCCTCCCTTGCCGCCGTGCTGAATGGAACCAAACATGTTCTGACTTCCCAACATGGACAGCACGTTCTTGCGCAAGATACCCAACTCGGTCTCGACCTTGATCTTCTCCTCGGCGGTGCGCTTGAGCGCGTCTGCCAGCGTATCCGCTCGTGCCAGTGTAAACTTTAGCGCAAGTCTCAGTGCGTTGACTTCGTCCGCTGAAGTGGCCGTTTCGACGTTGGTGGTGGAGGGGGAGGAGGAGAAGGTGGGACTCTCACATGCTTCAGCGACGTCTTGTTGGAAGGCGAGTACGCGGACGGCTTCGAGCGTGGTGAGCGAGCGGATCCAACTCGACGATTCCTGTTTGGTGGTAGGAGAAGCTGGTTGCGAGGGGGAAGATTTGGTGCAGGTGTCTATACCCAGGCCGGTATTGGTCGCCAGCTCGTCCATCGTCGGCACAGACTTACGGTACGAGCTGCTCCGCTTCACCCTAGGAGGTGGCGGCGGCGAAGTCGACTTTTGATCTTCGTCGTGGGCAGCCTTGGTAGGTGAGGAGCCGACGACGGTACTAGTAAAGTCCTCGGCGTCAGGGCTTCCCATCAGAGGCGAATTGCATGCTGATCTGTCGAAGCTCTGCTCCAACACACGAAGACTCTCCAGAGCAGCAGAGGGCGACATGGCCACACCATCCGAGTGTTTCTTGAGCCCCTCCTTCTCTTTGCTGTCTTGTCGAAGCATCGGACTTCCCGGAGTCGTCGGTGTCGGTGTACGACTCTGACTCAGCTGCGGAGTCGAAGCCTTGGAACCGGAGGAAGACATCTTGACCATCGCGTCTTCGCCGCTCTTTGCCGAATCGCTTTGGGAAGAGTCGCTGTGCTGCATCTCAACAGCCTTGCTGGCCATCTTGTAGCTCACCGCGGTGTGATTCGAAGAAGCAACGCTGACCGGTCTCTCTCTACGGGAAAGGGGGCGGATGGAGGTCGAGAAGTGTCTTGGTTTCAGGTCAGCCAGGATCTTTTGGACCAACTCATCGTGCTCTTCCTGCGTCAAAGCGACACTCGAAGGCTTGTAGGATTTGCGATTGCTCCTGCTGAGGATGCTCGGTGCGGCCAAAGTGCTGCTCGTCCTATTATCGCGGTGCGAGAGCCTGCGTGTGCTCGGGTTAGGCGACGAAGCGGCGCTCAGACCTGGTGTAGGCGGAAGCGCCGTGCACGGGGGAGGCACGGGCGAAGGTACCATATCAGGCGAAGCGTGCTGCGACAGCGAGTGGGATCGGTAGTGCAGCCTAGGCGAGGCTTGAGCGATGTTGCGCGAGACCCTGTTTGCGGTAAGGATCTCGGAAGGCGTGAGCGCGACGGAAGCGCGAGAGGAGGCGCTTGAGGAGGGGCGTGCGTCGTGGGACTCGAGCATAGCTATTGTGGCGCTTTGTGGCAAGGGGAAGTAGACACAATGAAGTCGAGATGGCCAGACGGGTGGCGCAACTAGCAAACGAGGCCGGAGAGCCTTCCGCTTTTGTTCTCACGGAAGTGTGCTTACGAGCCAACTTTTTGGCGGTCAGAGCGTTATGTGGGAGCGATTTGAGGCCCACAGGTAAAGGCGAGGAGAACTCAAGGCCATCCGACCGCCGAGTGATGCTACGAAGCGATAGGGGACTGTTCGAAGCGTGTGGGTCGAGCTAAAAAGTTCGTCAACGTCCGCGTGATGAACGAGGGACGATATGACGCTGCGTGACAGGCAATGAAGCAGTGGGGGAAAGGGGACTTTGCGAAGGAGAGAAGAGATTGCTTTTATTGTCTGTTACACAAGAATGGGGCTTGGGTTGTTCCTTGGCATATAATGGGAACGAAAGCATCGCAGAAGCACGATTTCATGTGGGGACGCACAGCGGGTACGACATCGCAATGCTTGAGAAGCAGTGAGACAAGGCACCAAAGACGAGGACGGGAACAGAGAAGGAGAGGACAACCGGAAAAATAAGCTGCACGGTCAAGGACGGGGAAGGAGGCTGGTAACGACCCAGAGCACATTGGCAGCGACGTCGGCGTAGTGATGTTAACGAACAAACGGCAAAGCACAACGTCGTGTGTGGTGCGACTACTGCACAGCCTGCATATAGTGAATACTGCGAGCTGCTGGGTTGACAGGACTCAACTCAGGCTGGGCATTCATGCGTTGCGTACATTAATTTACCGCACAAACGACACTCTCTGCACGCACAGAGAATGATTCGCAAATCCCCAACCTGCGTTTTTTGTCACGCACTGCTGGAAGTACGGTGTGACTTGCGAGGCTCCTGACCTCGCTTATGAGGGCATGCTTCTTTTGGCGCTAAGTTAGCCAGAGTATGTTTGTGTTGGAAAGAGAGAGGTGAGACATGGTTTGAGTGTTGCACCATCGCTGAGACTGAATTTGGACCCCGGTTTTCTGGTTGAGGCTTGGGTTGCGTGGTTGCGTGGTTGGCGACGCCGGGCGGGATTCGACGGGTAAAAGCGAGATTGAAATTCAGCATGACCCGTGTGAGCGTCGAGCGGGCAGCGATTGCAGCGTCAAGGACATGAGCATGCACAGCTGCAGATACAGTGAGCAGTCTTCTGACTTGCCTATGAATCTGCACCAGCTTTCGCAGACATGATCCAGCTCGTATCCACCAGCCGAATGGAACGGCTTGGCAAGTGTATTCACTCGGCTCGTACGTCTCGACCCACCTCGAGACTCGGAATGATGGCAAGAAGCACACATCGAGTCGGACATGGTGCAGCAGTAGATGATGACGACGCACAGCAACAGAATTTTCGTTGCGACTGCAGACGAGCATGCAGCAAGATGCATCGGGTGCCATGTCGATGCATCTATTCGCCACCAAAAGGCTAGACAAGCTCGCTAAAGCGAACAAACAAGGACCCTGTTTTGCGAGCCGAAGCCGTAACCGAATGCCAGCATCGCCTCGTCTCTGAGCAAGCTCGACCTAATAATGTAACAAATTGCCCGAGGCGCATGCAGATCATGGTAAGGTATCACATGAAATGTTGCGATTGACGTCTAGCGGAGAATGATGGGGCTTTGCCACGACGCCAGGATCGAAGTTCATGCAAGATACTACGAGGCTCGATGTCGTTTCTTTTCGGCCTCGAATGTTACATCGCATTTAGTCGACATCTCCGCACAAAATCACACTTCAGGTGCGCACGTTCCTCGATTGCTTTTTGACGCCAGAGTCAACCGTTTCTTCTCATGCAAGCTTCAACTCGTCCACACGCGACATCGATCATCGCTTCATCCCTCACCATTCATAGTGTCCGAGACACCAGCATCGACCAAGATGGCGGATATGCATCCACTGCAAATGGCGCGCATGGCCATCCCGCGCCCCCAATTCTTCCTCGTCGTCTTGATCGGATCGTTCCTCGTGCAATTCATGATCGCAGGCTTGCGAATTCAGCACGACGACAAGGAAATGGCGGCACTCGGATCAATACGAACGCTTCCCTCGTCTGCTCTCCTTGTTACTGCGCATCCGGATGACGAGGCCATGTTCTTTGCGCCCGCCGTTCAGGCGCTGGCTGCAGCAGGCACCTCGATTTTCGCCTTGTGTCTCTCCACCGGTAATGCTGCAGGATTGGGTATGAAACGCACCGAAGAGCTGTTCGCCAGCTACGATCAGCTCGGCGTTTCAGCTTCACGGGTCAAGTACCTCGACGATGCAAAACTGCAGGACTCGATGGAAGGCATCTGGCCAAACGAACACATCTCGTCGGTGGTAGCAAAACACATCGACTCCCTCTCCCAGCCCATCGATGCGCTCATCACCTTTGACAAGCGAGGCGTATCCGAGCACCTCAATCACATTGCGGCGTACAACGGCACGCGTGATACTGCTGTCGCCCGCAACCTTGCTCTGTACGTACTTCCTACTTTGGAGGTATGGGAAAAATACACCTCTGTGCCCTCGGCTGTTTGGGAGACGATCTCTTACTCCGGTTACGCTCCTCCGTCGAGCGGTAACAAGACAGCAGCGTACGAGCCAGCGTCGGAGATTATGGTCCTTGCAAGCTCGGCTCAGTACGTCAAGGCGGTTCAGGCCATGTTCAAGCATCAGACCCAGCTCGAGTGGTTTAGGTACCTCTACCTCGTCTTCAGCAGATACATGTTTTCCAACAGGCTGGTGCTCTGGACTCCTGAACTCGATTTGGATCTCGAAGAATGATCAGCAGCTTTCGAATCCTGTATTCTATGCAGCAATAATATGCCAAGGACGACCGCACTATCTCGTGGGGATGCGGCATGTGCTTGAAAGTGTGTTGCGTGCATTGGCTTCATCCATCGGAACTCGGATTTGAGTGTCATCTTTTTTGAGTTTTGGTGCAGCGAAGAATCAAAAAAAGAGGTCTCGCTGTTCGGAACTGGTCCCACACCTCTTCCTATCAACCTCAAACCCAGCTTTCCAGCTCCTGCAGCGATTCTCGAAAGCTCAGCACATGCTCGCAAAGGTCTTCAAGACCCAATTCATTCGTCGTGCTGCTTCACCTGCGATTCTCGAAAGCCTCACTCGCGCTCCAGTCCCGAGCCTCCGCAGCGCTCTCCAGCGTCCTGGCACCGATACCGGTAGCAGCCGCATCCCTCTTCTTGGTCCGCTCACGATGTCGACCTCCTCTCTTGCAGCACAGGATCCATCCGCGAGGACAATAACTACCCGCACCGCCATGCGTCAGAACAAGCTCGTCGTTTCTGCCCCTGCATCCGTTTCGCGGCTCACCGGCAACGAACCGCAGCTCGAAACCATGCAAGGAGCACAAGAGCTTCTCGAACAGCTCAAACCCTCATTTATTTCGCAACACAGCTTGCAAGCCATCGGACTGTCAGGGCGACAGCTGCCGCTCTTAACAAAGGACGAAAAGGTCATGCCGTACCTCTTCAACGCAGCTGGTGTACGCTACGTCCAACCACATCCAAACGGCGATCCCTCGCAACGATTCCTTCTCCTCAACGTCCCCTCTTCGTCACCCACACCCGACGTCATCGTCTCCACCATCTCGCAGCATAACCTCGAGCACATTCCCAGCTTCGAACTTTCCCTCGGCTACGACAACCTCTCATCCGATCAGATACTCGAAGCTCTCCTGCCCTCCACCATCGTTTCCGCCGACGGCGTGCCCACGGGCTTCACCATAGTCGGACACATCGCCCACCTGAACCTACTTCCGACATACCTTCCCTTCCGCTACCTCGTCGGCTCCATCATCCTCTCCAAACACGCGCCCGCACTTCGAACCGTCGTCAACAAACTCGATTCCATCGACACCGAATTCCGTTTCTTCCAGATGGAGCTTCTCGCCGGAGAGCCCGAGTACATCGCTCGAGTCAGCGAGAGCGACTGCACGTTCGAATTCGACTTCAGGACGGTGTATTGGAACTCGAGGTTGCATGCCGAACACATGAGGCTGATCAGGAAGTGCAGACCGAACCAGGTCTTGGCGGATGTGATGGCAGGTGTGGGTCCGTTTGCCGTGCCAGCGGCGAAGAGGGGGGCGTGGGTGTTGGCGAATGACCTCAATCCGAGCAGCTACGAGAGTCTGGCGAAGAATGCGAGGTTGAACAAGGTCGAGTTGGGAGACAAGGGGAGAAGGGAGCAGGATGGAGGTTTGGTGGCCAGGTGTATGGATGGGAGGGAGTTTGTCAAGTGGAGTATGGTCGAAACTTGGAACAGAGGATTTGCGGGCAGGCCGCGGGGTTTCGATGGTGAAAACGAGGAGGCCGAAGACGAGAGGTTGAGGGAGAGCGCTAGGAAGCAGGTGAAAGAACAGGCAAAGAAGAACCGTGCACTTCACGCCGCCCGTCAAGCAGCACCCACCGACACCACAACCACCGCCACCGCCGCGATCTCAACCCTCTCCATCACCGACACACCCGCGCCCCCCATCGAGCGTCATCCTTCGCCGCAACTCGTCTCGCACTTCATCATGAACCTCCCCGCCTCCGCGCTCGAATTCCTCGACGCCTTCATCGGAGCCTACACGCATCTCTCCAGCATCGTCGGCAAAGACGCGCTCGTCTCGCACCTCTCGCTCGCCTCCTCCTCTGCGCACCTCCACCCTCTGCCCATGATCCACGTCCACTGTTTCTCCAAAGACCCCTTCACGCCGGCACTGGACATCCTCACGCGCGCCAACGCCGCTCTCTCCCTCCCTCCCCACTCCCCGCACCGGCTTAAAGCGAAACCCATCCAACCACCTCCGCAGACCTTCGCTGGCCTCCGCAAATCCTCTTCCACCCAGGACGTAGGGAACTACCTCACCTCCCACCCGAACTACCACAGGTACGCTTCCCTCACATCGCCGCAGGAGTTCATGCACGCCGTGGAACAGGAGTGGGTGGAAAGAGATGCTGGAGAACATACACCCGAACTGTCCATCCACTACGTTAGAGATGTTGCGCCTAACAAGCAGATGTATTGCTTGAGCTTCAGATGCCCCGAGCAGGTGTTGTGGGCCGATGAGACGCAGCAGGAGTGAGAATGGAGAAAGAAACAAAATGACATTCAAAACAAGTAGACACCTGTGTATCGGACTGCGAGATAACCCAAAGAAAAAGACCGAGAGAAGAGCTTTGAGAGATCGAAACGCTGGCTGTGATACAGTCGCGATCAAAAGTTGCCCAACCTGTAACCGCCAGCTGTGGCATGGAAGAAGCTCGCCTGAGCACCCGCATTACCACCGCTACCATACATCCCTGCTCCTCCACCACCCGGCGGACCACCTGCACCACCAGACGCAGTCGCAGCACCACCCGCCCCCATACCCCCCGTCGCCGCCGCCGCTGCCGCTGC